ACTTGGAACGACTTGGAACCACTTTAAACGACCCGCAAGTGGTTCCAATCCTATGGTGGCAGGTGTCCGAGCCCAATTGGAACCAGTCGTAACGACTTGGAACGACTTGGAACCAGTTCCAAGTGGCTCAAACCTGTTCCAAAGGGTTGGTGTAACAACCATCGTTGTTCTCGGATACCGTCTCCTTTTTCGTGTCACGTGATTGCCTTTCGTCTCATACTTTGCTCCCGTTCGATCTCGCGCTAGGTACTTATCGCGCGCTCGACCTAGTTCGTACTCTTTGAGCTATGCCATTCTTGTCCGTCGTGGCTATGAGCTCTTACATTGACTTACCCAATTGAACCATTCGACTAGAGAGAGTCGGTGGCGTAGTGTCCTCTGGACAGTCTCGCTCTTGCTCTGATGGCGGCTACAGCGGAAATCCCTTGGCGGCATAGGAGTTCCACAAGATCTAGATGCGCTCTACACGTTTTGGAGAGTCGTCTAGCTTCGGCACAGCACTCTTGGTCCACCTGCGCATCGTGGATTGAGGGCGCGTGTGACAGGCCGCCCCGGTCCCAGTCCGATACAGAGCCGGCCACAGCCTGCTGCAGATCCAGACTTTCCCACGGTTGTGGTCTAGAGGTCGGACAAGAGGTTGGAGAGGTTGGACAAGAGATTGGAGAAAGCCTTCTGCAGTTTCAAACTTTCCCATGGTTGCAGGACCTGGGTTCAGATCCTCACACGCACCTGATGCCAAAAAACTCAAATAACAGAGGTTGGAGCCAGCCTCTAGCAGATTCAGACTTTCCCATATTTGAGGTCTCCCACGGTCTGATTATTCTTAGTTGCCAGACTGACTTTCCCACAGCCTGAGTCTCACACAGTCTGGATCGCCTATGGTGCCTTTCCTCCCCAGTTTGCAGCCTCCGCTTTGGAAAGTAATCTCAACCAGGATTTACGCCTGAGGGTCGCAGACAGCCCTTCGCAGATTCACACTTTCCCACGGCTGCCGGACCTGGTCTTGCCACGGGGAGCCTTTTGGGTCGCGTGCACGTTAGACAAACACCCCCGGGTATATTGCATAATTTGTAAGTATCTGAAGTTGCTAGTTTCCGCCTGGCTACTGATTCTGACAGTCTTCTGTTCAAATCACCAACCACGCACTTAACACCACAACTTTATTTCTCAATGACGTAATATGCTCCGCCGCCTTAAACGGTCCCGCCTTTACCACATGACTTCCCGCCGGCCGGCCACCCAGTACCCGGCTGTGCAGTATAGCCTGTGGTACTTGTGGGGCCCTGCCTAAACGGCCAAACCAAAACACCAAAAAAATATGATTACGTACAATTGATAATATACCCTAATATGCAATGGACATTTCCTTTTTGGTTTTGCACAGTGACTGCTGCATGTAACGATGACAGCTGGGGACTGATGATGGATGACTGTCAACTCCTATCCTTCTGAAGTAAGACATTGCCACAGTCAACCAAGATGCATGTCTGTGACGACGAGAGGTCGGAGACAGCCTGTCACAATTTCAAACTTTCCCACGATGGTCCGGTCCCCTCGGTGCCTCTGGTCCCCTCCCACCGATACAGGGCCGGAGACAGCCTCCCGCACACCCAAACTTTCCCGCAGTTGTGGTCTCCCACAGTCTGAAAATCTGACTGCCAGTTTTCAGCTCTCCCGCGCTCTCCGTTTGTGTCGAACCCGAGCTTTCCCACGGTCTGATTTTGTGTCTGCCACGCAGCAAGGCGTCGGAGACAGTGTCTCGCAGATTCACACTTTCCCACGGTTGCCAGTCCTGGGTCCCATCACACATTCCTGTAGTGTCATCCAAAAAGTGTCTGTCAGAGGGCAGCTCTGGCAGTTCCAATCCTTCCCATACTGTTAGCCAGAACACTTCAGTTGACAAACATCTCTTGCACTTTTGATGTTTCTCACAGTCACCGCACTTGCAATGTTGATGACATTGTGATCTGAAACCAGCTGACCAGAGACACCCCTCAGAGTGGTGACTGCCGCTGAGGTTGGCATTACATTGGGAGGTGAATGTGTGGATCATCGATTTCTTGTGTCAGTGGTAGACTCTTTGTGTTCACTGCTCCAAGTACACCCTTCATTACTCCCTTCTTCTCCTCTTTACACCCCCTCTTCTCCTCTAACCGCCTCCCGACTTGCCGCTATTGCATCCCTCCACGCCTCTCACACCTCACCTCAGTGCGCTCAGCGTGCGCCGACACCGTGGCCATCGCCATCGCCGTCGCCGTCGCCGGCGCGGCACCGGCGCGGCACACGCCCGCCCTGCGCCGCCCTCAACCAGACGCCTCCGGTCTGATCGTATAACGGTTAGTACACAAGATTCTGATTCTTGTAATCTGGGTTCGATTCCCAGTCGGACCTTGCGGACTGGCTTCTGTACCCCGACACAGTTGCTTTTTGTGGATTGGAGGAGGAGAGGGAGGGAACAGAGGTGGGGTGCACGGCGGGGTGCTCGGCGGGAGGGATGGTTGGCTGGGTGGACGAAAGCATTGCCGCCGTTCGGATAGAGTGATGTCTGCCGCCCGGAGCGAGACGCGCACAGCCCGCCGCATTCCAAAGGCCAAGTGAGAGCTGCTCGCCGGTCCGCAACTACCTAGCGGCGACAGCGCCGGGAGGGGACACAGCAGTGCGAAGCGACTGGGGCGAGACGGAAACTCGGAGTCGGCGCTCGATGCGGAGTTCGGGCGCGGACAGATCGTGAGCAACATCATCAATGCATTCGTGACAGTACATGGCGGAGAGCGGGTGCTCATCGCGCTGCTCGCCCCGGTCGACGTTCTACGGCTAGCCGTTCGGGGATGAGATGTGAGAGAGTGGCTAAGTGTGGGTATATGTAGTGTTCTGTGGGAGTGAAGGTTGGGGCGGCTGAATGAGGGACTTCGTCTCGCAGCCTGACGCCGGGCGTCGTCTCGATCGCTGATTCGACACGACACGCGGTCACTGGGGATTGCGTTGCTCAGAGCCCCTTGGGCTGCAGGTCATCGGCGGGACGGAAGGGGCCGTTGCGCGCGCTGGCGAACGACTTGCCCTCGAGGCGCACGCGGATGATGTCAATGACAGTCTGCGGGTCGACGGTGATGCGGTCAGACTGGAATCCCTCGTCTCCGTCAGGGTAGTCGACCTTGAACTCCTTCGGGCTCGTGGCGACGAGGTCGTGCTGCACCGCAAAGTGGCGAATACCGAGCGCCTGCGCCGTCCACTGGTAGTCCTTTGCGAAGCCGCCGCGGCAGAAGAGCTCGATGACGGCGCTGCGCGGGGTGGGCGGCATCCAGACGAGGTGCGTGAGGCCGTTGCCGTGCACGCCGATCATGATCGTCGTGCGCGCCGCAAGCTGCACCTGCTCTTCCTTGCTGAGCTTGCCCATGTTGACAATGTTGAGCTCGAAACCGAGCTTCGGGGCCGCCTCCTTCAGCGCCGCGACGAGAGCGGCGTGCGAGGATCCGGTCAGCGAACGACGCGGCGGCGGTCGCGAGATGTACGTCACCACGGGCTTGTAGTCTCCCGGCTTGGTCAGGGGCTTCAGGCCAGCGTACTGCGGCGCGTCGACCGTGCCCTCGGTGAAGTCGGGGTTGACGGCTCCGTAACCCTCGAGAGAGCGGTTGATGACGTCCTCCGGGACACCCGAGAAGCGCAGCATCTGTCGTCGGATCGGCTCCCACCACCAGCGGGAAACGGTGCCAAGCGCATTGGCAGAGGCGACGGTGCGCGCAGTCGGGCCAGTAAACTCTCCGCGGAACGCCGCCGAGCGGTCCGCCAGAATCGCGACCTCGAGCTGGTACGCCTTCTTGATCGAGCCGTGAGCCGTGATCTTGCCGAGGTCCTCCATGTCGCGCGGGAACAGCATCGCGCTGTTCGGGAACAGTCCGTCCCACATGTAGCTGTTGAAATTGCTGTAGTCGCGCCACTGCAGGTGGTCCTGGTGGAAGAAGATTGCACGGGCAGGGTACTCGAGCGAAGAGTGACCCTTCTCGTCGATGTGCGGGTCGAGAGTCGCGTGGACGCGCCAGGTGCCGAGGAACAACTCGGCGGCGAAGTGGTAGTAGTGGTCGATGACTGGGGTTAGCTTATCTCACGTCATACGATAGCTGAATCGACGGTACTCACACTGTCCGTCGTTCCAGAGGTAGCTCATGCCCTCGTAGCGCATGATGTTGTCGCCCCAGAGCTCGAGCGCCTTCTCGGGCGTAATGTAGGTGATCTCGTCACCCTTCGGCTCGCGCGCCTCCATGTTTCCCGGCACGTTGTCGGCCGGCAGTCCAGTCGAGGTCATCATGCGGAGTTCCGGCCACTTGCTCTTGTCCTCGGTCACGACGTACAGCTTGTTGTCGTACAGGTACAACCTTCTCGAACACGGTCCAGCCTGGCGTGTGGTCGCGCAGATGCGTGATCAGACTCTCAGTCGTCTGGTGTGGACGCGTGACCGACGCGTCGAACGAACGCTCAGGCGTCGAGTGCCAGAGACCGAGGGCCTTAAGCCGCGCACTGGACGAGGCCGCGCTGCTCACGCTCTTGTGCACCTCCGGCGTCGAGAAGTAAAGGTATGCCAGGCCCAGCGTCAGGATCACAACGAGCAGGTCGCGCCGCGTTGGGCGCATCCCGCGCGCGGGGCTCAATCCAGCCATTATGCTTGCCCCAGATTATCGAGGAGTGTCGGGAGTTCGAGAGATGGAAGGTCGCGGACCTCGTCTGATGGCGACAGGCGCGGGGGATTGTGAGGGGCGGAGGACGCTTGTCAACGAGGGACAAACACGCGTACTGATGGGGCCGCTAGCAGTGTCGGCGGGGTGGTCGGAGAGTCGCAAAGGAGAGAGTCGCAAAGGAGGGACAGATAACGGCAGATGGAGGTTCGCGGTGTCGACGCGGCTGCGCACTGGAGCCTGACACCCGAAAGTAAATCGACAGGGACGAGACGCCCGTTGCTGCGGCGACTCAGCCGGCGGTGTTGATAAAGAAGTGGAGAAGTGGAGGGGTGGAGAGGGGCGGAGGGGGCGAGCCGGGTGCAACGTCGACAGTCCTCAAGAATTAAGAGCAATGAAGCGTGTAGTGAAGATGGTGATGGATAGGTAGGAACAGAAACGGATCGGTGGTTGCGACACGGGGTACATGACTTTTGACGTGTCTGGCATGCCTGGATGCTCTGGCCGTGGGCGAGCCCGTGGCCGCATGGACGGTGCCATCACGAGTTGTCGGGGATCGCAGGCCCCTCAGCTGCCCAGGTACGCAGCCAGGGGGGGTTTAATGGGCGGTCGCGGGTGTCGAATCAGGAGCCAAGCCGCCCCGGGGCCGTAAGTGAGTTTCATCCCCGCCCGTTCTCGAATGGCGTGAGGCAGTCCTGCCTCTACTCCGCCTATATCGCACTCTGGGACCCGCCATTTGCATGCTGGTAGCCTGTGTCTGCTGATGCACATAGTGCACATAGTGCATCCGCGCATCCGAGTAAGTGCTAGCGTCTAAGCTATGCTTGAGTGCAATCCACAGACCGCAGACGGCGAGTGGAGGGCGAGTCATATTTTTGGCTTTCCCGTCTCCTGAAGCTCGGGCCCTGCCCCTCTCTGCGTCCTGAGGATCCTTTCCATTCTGTGCCTGTCAGCGTCGAAGCGGAGCTCTGCTGCGTGGCAGATGATCGCCCTCCATTCGGTCAAGACAGCCTCGGTGCTTCCGCCCCCCTCTTGCTTGCATCTCTCCCCGTGCGCTCCGTGCGGCTGATCCAGCCCCTGGCGTTGGCGCACACTAACGCGCTTAGTCGTGTGAACCGCCGTAGCTTCCATAGTCCCTCCGTCCCCACCCAAACCCTACAAAGAAGCACATGCGACACTCTGACAAGGTTCACTCTCCAGCATGAAGCACGTGAGTCATGCTTGTGGCTACTTCGCATTTCGCGCGGAGCAATGAGGGGATTGAACCTGCGAGTGCCGGTGACACGGCACGCCAAGCTGATCTGCGTAGTCGCATAGTGGGGCAGGCGGCGCAGGCTGATCAGCCAGATCCAGAGTTCACAGAAAGCGAGACGGAGCCGAGCGAGCGAGCGAGCGAACGACACCATTCGCGTGTTTGGAATCCGATGTGGCGCCGAACGCGCAGTGCCGTCCCAATGTCCTCGACATCCGCAGTCAAGTATGGCCAGGCTCAGTCTGCCTGCTCTAGTTGGGAGGATCAGACCGCATGTGGAGCGGAAACCGCAAGCTCTCCGTCTCTCACCGCCGCTCGCCCCTCCGATCACCCTGCACCCAGCCTCCGGAGGGTCCAAAAAAGGGGTTCTTCGACATCTTTCGACGCCTCCGAGCCCCATCTCCTTGCGGGAGACGACAGAGAAGGTCCGACTGGGAATCGAACCCAGATTACAAGAACGACTTTGTCCTCCTCGCGAGGAGGCGAGAAGGTGGAGTTGAGTCAGAATCTTGTGTACTAACCGTTATACGATCAGACCTGTTCACGGAGGGGACGGCGATGACTCGGGCGAGAGCGGCGCTGGCGCCGGGCAAGCTAGGACTTGATGAGCGGACTGCTGGTAGGCTTGGACTGGGGAGCGGTCGGCTGCATGTGGCTCGCGAGTACAGCGTGAACGGCTGTCGGGTTGTCGCCGTCGCGTGGCGTCCTGTAATAGACATGACTCTGGATGAAGTCCCAGCTGCCGATTCTGGACACTTCGTGCGAGGGTCCTGTTTTCGGCGACCAAAACCTGACAGAAACCTTCCCTGAGGCGGTTTCCGCCCTCGAAACTGTCACCAAAACCCCACACTAGCATGTGCAGGGTCTGCTATGCACTAGGACAAGGCACACGCACTAAACGGTGCTAAAGGACACTAAACTGGCGATTTGCCACTCCTGGTCAGGGTGTAAACAGCCACAACACACATTTCTCATCTGTGTTCGTGGTGGAGTGGTAGTACTGATGGAGTGGACTATTGGAGTCGCTGGGTTCGATTCCTCTGAAAGTTTTTGCTACCCACCCCACCTTTTTGCCACTCTCTTTTGCCACCCTGCCAAATCTTCACCCCGGTGGCCTGGTCTAGCTTAGTTTCAGTCAGGTTTCCTGCCACCGAAACCCGCCTTTTCAGTCCTATTTCAGTCCAGTTTCCGTCAGGGCCGAAACTGCACTGAAATACCCTCCAAAACCACGGTTTCCGTGGGGGTTTCGGAGTCGCTGAAATTGGACCCGCCCACCAAGTGTTCTGGAAGGAGTTGCGGCTATCGCTTGATGGTAGCATGAATGCTCAAAGTTGGCTCGGCAGCTTTGCTTCGGAGGCGAGCGATGCCGTCGCGCCAATGCCCGCTGATCGCTCATCTCGGCGCCCCTAGTGCAGCAGACGAGCCCAATGAGACGGCCGTAAGGTAGTCTTCCCAGCCACCCGGCTGTTGCCCGCTTACGCACGGCTTCTGCTTACATCAAACCATGAAACGTCTTGCAATTCCTACGCGTGCACATGAAAGGACATGCACCAACAAAGCGATTTACGCGTCGCGACTTACGATACGTGCGCAGCCTACGACTGCTGGGCGCGGGACGGCCGCTTGCTATCACTAGCGACTTCATGTACCGACCGGCCACTCATGTCGGGGACTTTCAACCACAGACAAATATCCGCCTCAAATTGCCAGATACCTCCACTATCGCTACAACTCATCACCCGACAGATTCATCATCCATCCTCCAGGGGCTTCAAAAAGGACTTCTCAAACTGCGCAGCAGGGTGGGAGGAGTGGCAAAAGCAAGGTCCGACTGGGAATCGAACCCAGATTACAAGAATCAGAATCTTGTGTACTAACCGTTATACGATCAGACCCTCTTGTTGACGACCAGTTCCTGGCAGGCCGGTAAATGGTCGCATTTTCAGTGATTTTGGCGAAAACGTCCTCCAACGGCCCTCATCCTGTGACGAGACGGCCGTGACCAAGCTGAAGAGCTTCTGTGGACTCTTATTCATCTGTGAACTCAGTCTCGATGCATTCCAAGCCCTGGGGAGCGAGAAACATCGCTCTTAATGCGGGAGGGTCATGAAGCTTTGAGCGGCACAGAATTGACCGAGATAAGACTCGTGCTGGACGGGTGGCAAGCGACGTGCTTCATTGTTCATCACTCTTGAACTGATGCACACAGCACGACAGCGCCACCGAACACGAAGGGCGCGAAGATGCGAGAGAATGAGCTTCCAGATTCCCATACGTCTCTCGCCCTCTCTGCATCAAACCGGTTGGCAGCACACTTACGCTTGGTCGCGTCCTCTTGACCATTCACTTTGCTCTGACCAACGCCTCCCCTTCCCTTCCCCTCTTTAACCTGTCCACCGTCACGCCGTGCCAAAAGTTCATTCAGAGTCTTTCATTGCGTCGACGAGCATCAGCAGGATGTCGGAAGAGAAGCTTCCCACTTTCCAAGAGGGCGACTTCAAGCTCGTCTCAAGCGACAAGCACACGTACAGGGTGGACACGCATTACCTGCAGACATGGTCGTGAGTTCGCCCACTAACTTCAATCCTAACACCCAGTGTTGTGTTCCGCAACATGATCGCTGCCTGCCAAGGCGAGAGAGTCCTCGAGCTCCCGGAGAAAGGGCACGCGATCTGGCATTTCCTCTTTTTCATACAGCGCGCCAACTTCTGCCTCAAGGGCGACAGGTGGGACATCGACTTTTGCGACTTTGTCGTGTTTCTACACAAGTACGACTGCGAGCTGGCGCTCCAGCTGCTCATCGAGGGGGTTGCGGCCATGCCCGTGGAATATGCGGCGCGGCCTCTTTTGCTGTTCCTCATCGGCATACATGCGGAGCGCTACCCCCTCTGCGCGCGCGCCCTCGACATGCCCCCTCAGTGCTGGGGCGACACGCCCGCCGACAGCAGGCCACCCAACGTCGGTGACCTCACTGTCAGCGTGCTGCACCCATTGGCTTTCTCCTGCAACCTCTTCTGCAGGTTGCCGCAGGACTTCCTCTGGGCACTCTTGCACCTGCCGTACCAGGCTGCGGACTCTGCAGATCAGGGTGGGCTGGGCGACCGCTTCCTCAGTCTAATCAACTACGTCGTGTAGTCTGCACATCCCTGCGGCTCCAGCTCAGCTCTTAGGCTGCCTGCCTTCCTTTCTCCTCTTCTCTTCTGATACCAGTAGCATCGAATCATTCTCCGTTAATGTACAATCTATGTCAAACAGTTCACACTCCTCTACATTGCCTTGCCCTCGAAAATCTCGCCCGTGATGCCCTCCTCGATCGCGTCCCAATCCACTCCCGCGTCCGCATATACTCCATCAAAAGTGCCGATGCTGGCACGGGCGAAGAAGGGCTGCAGCTGGTATATGCTGTTGAGCGATTTGACGCCAGACAGCTGCGGCCGCCGCGGGTGTCCAGAGTTGATATCATACGGCTCGATGTCGACCGTGTTCTCGACCGGTTTGCTCATCGTCGAGTGCTCCATCAGGATCTCGGCCAGGCGGTCCATTAGCGCCTCGGGCGAGTATTGGTCTGGCGGGTACGCGGCGTCGGTCGTGTCCGTCACGAAGATCCACTGGTGGACCTGGAAGTCCTCGGACTGAATGACAAGAAGCAGGTCGAGGAACTTGCAGGCCGCCAGCACCAACGTTACATCGTCGCTGCCATCCTCTGGCAGCTCGTCCATCGTGGACTCGAAGACTCGCAGGAGCTCCGTCAAGATAACGGGCCAGAACTGCGTCAGGTGCTGTGGCGACACGCGGCACATCAGCACGCGGAGGCACAGGTATACCTCGGAATGCACGCGCGGTGAGACGACGTGGTTGCGCAAGATCTCGACGAGCTTCTCCTGGATCATGGGAAGCTGTGGGAGGTAGTGGTTACGCTCGGCAGCCAGCAAGACGAAAGACAGTCGTCGGAGATTGAGAGAGCGGGAAACAGTCTCCGCCTCACGGTTCGTGAAGATGTTTGCTGACGGTGCCGCGGCGATCCGGCCTGAATGTCAGATTGTACCAGGCGGTGCATTACTTACCGATTAGCTCAGTGAAGCGCTCCTTGTCACTATCCATCAGCGCACAGACGAGAGGCTTCCATGGCTCCGACTGCGGCGGCGTGATCTTGAAAAAGCGGTTGTCGTTGAATGCGTCGGCGAGGGGCGGACGCCATGCTTTGGCGGCGGGCGGAATCTTCGCCATCTCGCGCAGAAGAGTCACTGTCGCGTCGTCGTTGAACTTGTGCCGCCGGAATACAGGCACAACCAGACTTTGCGAAATGGCCGAGCACGCTGAGAGAACGCGGTCGTTATCGCTCAGGAAAGTGCGCAGATTGCGGACGACATTTCCTCCTACGAAGGAGTACACTGGAGGACCGGTCCCGGACCCTTGCTTTTCCTGAATAGAGGATGAGTCCGCCGACAGCTGCCCGTCGCGCTCCCATGTCGTGGCCTCGCCGCCCTTGGCTACTCCAGAAAGAACAGCATCGAGGATCTTGACGTACGTATCCTGGAGGTCGCGTCGTAATCGCCGGTCTTCAAGAGCACTAGTCGTGGAGACAATCTGACCGAGTACAGTAAGGATACGCAGGACGGGGAACAATTGCGCCCTGGACGCGCCACTGCCAGACTGGCTGAGAACTTCGCGAGCGTAAGCGTACAGAGGGTTCCAGACCTGAACGGCGATCGGCCCCTCGAGTTGACTGACATACGCCTCCAAGAAGGCAGGGAGGACGGGATTAGAACTGAGGTTAGCCGGTGAACGGAGCGCTGACTTACCTATCGGATATCGAACCGTGACCCTTTCCGTTCATGTGCTCGCAAACCAGGTCGACAATCTTCTGCGCACTGGGCGCCAGGTTGTCTAGGCAGTCGAAGATCGCCGCGTCCGCGATGTCGTCGGAGTTCTTAGCCCAGGTGACGATGGAGCTGCCCACAACTTCGGAAGCATGTCCCTTGAAGAGCTTCTCCAACGCCTTCTGAGCCCTGTCTCGTGTGCGGGACATGATCTGAGTCTGCGAAGCCGTGGAGTAGGGCTTTTGCAGGTGATCAGGCTCAAGATCCTCTTGCGTCACAGTCCAGAGGACCAAGAGTGCGTCCATCACGTTGTCGAGGTAGCGAGCCGCTTCCAACTTGGACTTTATATCAGCTAACGGTTAACTCAAGCACTCACCGGCAAGTCTGGCGGGGCCTCTACGGAGAACACCGTGGGCAGGTATCCGAGAAGCCCTCCCTCCCGATCGTGCTTTTCACGATCATCGCTCTTACGCGAGCCGGCTTTAGCACCGAGGACCATGGCCAGTCGCTCCACCACACCGATAAGCATGATGGGTTCAGCCTCAGTCACGGTCGCAGCTTGATCATCAATCGAAGATGAAGTGAACGTTGCGTGCAGATTGAGCATGGTGTCTCGCAGCTGCTCGCAGAAGGCGTCGCTCAAGGTACGCAAGTGGAGAGGCTTGTAGTCGAAGTATGAGATGACCATGAGCACGAAATCGATCCAATGCTGGAGAATCGGCCGATTTCCTGGTGCTGCTACACCGGTTTCGATCATTCCAACCAGCGATCGATCGAACTCTGCCTGGGGGTCTTCCACTGGGACTGCGGCCCCGCCCTTCTCCGGGAGAGAGAACGTCGACGAGGTCACTCGGTGTCCACGCCGCTTCTCGTTTCCTGTAGTGATGGCCGAATGAAGAAGGTGCAGCATGCTGTTTTGCAATGTGAGGCGACGGTGCTGAGTCGCGAGGAGAAGTTGCGACACCAAAGTGGTCTTGATGAGGTCAAGTGATACACTTGTTAGGTCGCCGCGAGAGACGAGGAACATGAGCAACTCCAATGCCGCCGATTGCATTCTCTGGCGAGATGGATCCCGGCTGTCCTCTTTCAGCAGTCCAGTCATCATCTCCACCATCAGCTCCAGGTAGTTGTTGCTGTTGGGATACCGGGCTTCTGCCGTCGTGACGAGCTGAACGTTGACCGACTTGGAGACCTCCGCCGTTTTGCACGCCTTGCTCAGTCCTTGGCCGCCAAAGCGAAACAGACTCGTGAGACTCGTGACGTAGTACTGCACTTGCGACGAATCGAACTTGCCCTTAATAGGTTGTGAAGCGTTCAGAATGCGTCTGATCAGCGGGTCGAGCATTCGGAAGTAAGACTTGACGTTGCAGCGCATCCACGTTTCGGAAGTGCGGAGCTTTTGCGGATCGTCGCTCTTCAGTCCCTCCAGTACCATAAACATTGGCACATGGAAGATCTCTCCTGGGAGCATAGAATCGTCTAAGGTTAGCATCGCCTCACTATCGCCTGCTCACCTGAGTGGCGCCACAAAACGCCGAAGGCTTCGAAAGCTTCCTGTCGATGCGTGGGCGAGTTCATTCTGCGGGCGATGACGTTTTCCAGGGTATGGACCTCGGCCAGTAAGTTGAGGTCCCAGATGAGCTCCACGGCCCGGGTGTGGTATAGCGCTGCATCAGCGCGAAGATACCGGAACAGCGAGTCCAACACCACCGACATCACAGTGTCCGCAGTGACATCGACCGGGGGATCAAAGACTTTCGAACGGTTGGCCTTCAGAACCAGATCCACGAGCCCTTCGACTACTGCGAACGATCGGACCTGCTTCAATCGTCGCAGCACGGCAGCCATCCAGGCGGTTGTGTCAACAGTGCTCAGAGGGGCAAGCTCCTTGTCCACCGCATACTGTGTCAACGAGTTGCCCAGAACTAATGCCTCTGGGCTCCATCCCTCCTTCAATGACTGCTCCGACGACTTGAAAATGGTCGTCACAATGCGGGGCGCAACCTCTGCTTTGACCCGCTGCTCCAAAACGTCCTCCGCTGTATCGTTCTCGTAAACGGTTTCGATAATTGAGTCGTCACCATCCTCGGCCCTCGCATTGGCGAAGACACTGCTAGGAACCATCGATATAAGGGTGTTCGCCAAGCGAAGGGCAGCAGTGCGCGTGTCAGGCTTCGTGAGCGCCGGGAGACGTTGCAGGATTGTAAACAGCAGCAGTGGTGCGTGGATAGTCAAGACTTCATGGTCGCTCTTGGTGACAGCGTTCAGAAGCCAATCGATGAGGACTAGGTGTTCCGTGCTGTCGTTCTCGAGGTCTCGGTTGACAGCGTCGTGAAGCTGTTTCCAAAGGACTGATGGCTCGATGTCATCGTACACCGCCGTGACTGTACTGCGAACATCCTTCCCTTCAGGTCCAGTAGCTGCCTGATAGATGATCTGCAAGACAGGAATGGCCAACTTTGTCGACAGAGCCTGCCCGATCTCCCACTTATCGAGGAGAGACAAGAAAGTTTTGAACGGCTGCTGTGCCTCGGCAACATCATGCGCCTCCCGCAGCCGGCCCATGTCATTCTGCGTGCGTTAGTCGTTTCCAGAGTCGCCCGAGCATACCTGAAGAGTTGTGGCGAGAGGTTCAAGTCCATGCTGCTTGAAGTACTCTCCCTGGTTTTGAGTCGACTCATCCGCGCTGAGGAACCAGGTGTACACACGTCTGCTCAGCGACACGTCGCGCTGCAGCACAACAGCCGAAACAGCCCGCACGAGATGATCGCGATCTCCCGGTGTTGCCTCTCTGTTCGGTCAGCAATCTACCATACTGCACGGCTTACCGGAATATCGCTCCATCGAGAGGCAGTATTCGCAGGAGCAGATCCAACCCGCCGCGACGAACAAGCATGTTCTGATCTCCCAGCACCGCCGCCACACCTCGAATCAGAAGACCAACGTCGGACGAGGTAACCAGCTCTTCCGGTACCTCAACCAATTGCCGTGCCAGGTAGTTGAGAGCTGCTAGTCGAGATGCCGGGCTTGAGATGAGCACGAGGAAGATGTTCTGCAGGAAAAATTGTTGCGACACTGCCTGCGACAGCGTGTTCAACAGGGCGAGAACCTGGTCGAAGAAGTCTCCCGTCTCTTCTTCAAGCCCCGGAAGCAGCGCGAGAATCATAGCTTTCGTGGCTGGTCGCAAGTCCTCTCCGAGAGGAAGGTAATAGGTCTCGTAGAGATTCAAGAGCGCTGGTCGGACCGATGTAGCGGCGTACTGGAAGAACGGGAACAAGCCGGATGACCAGACTAGAAGATCCCGTTTCAGTCCTTCAGTCTGGGCCGGTTAGTACGCGTCAGGTGCCGATGACTCACCCCGATGATGCTGAAGACATGTCCGTAGACGTCGAGGGCTCGGGTGTGTACTCCAGAAGGCAATGCTGGGTTGAGACACTGTGCTAGTCGCTTAGCGATGATGAGCTTCTTTGTAATCTCATTGTATGGAGGACTTGGAGTTTGCAGAGTCTACTCGTCAGCTCACGCCCGTCACCAGCGTCACACCTTAAGCAGCCTCGAGAGGAACGAGATGAAGTCGGCCCATTCATTGATATTGTCGAATGACTGCAGGCATCGGTCGACCTGGCTGGCGAACTTCTTGTAGCGTCCGTCATTGGCTAGGAGGCTCTGGGCCGCAGCTGATTGTCAGTGAAAACCAGTGACATGTAACACACCTCTGGCTGAGCGCCGACGCTGTTCCGGAGTCGTGCGCCCGCTGGCCAGTGCGGTGTCTCCCGCGTAGGCGGTGACGGGCGAAGCGTCGTGAGCGAGAGAAGCTGCTCGTGATAGGCCTGGAAGCATGAGTTTGGACAGTCGGCCATGAGAAGCAGGTCGTCGGAGTTGTTGCTTGTTTTGAGGTTCGGACGAGGGTGTTGAGGAGGCCTGTGCCGGGCCGGGTGACGCTGACCTGGTGCCAGGGGTGGAAGCGGCCTTGGCAGAGGCTACGGAGGAGGGACCTGCCTCTGCCGGCTGCAAACTTCCGTTCTGCTCAGACATGGGTGTTAGAGCGTTCGGTCAGGCGGCCGTCGTTGTTGCAGTGTCGACAAGGGGAGGATGCATCGCATCGTCCATAGTGACGCTGGCGGCGGCGAGTAGGCGTAGACCGGCCCGCCAGGCCGCCAGGCAAGCGGCGGCCGTAACCGTCATGTCAACCTGAAACACGTGACCACTACGTCAGCTCCATCGGCTTGGCCACTTGGCGGCGGGCACCCAGGGCCAGATCGTACTTGGATCCCAGAGGTGGTCGTTCGATTCTGACTTCCAACAACAACAATCGCAAGCCCCTTTTCCCTTTGTGAACCCTCGCAGCTTTCAGAACATTATCGACACACTCGAAGCATTCATCGAAGGCGCACATGCACTCCAACTGCCATGCCCGTCGATAGTCTCGATGACGGAATCAGGTATGTCACCTTCCACCGGCTGTCAGCCCTCCCCTCACCCGAAGTGCAGCTGACGCCTCTCAGGCTGGAGACCGCGTGGATCGAGGCGCTCAACAACTCGGTTTCATACTTTCGAGCGCTGCTGAGCTCGTCTGGAAGCTCGGCATGGAAGCGGGTTTCCTCGAATCCCGCCACACCAGGCAGCCCCGTGCGTGAGACGAGTGGTAGCGCCAAGGGGAAAGCAACATCGCTTGGCTCTATCACGACGAAGGATGTAGTCGTCCACAGACGAAACGGCAAGGGCGGTGAGGTCTTTCGGGCTGTCGTTGAGGTCGACTGCGGCTCGGACGTTAATGTCGACACATTTCGAGGGTGTCTTGCGACCCCCGAAACCAGGGCTGTTTGTGAGTAACGACTAACGCTTCACATTCCGAACAGTCAGCTGACAGTCCAGGGGATCGTATGGTTGAAGACGCACAGCTCCTAGACCTGCTGGACACAAATACACGAGTGACGAGAACTAACTATCGATTGGGATGGCCTTCGAGGTATCTGATGGCCGCGTTGCTTCCTGCTGACATGCACAGCCCGAGAGACGCGGTGACCATCTCCAAATCGCTGGTTGATCAACACACGCTGATCGATGTGTCGACTTCAATTCCGAGATCCCGTCACGAACCCGCTTATCTTCGACCAGCCCCTCCCCACGTCCGTGCCAATGTGTCTCTCATGGCTTGGTGTATCCAGCTTCCCTCCAACTCCTCTCGCTCTGCCGATCCCCCCCTGCCAGAGGGGAAAGCACGGATAACGTGCTTTTGGTCCTGGAACCCCAAAGGAACTTGGGCTGTCGGAGGTGCCGTTCCACAGCATTTGCCGACCGTGTTAGTGGGACTGGTAAATCACATCAGGGATGGCAGCGAGAAGGTTCCTGTCCTACTGAGCTACGGCAACGACGTTAGCATTACGGGGCTTCATTACGATCCGGGCCGCGTTACGCTATCGGCCAATTACGCTGTGGTTCGCAGCGACGACGCGAAAGACGGAACGAAGCGCCAACTCGAGTTCGGAGTGTCCTCGACGCAAGGTTGGGATGTCCAGGTGCTCGTCAAGTCCCAGAATGGGGAGGAGTCACCCTCCCTGTCGTGGACCTCCTTCGTCGGGCAGTCGCCACCTTCGATATCTGGATCAGCTCCACCGAAACGATTGGTCCTGCGCCTCCTGCACTCTCAATTGCAGCCTGGAGAGGAGCTGGTACGTGTCAAGGTAACCATAGAACAGACGGTGGCGTCGGCGGAGGCCGCGGCACAGGTCAAGGTCAACGGTATCCCGGTTCCCGTTCTGCCCATGACCACTACACCCCTCAAGGAGCTCCTGGGCGGCTCTCCTGGAGACAGCGCGATGTCATTGCCGACCGTCGACACAGCAAGCAGTCTGCGAACAGGCTCGGATGATTCGACCGAACGTCAGCGTCTGGCGCGGAATGGCCGGAGCTCTGCAGTCGAGCGAGGAATCAACAGCCTGATCAAGAGGAACTACATCTACTTCACGTCGCTCCTGCAGGAACCCGAGCAAAAGTGGCGGCCAGTGGCCGAATCCAAGGGTGTCTCCGTCCACCAGCTGGACTCGATCGATCGAACCCTGGTCGTTTTCCGTGCAGAGGCAGTGTTCGTCGGAGTCAGCCTCTGGGATCTCTTCGCCACCATCACGACACCTGGGGCACGTTACTGGTGGGACAAGACCTACGATGAGGCGCTCTTGTTGGAGGACGTCAACGAGGTCACAGACGTTTGGCACTTCAAGTCGAAGGCGTCGTGGCCGGTATCTGCTCGTGATTCCATCATGGTGCGCTCGACGTACAAGTCGCCTACCTCGGTCCACATCTTTGGCTTCTCCACAGAGGACGAGTCTCTGTTCCCGGTACCACCGTCAATTGACCCCAACGTCATCCGTACTCAGATCGATCTGCAAGGATGGTCGATCGAAGCGCTTTCACCAAACACCACGCAGGTCACTCTGCTTGAGCAAAGTCATCCGGGAGGCTGGTCAAACAAGTCATCAATTCCCCAAGCGACGATGACTACCCTGGCGGGGCTAGGCGAATTCGCGATCAAACACGGGGCGCCACCTGTCGCCACCCGTCTAGGTGGCGCAAAGGCGGTATCTTCGAACTACGACCTGGACAAGGAGACATACCGGTTTGAATACGAGCCCGCCGCCACGCGGCGATCTTTCTCGTCGAGCACCAATACTGCCTTTTCGCCTCCAGGAACTCCTGATCTTAGAGGCGACGGGATTAGCACCTTCTCTTTCGATACTTCGGACTCGGGCCGCAGCATTGAGTGTGGGCTTCGCATCGACGCGGACACATGGGCGAACAGCGTTTCAGTCCTTGTCGACCCGCCACCAAAGAACGTCTCTGCACTCAAGCGTCACCGCCTGTCTCCTAACTGTGGAGGATTGTGGATCACTGTGGAGCACGACGCTGCCTCGCTGACCGACCGAACCGTGACAATCACCGTCCGCCGCGGACCGCAGTCGGCCACCGGAAAGGTATCCTTGACTGTCAACGGGTCTAAACTCAAGATCGACAACGAAGACATGACGCAAGCAGATGTGCAACAGCTCAAGAAGCAGAAGCGGTCGAGGCCATCGCGTAGTGCGCTGGATCAGCCTCCCGCCCTAAGTCCGATGCGGAAGCGACAAAGCACTGCATCTCTCCGCGGTGCTGCGCAGAATGGTCAACCGCAGGGACCGCCGAATGGTTTCAAGCCTTTCTACGCACCGTTTGCCCGACTTTACAATGCTGCCGCCGAATCGACACGGTCAATCGTGCCTCTGGCTGCTCCGTCCCCGGTACCTGAGTCAGGGACCTCGCCGGTGGACGCTGCGCTTACTGCGCTGCGTCAGATTTGTCGCATCAACGCAGACCGCGACGGTGAATCAACAGATCCGTTTGGCTGGCAGCCTGTTTCGGACCGCGATGGACTCAAGGTCGAGAAGCGAATCGTGTCTCACGTTTCGGACAGCATTTCCGTGTTTAGAGCAGGACGGATCATCGAGGGTTTCACAGCAGAGGAAGTCTCGTCAGCGGTGTCATCCTTCCGCAAGGACGACTACTTCGAGAAGCCGGTGCGACTGCAATCATATGGCTACGGTATCACAACTACAATGGCCACCGCACATACGTCTTTCCCGTTCCGTGACCGTCTCGCCCTGGTTGCAACCGTTGTTGCCCGCGTTGGTGACTCACCGCCGACCTCTCCATCCGTCGCCTCTCATTCTCCCCTATCAACCATCTACCATGCGTCCACTTCATCCTTTGATCCCTCGACTCTGGGTCTGGATGCTGCGAAGTACAACCCCAGCCAACTCTCGCCGGTGAACGTGATCATCGAGGGGTGGATCCTGGAGACGATCGACCCTTACAGCCACGAGCAGTACGCAATCCCATCGACGAGGTGCATGTACGTTGGAGCTATGGACTACAGCGGCAACATCCCCATCTCTGTCAACAACATGCTCAACGCCGGCCTTCCCAGGTCACTCCTCAACATTGAGAACCTGCTCAAAACACATGGCCCGCCGTCTCGCTCGCGATGGCCGCCTATGTGCGTCCTTGTGCCCGAGACGTCGGCCCGCGGACCATGGGGTCTGGAGGGTACAGAGTCGTACAAGGTTCCTGTTGACCAGGTCAACGATGGAGACGACTACGTTATCACCGTCACCGTTCAGCCCCCAACCTGTCGTGACCGTCCGCACCCTTCGCTCAGGCACGCTGATAGTCGCGGCTCGATGGGCTCAACCATGCGGTCGCAGGGAGTCAACCTGACTGAAGACGTGCGTCGCGGCCGGCGTGACCTGATCGTGGCGGAGATCGATGTCGCCAGTGACTTCATCAAAGGAGGATGCGAGATTGCGATCCGCGCCGTCTCTCTGCCTGAGGCGTATTATGGCACCGGAACAGAGTCTAACATGCTCCCTTTGACCTTCCCCGGAGACAAGCTGAGCCTTCCGTTCCGCTGTACCGTGATCTCGCTTCAGCCCTCGGTCTTACAGGCCGCATCGTTGGATCCCAAGACACAAACGCGGCATCTTCTCCGCATCACCCTTCCCACTTCTGGGTACGAGGCCCCCGTCAATGATCCACTGACTGGCTCAACGTCCCCTCTCCCTCGCCCCCGATGGCTGCTCGATCTCATCAACGATGGCGCGGTGGTCCAAGTGCGCCTCCAGGGCCGGAAGAAGGAGCCGCCCGCGTACATGTTCGAGGGTGCCGAGCTCCAGATTGAGGATGAGCGCAAGCTCATGCCCACCCAGCAGCTGAAGGAACCGTCCAAGCTGCGGCCACCTCAGCTGGTCCCCGCTTCGTCTGCCGTGTGCACGACCAAGCTGGACAAACCCCTCGCCGCGTCCAAGGAGTACCTCCCGGACAAGCCCCTCGTCACGCCCGCGGTGGTCGAGGAGGAGGAGGACGCCGAGTCCGAGTCGACCAAGACACCGACAAACGAGCCCGCCGAGCCCGAGAAGAAGCTCGAAGTGGATACGAAGCCAATCCCGTCGAACGGCGCCTCAGAGCCCGAGCCGAAGACGGCCCCTCCGGCGCCCTACTCCCGCTACAATTTCTGGCGGTACGGCGCGCTGCGTTTCAGCTATTCCGCCCCGGTGTCGCAGGACGCGAGCCCTGTCAAGTCGGCGGCACCGCTGCCGAGCGTGAAGGCGAGCGTTGCGACGGCGGTGCCTGGGCCGTCGAGTGCGTCGGTGGCGACGGCGACGGCCACGAATGGAGAACAGGCCGAGCGCGCGACGAGAGATAGGATCCCCCTCACGCGCCAGAACGTCGTCAGTGTCCCACTGCCGGCGGTCATCATCCTCTGCGTCGTCTGCTTGTTACTGGGCTCGTTGCTCCGCTCGCTCATCACTGAGAGCGACTTTGTCATCTACTCCAAGCCCGGCACTGAGCCGCCCGCCGGCGAGATGTGGCGCGAGCTCAAGCGTCTCGGCGAGTGGAGGATTGGATGGAACCGAGACCTGATTGTAGCACTAGCACAGCGGCGCCAGTAGCAAGACCCCCCTCAACCTCAACGAACATACCTTTAATAGCATTCATTCACTTCATAGCTTCCCGCTCCTCGCGATCGAACACAGAAACCACATTATTGTACACTATGCATCCCCCAATAATCTCGCGCGCAAGTCGTCTGCAAAGTGTGATACGTGATACGTGATACATCGAGTTGTGTCTACTCGGAGAACTGGGCGACGAGGTACTGGCTGACGGAGGTGGGGGAGAGGGGCGTTCCGAGGTCGGTGATGATAAAGTCAACGAGCTCGGGGTACGTGACGTCAAAGTTTGGCTGGTTGTTCTGCATCTCGACGGACATCTTGGGCTGCTCCCTTCCGGCGAGGAGGGGGGTGGTGACGCCGCTGGTGGCGGGGGTGTCGCGGTCCGCGCCCGCGTTGGAGGTGCGGCGCGAGGGCGTGGTGAACTTGCGGGCATTGAGCTCGTCGTCGGGGAACGAGAGCGGGACCCGCTTCTCGGTGCGCGGCATGGGGAGATCGGTCTGCGACAGCGGGTAGTGGCGGAGGAACTTGTAGCTCTCGGCGAGCGCGTAGACGGGCTTCTGCATCGCCTTGGCGACAAGCGCGACCTGGTAGGTGCCCACCGACGAGACGAGGGCTCCAGACTCGACAACCGCCTCGCAGCCCAGCAGCACCATGTCGACACGCTCCATGACGTATCCGACCGCACTGTCCAGGATCACAGTACACGGGATGCCCGCCTCGGTCAGCAGCTCATGCGTCTTCATGCCGAGGCAGCCCGGTCGCGCCTCCGTCACATACACGCTGACTCGCTTGTGCTGCTTGTGCGCGCGGAGGATTGTCTGGATCACCGTTCGCGAGTACGAGTGCGTGAGGATCTGGGGTCAGCTACGAGCTACCAGCACGACAACTCAATACAAAGGGATACTCACAACACAGTCGTCGCGCACAAAGTCGACAGCCTGCTTCGCAATCTTGTCGCGGCAGTGCGGTGCCGTGACACTGCAGAACGAGCGGCCCTGCGCAATCAGACCCCGCTTGTACGTCGGGAAGTCCTGTCGTCAGCTCAAGCTGTCTGAGGTTTAGCTCACCTCGCTACCACCTCCAGACAGCGCGACGAATCGCTCCCACAGCTGACATCCGGCGCGCACTCCCAGCGAAGCCTGCGTGTCGATCAGAGCTCGTCGGCCGTGCGTCAGTTCCATCGCCAGTCCTGACATCGTGGACGCTGAGAGTTAGCTCCGAGAGATAACTACAGCTTACCAGTCGAGGCCTCCATAAGCTCCACAAGAGCAAGGATCGCAGCTACCGGGTGCGGGTACTGCAGTTAGCTTACAGGACGCGAGGCAGCCTACCTTCTCATCAGTCAGTGCTCGCTGGTACGCAGCGACAATGTCGAAGGAGGAAGAGGATGACGGGGCGGAAGCAGCGGCGCCGAGGGGCGATGGAGTGGTGCCGGTGTTTGAGTTGCTCGTGCTCATTCTGAGCGACGACGCGGCGGCAGACATGGTGGTGATGTTGAAGGGAGGTGTGGAAGTTGGTGGTTGTCAGCGGTTGACCGGGGCTGAACAAAGAAAGTGCAAGGTGAGCCGTGCCTGAAAATGATTCCACCCACCACCACGGGGCTTCACCAAAACCACGAGCCAACAGTTGACTCGTCATGGCGCGGCACCATGGCACCACCACGGGTGGATGCATTTTGGTCCCCTTCGCCGCCGCTGTGCCATCAGAGGGTTCAGCCAACAGGCCCCTCGATCAACCATGAAAGCGAATGCCTGCGCCTGCAATGCTGCACCACAGCTAACACTCCCTTCCCACAACACTCTCCCCACCACCCCCATCTCCCATCCACCACCATGCCCGGGCACGACTACACCGACTCGGAGCCAGAAATCGACCCCGATGAGCTCATCCAGGACATTGACAACGACAACGACGATGCCGACCATGGTGTAGCCACTCCCACGACCCAGGCCAGCGCAGCCTCCCCCACCAAGGAGCCCAAGTCGAAGGACTCGAACCAGTCTCTCAAGATCACAGTACGTGTTTCTGTGCTGATCATGTGCGATGTGCGCGTGCTCCGTACACATCTCCGCGGCCAGCCACAATTCTGCAAGAGCTCACGCTGACCTGTACTAGCTGCGACCAGGTTTGGCCTCTTCCTCCACTGCCGCCGATGAGGGCTCGTCGTCCCCCGCCCCGCAGTCGATCAAGCTGAAGCTCGGCATGAAGCACTCGATCGCGTCCTACTCTTCATCCGAAGACGAGGGCAACGGGGACAAGGAGCGCTCGCCTCCGGCGAAAAAGCAGCGCACGTCGAAGAAGTCGCGCGCCTCGCCTAGCAAGGACTCAAAGGACGGCAAGGAGACCTCGACCGGGCCGAGCCTGCCCGCACCGCACCGCAAGGCGTACGACTGGCTGCCTAGTAGTGCAGCCGGCGCGAGCCACCACGGACCCGAGGGCCGCAACCACCTGAAGGACGACGACGTGATCAGCGATGCGGGAACGGACACGCCCGCGCCAGAGAAGGAGGTCAAGCCCAAGAAGGGCGGACGGAAACGCGCCCCGGACGCCCCGCCGGGACCGGGCAAGAACTGGAGGAAGGGCATGAGAAAGTGAGCTTTTACCGTGGCGGACTTGAGCTGACGAAACAGAGGAGACCCGATCCCGTGGAAAGACGGCGCGACGTTCCTCGGCGGCGAGGGGCGGCCAAAGTCTTCCCCGTTGTCCACGCCGAACCGCCCGAGTCTCAGCCGCGACGTGTCCCCGGAATCTATCGGTGAGTTTATAGCTTTTTCCCATACGATACAGCTGACATCAGACGACACGATTTTGGCTGTCGCGACGGGGAGCACGAAGAGGAAGGCGCACGTCGACGACAGGGCACGCAGCCCCTCTCCGCCCTTTGTACTCGCGGACGCGGCCAAGCTCGGCTTCCCCGTGTTCTCGAAGCCGATCCACCAGCCAAAGATTGCGCTCTCGTCCTTCCCGAAGGTGACCAACTCGTTTGCTCAGTTTGACAACAAGCCCTTCCGCAAGGAAAAGGTGCGCGAGTGGACGTACTCTGAGCGCACGCTGCCAGGTATCGGCGGCGGAACGCTCAAGTTCAAGACATGGTCGCGCGGCCCGCAGAGCGAGTTTGGTGTCATTGCCGCGCAGATGAAGGAGGCCGAGCTGCTCGCCAAGCAGCGCAAGAAGGAGGCGAAGGAGGCCGAAAACCGCGAGGGCTCTGCTGTCGCCGCCGAGCGTCCGCTCTTTGGCCACTCGCAGTCGAGCGAGAGCGTGCCCCAGGTCGGCGACGACAGCGAGATTGTCTCCGAGGCGGGCGACGCGGACGAGAGCGTTGTCAGTATCGCGAGCGCGTCGTCGACGCCGACACCGACGATGCGCGGACGCGGCAAGAAGGCCAAGCCGAGGAAGAGCAAGCTCGCGCAGGAGATTGTCCCCGACGACTTTGAGTAGAATCCCCATTGCTCGTGCTTCACGATATACCCAGTAGAGTAGTCTTTTTGTTACATATGTACAACTGCAGGAATACATGGGGGAGCATGGTTTGCTTGGTCGTGTTGCGCTGCCCGTTGCCGTGCGTTGAGCGCGTGCGTTGCGTCGTTCTTAGGCGCCAGGGGTGTTGGGTCTCGATGAGCTGTCGGATCCAAGGCCCTGTCCGAGCATTCCAAACTGGGACATGCGGTTCTGATCGCCTGTTCTGATCAGTTTGTTCTCCACTATCCCTCAACTCACATCTGCCTTTCCGGAGGTCAGCGAGGGTGGTGCGGACCTGGAGGTGGAAGATTTCGGGCGGGCAGTCCTTCCCGGCCCAGCTGACAGTGAGGGCCCACATGAACTCTGGCGGGCACATGATCCAAAAGTCGTAAGGCAGGCAGCGGGGATCGAGCGTGCTCTGACCCAGGAGGCGGCGGACGTTCATTGCTGTCCAGCTCACGGCCACGTTTTCAATGTACCGATCCCAAGTGGTGGTGCGATGCTGGAGGGCGCCGGACCACGTCCTCTCGTCGTCGGCCACGGCCCCGACGACGAAACCAAGGAAGGGCGGCCAGTCGCCCGCATCGACGCGCTGCCTCACCTCGACCAGCACGGTGCGCAGCTGCACGCGACACTCGTACTTTTGTAGAAAGTGGACGAGCGCATACAATGCGCGGATGGCGCGGAGTTCGGTCGGTTCCGCCTCCACGACCGTCGGGGGCAGGTAGACGTGCAGCCTGCCGAGGGTGACGAGGTCGAGGAACATGCGCATGACCGGGGCGGTCTCGATGCTCTCGTCCGAAAGGGAGAGCTCGCGCGGCCCAGAGCCGATCGCGAACAGGTCCCGGAACACGGAGGACGCACTCAGGAGGTGGTACGACTGCACGCGGAAGGTGACGCCGTCGGCGCTGTGGATCGTCATGTCCCCGTCGCTCCAGAGGTGGAGGTTGTCGACCGACTCGGCGACTGCCGCTCCCCACGCGCTGCGAGCTTCTCCTTCATCCGCCGCCCCTTCGTGCCGATCGTGACGACGGGGGCGTCCTCGGGGGAGCTCTGGCGCGAGGACGTGGATGGCCGGTGCGACATGATGCGTCGGTGTCGGTTGGAGCGGAGTGAAAGGAAAGACGGGGTGGCGAGAAAGAGTGTGTTGGGACAAGAACAAAAGTCGAGATACAGGGGGAACGTGCAGTTCAAGAGTCGTGATCGCGTATGCGGTGCAAGTTGTAACTCGCCCAACGTCAGGCGCCAGTCGGGATGGCCGAGAGTGAGGGACGAGGGACGAGGGACGGCGCGGGGAGCAGGATCGCAGAACTCGATCGGTTATCGTCGTGCCTGGCATTTTGTCTGCATGAAACCTGGGCCAGTTGTGCACTCGGAAGCGTCTGAAACCCTCTGCGGCGCGCGGCGTGCGCGACGTATTGGGCTTGTCCTGCGATCCTGCGTGCGCTCGTCGTCATTTTCCTGCAAGCAAATCCTACTTATCCTGCCGCAATCCTGCAAGATGTCCTGCAGATGTCCTGCATGTCGTGCACATGGCCTGCGCATGTCCTATAGATATCCTGGGCTGCAGCCCTATCATGCATCGTGCATCCTGCAATACTGCAATGCTGCGCGCAATCTATGACGCCCAATCCTGGCCGTCGCACTCATGCGCACCCCGATATCCGCGCATCCGATCCATCCCACTTCCATCACAGCGGCAAAGGTACACAGGAAGCGAGCAATGATTAACAATTCAGACTCGAGTCTGTGCCGTCCTTCTCGTCCTTCCTTTCTTCGTTGCTCACAAATCACATGCCGATGCGGCCCTCGCTTGCACGATAGCGCGCTTCAGTGTCGCTAATCTGTCCGCTCTGGAGGGTGTGTCGCGCGGAGCGGAAATACTACGACTCCTCTCCTTCGTTTCGGACCGTGTGCACTGCTCCGATGTCGGTCAACCACACTGATATCGCGGAAAGCACATGACGCGCTGGGCGAGCGCATATTGCGGCACACAGTGGGCTGCACCCATCGCTCGTCCTTTGGATAGGATTACCCATATTACCCCGCATCATCGCGGCGAATAGAGCGAAGGACCAGTGGCGAACGCCGGATGCCGTTCGCCAACCGTCCCGTGGGCAAGGTCTATTCCTGCACATGAGCGAAATATTGGGCACCGTGGGCACTAAACGACGCTAGCGTCAACTGGAGCTCTCACCCACCAGCATCACACCAGAGGAACCGTGATGGAGCACATTTGAGCCGCGGAGACTCATCCCCATGCGCGCGGCATGCCGTGCATGCGAGGCCACGGCACCATCTACCCACACCCAGCGCACATAGCACCCATCGGCTCATCGGACAAGCCTTGCATCCTCTCACCCACTCTGACTTTCTCGTCATCTGTCCTCTCCACAGGACTCTGTTGCACCCACTCACGTCTCTCAAATCCTTCCTCAAAGCAGACGCGCGTCGCAACGCCACGACCGCCATTGTGTCTCCTGCTTCTGAAGCGAGAGACAAAGGCACTCCCCCACCTCCGCCCAGTTACCCCGCGGCCCCACTGTGAGGCGAAACGGTGCTCGAGCCACTCCGCCATCCGCCATGGCAAGCCACCTTCCGGCGCCTTCAGCGACAGGAGACGCTCTGCGCAGGCGCACTCCCGCTCCTCCTCATGAGCTCGGGGGGCAAGATGGCCCCGGCACAAACGGCGCAGGAGGCGTAAGCCCCCTGGTGACGCGAGAGACGCGCGAGATGGACGCGGTCGAGCACAGCTTGGACGTGCCCCGAACGAACAGGCAGGGCCGAACACCGCAAATGTGTGCGACACTGTTCCTGCTGTCGATACCGATGCGTGCCCTGAACGCCTTGCAGCGAGTGTTCTTACTGGGTGGGTTAAACTGCAGAAAGTTGTGCTGATATCAGTCCCGGAGGGATGTCGGGCCGCACTCGTCGCGATCTGGGCGTTCGCCGCTTGCTTCGTAGATGGACCCCAGAGCCAGGACGTTGTCAAGAAGACGGCACGCAAGATCTCGGACGTCTACAGCCCCATCATCATCGTTGCGCTTATCTCGGTCATTGTGAAGAGCTCCAGAGACGGACGGTTGAGAGCGAGCCGGCAACGACAGCAGGAACAAGGTGGACAGAATGGGCAGAATCAGCAGACTGGAGACGGTCGGCCCACGAGAGGGAGAAGAAGCACCGGTGCTCTCATCAGGAGGCGGCTGCTCAAGCGCGCTCTCCATCTGCTTCCCTGGCTCATCATGGGCCTGGTGTGGATGGGGCTGAAACAGCTGGCGAGAGTTCGGATCACAGAGTGGAGGTATATGTAGCCGTGGAGGTCGGAGGCGTTGAGAAAGGTACCCGTTGTAGACTTGTTAATGGGATGAATGAGTGAAGGCGTTCTTCAGAGATAAAGAGGGCGAAGGGAGAAGCACAGCAGCGAGTCTAGGAGAGCGAGGAAGGAAAGGCTGCGGACAAGAAGGTCCCGGAGGAAGACATGACCAGGTATCGGCAAGCGGCCACTGACGTACCGGACGTGCCTGGAACAAACCACCACCTATCTTAACAGCCGTCATGCGATCGTCGGCTGATTCCTCAACCGTTCACTCGCGCACTCGCATGCTCACACTCATGCACAGCACACCATGGGTCGGCACCCGTGCTTAGACGACAAGTACATCCCTCCGGGGCTCGAGCACATCCTCCTGCAAGCACAGCATCCGGACCGGACATGGAACGCCGAAGCTCTCCAAGTAGCCGGCTCGATTCTGCAAGAAGCCGTCGAAAGTGACCCGACCCAGGTGCGCGTCTTCCCTCTACGCTGTTCCTCCCTCAGCCACAGGCACCTGAACTCAGACACTGACGTACATCCAGGCTGCCTTGGAGCACGAATGGGAAGCTCATCTCTCACCCGTACCTCACCGTGTCGATCGAGTGTTCAAGGCCAAAGTGCTCAGCGCGTTCTTGCGCAGGAAACGGGCCGATGCTGTAAAGCTGCTGGAGCAGCGGAGGAGTGACATCTCGGGAGCAACAAAGCGCGCAGTCCGTGGATCTGAGAGCAGCCAAACGTCATGTGTCACCAAAAGTCAAAAGCGCCGTGCACAGAAGAGACTGAGGTGAGTTCGAACTAATCGCAATACAGCGAGCTGATGGAAGGCGGAAGTCGACGACGGGGCCGCCTATCCATTTCCCTCTGCCATCACCCAGCGCCACTGTCTCCGAGCTCTCGTCGCCTCCCTCCACATGCTATGCTGCATCTCCTCGTCCGACACACGAGGGGATCAGCCCTGCAGACCCGGGCCTGATCTCGGCAGACGGGGCAGTTGCAGTAGCTCCCGCCCCCACAAAGCGCAACGTCGGTCGGTCTCGAGGTCTAAAGCGAGACCGAACGCAGACAGCTCCATGTTCGACGGACTCCGGGTCGAAGGCCCGACAAAGAGCTGTATCAGCGCCGCCGTCGAGGCGTATACCAGACCACTCGTCCTCGGGACGGTCCTTCAGCCCTCAGCGCAACCATCGTCTTCCGGCAACCGTTGGAACAGCAACTCGACAGGCGGTCCACGACGATGAGGGGCACTCGATGTCGCAGAACAAGAAGCTTCGTAGGCGGAGGAAGCCGAAGCGCTTGAACAGTCAGCAAGGCTCGATCGACTCTACAGCAGCCGCCAAAACATCCCCTGAGACCGGTGTCGAGGTGGCTACCCCTCAGCCAGTGCTTTGGGATGGGGAGGAAGACACCTTAAGGTATGACAACAAGGGGCGACCTTTGCGCTTGAAAAGGCCGCCAAAGAGACTGCTGGAGGAGATGGAAGGGGGCGCCGACAGTGCGACAGGCGCGAAGAAGACCAAGCAAGAGGCTCGCTTGCCGGCGCCGACTTCGACAGACACACCTTCCAACTTCGATGATGATGCCTCCACACCGAAGCTTCACGGGTCACAACGCCAGAAGAAGAGAGCAAATCTGGTACGCAAGTTGTCCGCCCCGAACGAGCACGGCATTGTTGTCGAAGAAGCGGAGAACGCTGGATCTGCTCCCCTTAGCCTCTCAAAGCGGCGCCGTGCCCCGAGGAAGACCTGTAACGACAAGAAAATATCGAAGCACGTCCTGGAGCTTCTGGGCATTCCAGTTGCAAACTTACCGAGCTCGACGAAAGCCGGCGGGAAGAGTAGCGATAAGCCTACTCCCATCACCAAACGAAAGAAGATCGAAACATACCCAGAGCCACCATCGGCGACGACTGCGGAGCAGTGTGCAACGGCGTGTCCGTTTACGCCCACGGAAGTTGCTGAAGCAACATCCAAGACCGATGATCTGCTACCGGTCAGGGTGTCTGGCATTCGATCAAGTGTGTTTACTTCGGTCATGCGGATCGTCTCTGGTGTTTGCCCGCTCCAACCCTCACCGAGGTTGGACCGGCTCTGCCGGCCCTCTGTGGCACCGCCCGTATGGGCACAGGTGAGCAAGTCGGGATTCGGTTAAGCTTACCGTCCAGACCAGACAGGAGCTGTGCGAGACGCTGCCGTACTACCGCGCCTTCCAATCGGGGATGTACATGTACAGGGGCGTCGCTTACGGATACCTGCTCGACGGATATCCGACACCGTAAGTCAACCTCCATAGCTGATGGTTCAGCCCAGCTAACTCTTCAGGCGAGACATTTGGGCGGACGACGGAAGGGTCATCGTTTCACATGGGTAAGGCTGCACATCCACTTGCCGTTATCAAGTCTCTAGCTGATAACAGTGGCGGACAGGCAGCTCGAACGTTCGATGGGCGGGGCCGGGAATACGTGACTTTATCAGCGGATCACACGCCACGGGACGCTCGAATAGCCACACTGTTAATGGCGGCTCAGAGAAGGTATCCTCTGATTCTCATCGCTGGCGACGGCTACGCACTCCTGCCCTGGGATCTAGGCTGCACGTATGCAGTACTTGGATGGTGCGTATCACAGCGCCTTGCCGGTGTGACCTTGGACTGATAGCAGGTACTGGGTCTCGGCGGCTTGGTACGAACCCGAAGCATGTGCCCCAGGAGTCAAGGCACCCCCTGGACGCGACTACTTCCGTCGACTCAAGGTGCGGTTCGACTGGGTGCAAGCGCAAGGCACACCGTGGTGGTTGGAGAGGAGTGGAACGAGCTGGAATCCGCCAAGCGACAGGCAGCAACCTAAGACGCAGCCAAGCCCGGACTGCACAAGATTTCAAGACAGCATTACGCCAGTGGAGGCTTCGATCGATCGGTCCGCCCGAGTCCAGGCTGTCGATGCACTTGCGACGACGGTGGTGAAGGGACCTGGTGGTAGAGACATCATCGATCTGCCCACCCCTCCCTTGACTCCCGAAGTTAACATTAGCGAAGGCGAGCTGCAGGAGGCACTGTGGCACGGCACATTCACTTCCGAGGATAGTGAGCGAGAGCGTGTTCTTGCTGGGAAATATGCGAGCCCCTGTTTGCTGCGCGAGTCTGAGCCTGGGTCCGGATCTCTCATGGATAGTTTCGCTCGGAAGCCAGGGTCGCTTACTCCACCGTAGGTTCAGGCACTTGTGACCGGAAAAACTGACGATCAGACCTGTCGACGCGACTCATGCATGCAAAAGCTGCTCATCATGTCTTGAAGCCAGTCCTCATCTGTACGACGAGGGATGGACATGTCTCAACATCGACTGCGATCGGTACTGGCTGCTCGAAACGCCAACCGGGTTGTGGCCGATCCCGCCTGGAATGGCGTTACGTTATCGCCCAACCTTCCTGAAGAATGTACCCACACCCAACGAGGCGCAAACGGTGCCCTACAGTGTGGCACCGGAGCCTCCTCTGACCAGAGCGCAAGAAGCCGGGACTAGAAGTCTGTGGCGGGGTTGGGTGTGCGAGTGTGGACGTGCCAACTGCCGATACCGATGGGAGGTCTGCGAGTGTAGATCGTGTGGCAGGCAGACTGGGAGGCTTGGCGAAGCCGACATGCTCTTAGCTTCAGAGGTCTGTCGCCCTCGCGACGATGTGGTCGGGGAGCAGGACGAGTCTGCGCTTCATATGGAACTGCGACGCGTAGCCGGTGCCACTGTTGCGTCCTACGAGCTGCCCAACGCGTAAGCCACAACCTGATGAAACCGCTAACGGCTCTGCAGGGGGAAGGTGCACCACGTCTTGCACGACGCCAACGCCGTGGACCAAATCTGGGAAGGCTACCAGCGATCAGCGATCGAGACGACCGAGCCACTGTTCCAGCGTCGCGCTCTCAAGTCAAAGGCACTCAAGGGTGACCTGCTGTCTCAGCAGTACGCGATCAACTCGGGTGCCAGTTACAAGTACATTGTGGAGACGCTGAGCTACTCGTTCGAGGAGAGCCCTCGGTGTGTGACGGAGGCATTAGTGTTGTGAGTAGAGTTAAGCGCACGGCTGAACTCACTCTTTAGCATCAAGCAGAGCGTGACTCGCGTACTGGGCACACAGGTGGACTTCAACGAGATCCTGTCGGTGACGTACCGGGAGGGCCAGAAGATGGCCTGGCACGACGATGGCGAGCCAGGTGCGTAACACGAGCTCCACCAACACCGAGTAGATGTGTGCTGATCTTCATAGGTCTGGGACCGGTGGTCGCCGCCCTATCACTCGGGGCATCGGCGACAATGTCGTTCCGCCCGAAGACCCGGACGTCGAGCAAGAGCCAGAACCACATGAAGGCAGTCAAGCAGGAGCGCACAAAGGACGGTCCAGGGGGTGGGAGTGTCCTGAACCTGACATTGAGCCACGGGGTGAGTATCTTGGTATTTCGGGGCTGACAAGCGTTCAGGACGTGGTGATCATGGAAGGGCGCCAGATCCAGCACATGTACCACCACCGCGTGATCCCGACAGGTCTGCGCGCAGCAGCGACGGCACGCGTGATCAGAGAAGAGTAAAGTGGAGCGTGGTCGATGACTGAATGCAAAATGACTGAATGGCGGCGGTCGGTTGTCGCCAGACGTATTAGTCGGGTTGCTAATGACGCCTCTCCTATGCATTACATGAGCACCCAAGGGAATGGGCAGCCAGCAGCAGGTGGGATGGGACACTCGACATGACTACTAATAGTGGTAATTCAGGACGATCAGGGATGCCTGCCAGGGACCAAATTCAATGGGAGCAGCGCTAGCAGCAGGCAAGCAGGCTTGGGCGGCGAGGCAGCGCGCGTGAGAGAGTCGCGCGGGGGCGCGCTCCGTTCTGCCGGCGCCGACAAGATGTGGCACGTAAGGACTGCACGGAACTGTCAAAGGACATCGAGCCTACTTGAATTGGGCCGTGAACCATAGAGAGCCGCGAGGGACGTGATTTCGCGAGGGCCGCAATGGTTGTAGCTCGAAGGGACGTGAGGGGAGTGAGGGACATTGGGGCATGGACGTGCCCCGTGCCTCCCCTCTTCGCTCCCCAGTCGGCCCAGTCAAGACCAGTCAGTTGTGCTGCAACATGAGGAGACCCGACCCACACTCCACATCTTTGCCTGATCCAATTCCAGCCCGGCAGAAACTGGTCGCTGGTCGCTGGAGCGGGGATGCGTACCTATCTCGAGACTCGGGCCAGGACATGACTAATAAAGCGCGGCCAGCGGGCAGCGGTGAGCGGGCAGGATGAGGCCGACCGACCAATACCTCCTCCCCTCATCCTCCTTCCTTCCACTGACTATAGCTGGAAGGGCAAGGGCATGCGGAACGTAGGGGGCGGGGCCCACTGATAACGCGCCTTTTCTTTTCTGCAAGAAGCTCAAGTTGCAGTGAGGGGAGGGCAACAAGGACCCGTCTTCCGACGTCATAGCAATTCATCGTCCTTGTTCCTCGCAACTCTACGGAACCACGCTGGGAATACCGTTATACCGCTAGGAATACCGCCCAGGAATACCGTTTCTGGTACCTTTGCTTTGCCTTTCATACTCGCACAGCATGCCCGCGCGCGCGTCAGGTGTGCGAGCATACCGAACACATACCGACGCCTCTGCCCGTGCATCACGGGCAGCGGACGAAGTGTTGAATTGGATCTCCAGCTGCTCCATCCAGGACGGGGATCTCCGTCCGGGCCGTGAAGACGACTTGGACCGCGTCAGTCTTAGAATCCCATTGCCTTCCATGGGCAATTTGAGAGACATACACGAGACATACACAGCGAGAGGCGTTGCTGGATCTGGTCTTATGCTTGTTGCTTGTTCTGGCACCTGATAAAGCAAGCCGGTCCCGATCACCTCGGTGTCGAGTGCACGCACGGTCAGTGGACCTCCGTCTTTGGCCAGCTGACCTGGTGCCGCTTGGTTCCTCGTCTTTCACTTACAACGGCGGCATGACGGAACCGAGCGTTGAGCGGTCTAGCGGTCGTCTGACCATCCCAAAGCACTGATTTGGGAGCCTCTGTAGAGCGACCGAAGCGACCGAAATCCTAGGCTGGAAGACTCGACACGAACCACAACATGGCCTTCCCCCCGCCTGCTACCTTGCTCCGCCTTCTTCTCCTGACGAGGTCATTACGGAACCCACCCACCCACCCGCAAAAGTTCATGTAAAACTGACGCCACCACCCCTTCCACTCCCCTTGGCAGCTATTTCGCAGCGTGCGGTTGGTCCGTCGGTGAGATCCGTATTCTCCGACCCCTACGGCCGAACAATCTGCAGCGACTGACTCTACGGTGAGATCCTCACTTGCAAACTCATGGGCATGCTGGAGCGCAGAACAGCGCTGGAAGTACTGGAATCCTGACGCGACGCAGATTTTCGACTGCGGAGAGCTTCCCAGTGTCATCGACACAAAGGAGACTCATACAGGATGGATCGGGTGGATCACGTCACGGCTAAGTGTTGATTCTGACTGGCATGACTCGCGTTGCATCGTGTGCATTGTCTTGCTCACCGACATCGACGCGTCGCCTTCTGCGCGTGAGGGAAGGGCGTACGTACGTAACACTTGTGTCTCCATTCAGGCTACTTTCGGTGCATGCATTGTTGTTGTGACTAAGTGCCGTTGTGCCGTTGGGGACCGGTCACGCTGTTATAGGAAGGTAGTCGCGACGAAAGCAGAAAGAGTAGAAAGGAGCAGAAGACTGACGCGAGGCGCGCGCCGGATTGGAAGGAAAATGACGATTGATGGGATGGCCAGAAGAGGGAAGAAGTGATAAGCGCCAGCCGTAAGCGCGCGCCTGGCGAGTCAAGAGGCGGATGACACCGGGCGCACGCGCGGCGCGCCTTGGGCGAAGGGGGGGGAGGGTCCGGAGCCTGAAGCTAGTCCAGGTCCATGGTGAGCCAGTGACCCTGAATCTGTACTCCCTCTGCTGGGAAGGGGCGTAGCTGACGTCTGGGCTTCGCTCAAGGCTCCAGGGCCGCTGGACTCGGCAAGTCGCCCAGTCACCACGCACACCCACCCCTGCACACCCTGCACACCCTGCACACACTGCACACCCTGCACTCCCTGCACACCCTGCTAGCCCTGGCCCTCCCTCCCACACCGCGCCGCCGCCTGCCGCATCCTGCACGACCACACCACACACCACTCTCTCTCACTCTCGTACGTGCACCGCGCGCCGCACATCATCCCCTTCAGAGCCCTCCCGGTCATCCCTCCTCTCCTAAGGGAATCGGTTCCTCACTCCTCTCACATCTCACTCTACTCCCTCCTTCTACTCAACACCCAAACGCCCATCAACCGCACATCACTCCTCCCAACAACACAACACATAATCTCTGACGCCTTTCAGCCTTAGTCTTGCCACCGCCCCTAGTCGACTTAGTCTCTCTCTCTCTCTTTTGCCGCGCGCCGAAAAGACACACCGCGGCAACCCCCTCACCCCACACACACCCATCCACCCATCCACCGGCCACCCGCGTCGGGGCGACGTGACAATCCCCACCACCTCGCATCCATCCACGACCCCTCCCTCATCTCTCGCCGGCACTCCCACCTGCGCGTGCGAAACGACGCTTCCACCACCATGGACATCGACTCGCCCGTTCCCCCCGCGTCGCCCGCCCAGCAAGCCCCCGCAGACCAGGTACCGACTCGAGCCGTGACTTCCCAGGCCGCCCAGTCTCCCCCCGGCGCCCAAGCCCCATCCACCACCCCCGACGCCGCCTCGAACCATGCGTCCCCGATACCAAGCGCGTCTGGGACGGATGCCGCTCCATCTGGCGTCCACCGGTGCTTCCGAGGCTGGTCCCTCGGAGCAACAACCAATTCAGCAACAGGCGCCGCATCCGCACGCGTCTTTAGCGAACCTGACTGAGGCGCGGGACCGCGGCGCGACGCCTTCTTCGACCGCGAGCGAGCATGTCGCCTCCCAGCCCACGCCAACTGCAAACGGACACGATGCTATGGACGTTACGGAGAATGGCGAGGAGGCCGGCGACCATGACGCCACGAGCAGCTCGTCTGGTAGCTGCCCCATGAGCTCTGTCGCCAGCGGCGCGGCTACGATCGACGTGACCGTCGCCAACCCCGAGGACTCGGCCGAGGATATGGACCGTTTCATCAAGCGCATGGAGATGGAGAAGGTGAGTCAATCGGTGTGCGGATACACGTAAGACCTTGTGTAGCACACAGGGACGCGTCACGGACGCTTCCGATGTGCACGTACACACACACACATTGTCTGTCGCGCTTAGACGTGCGCGCGCGCAGCCGAAGCCGAGCTAACGAATAGAAAATCTCCCAGCTGCAGCAGCGTCTCGAGCTGGCGTCGTTCAAGACGAACCACGGCTGGTCCGACATGAGCATCAAGGAGATTGAGACGAGACTTCCGTCGCCGCAGGAGACCAAGCGGACACAGGTTGTCAACGGCGGCGGACGGTATGACCCTCCGTCGCCTAGCCGGCCATGGCAGCTTGCCGACGTCCTATGGCAGCCGCTGCCGCAGCCGGGCCGCAGCGTGCCGAACAAGGTGTCGCGCCCTCCAGGGCAGCCGTTCCATGCGCCGTCGCACTCACTTCCCGGCCATCTCCCGAGTGCCAACGGCACGCAGCGCCAGCACCCGCCCAACTCGCCGCGTCGGCACAGGATGGACGAGTACCTGAACAACCGCCCGCAGGCGTCACCCCTGCGGCACAGCAGCAAGAATGGATCGGGACACCGTCGTGCGTCGAGCTCCATCTCGTCCCTCCAGTTCCTCCAGAACGACCCGTACCGTGGCGGGTCTCCCCTCCGGCCAAAGCAGAAGGGCAGCGGGAAGAAGCGCTCCCAGAGCCACAGCAACCTGCGCGAGGCGAACCAGCAGGCCTCGGTTGCCGCGCAGCCGCAGCACCGCCCGACGACGCAGGACGTCGACGCTGCGCGTGCCCTGACTAGCATGCTGGGTAGCGTGCGCTCGCCGACCGAGGGCCAGTTCCCTCCCCAGGCCGCCGCCGAGCGCGGCATCCACCCGCGGGCAATGCAGCTGCCGCCACTGCACACGTCCAGCCTCCCCGGCCCGTTCGCGCCAGACATGCCGCCGCCTCGCCCGCGTGCACAGAGCTTTGCCGCCGAGTCGCGCGAGCCCTTTGAGCACGCTCTCGGCCACGAGCGCAAGCGCTCGACCGAGTACAGGCCATACCTGCCCCCGCTGCGGCGGCACGGGGGTCCAACGCACTCGCGCGGCCTCAGCATGGACTCGTCCGCTGCGTTCCGGGAGCGTTTCGCGCCGCCGCCCTGGCCCCAGAACCCCGACGAGCGATACAGGGAGCGCAGCGGCGAGCGCGGCGAGCGCTACGGCTCCTCGGAGCGGTACGGAGAGCGGTACCCGAGTGTGGAGCGGTATGGCCCCGGTGAGCGCTTCGGCGGTCCGGAGCGGTATGGCGGGTACGGCGCGGCGTTCGGGTACAACAGTGGTCCGCAGGGCGCAGGGTCCGCAGGGCCCGAACCAGGGCCCGGGGGGTCCTCCCCCGTCTGGAGGCGGGCCCAACGGCCCAGGCTATGAGCAGTACCGTGTCGAGGAGGAACCGTCCATGGCCGGCCGAGGGGAGGAGGACAAGGCGGCGGCGGAACTCATGATGTTCCTCGCGACGTCCCCGAGTCCAGTGCGCGGGAAGAGGGAGCAGGTGCCCAGCATCGCGGGCACGGCGCGCGTGCTCTTCGACGACCGCGAGCCGCCCCCGTACCCCCCGTACCCCCGGCCGGGGCCCCCGCCCCTCTCCGCTGCCCCGAGGAGGTAGCGCAGTAGCGCAGTAGCGGGGTTTATCCACATCTGCACTGCAGACAGAGATGGGTATAGTAAGATAGAAACTGTATGACTAGGCATGTATTATTAGCATGATGCGCTATGGAGGCTTGAGGCGATGGCCGGAGGTGGATTGTCATAAGTAGAGCACGGACGAAGAAGACGTCATAGTAGGGTGAAAGGGAAGGGGCCGAAGGGGCAGAGGATCGTCAGGAGGGGGAGTGCGAGGATGTGGTGGCGTAAGGACGGACGCGGGCGCAAGGATGAGGGGCGCAGGGGCGCAAGTCGAGTCACCTCCACTATGCACCTGTGCACCTGTGCGCCTGTGCGTTTCTGGACCATGGACCAGCACACACGATTTCTCTTGATGTTGCAATGATCCCTTTGCAGTGTTCGCAGTGTTCGCAGTGTTCGCAGTGTTCGAAGAGAGGGGGGAGGAGTGAGGAGATGAGGAGAGGAGGTGGGAGGTGAGAGCTTCTGGGCCGATAGCAGCTAATGACAGCGGTGAGTGTGGCGAATGCAGGGGTGAGCTGTAACAGCGTGCACTCGTAGCTGATACCAGTCCTCTTTGAGCTTTTGTGTCGGCGTTGGTGAAAAGTGGTAAGTTGTGGCTCCGCGGCAGAGTAGCTGATATCAGAGAGAGGATTGTGAGCTACGTCGTGCGGATGGGAGGTGGGTGGTGGGTGGATAGGTGAGCTGGGCTGCGTGGCGCAAGCATAGCTGACCACAGTCTCTCAAGCGATTGTTGCGAGAATGATGGTGCTGGTGAGCTAATGCGTACATCCAGTTGAGTAAGCGATGAGCAGGTGCAGAGCACGCTGAATAGAGGTGAGAGCTTCACGACTCGGAGAAGCTGACAGCAGTCACAACTGTGGGAGCCTGGGAGCTGCGCGGTGGGGAGGAGAGGATGGCAAAGTGATGGATGTGGATGAGGTGAGCTAGGTCTGGCATGGCCGTGAAGCTGACAACAGGTCTGCGGCGGAGGTGTGTGCCGGGATGGGGTAGATGGTGAGCTTAGCGGTCAGTTAGGTGAGCTAGTCGGTGTACGGTGGGTATAGCTGACCACAGTCTGTCACATTTAGGGAGCAGCAAGGTGCGTGGTGAGCTGGCTTGCTGAAGTGGAGCTGACATCCAGTTGAGTATGGCGATGAGTGGGTGTAGAGCACGCTGAGTGGAGGTGAGAGCTGTACAACTCGGGGTAAGCTGACAGCAGCCAAGCCTGGGTGAGCTGCGCGGTGGGGAGGAGAGTATAGCAAAGTGATGGATGTGGGTGAGCTGGTCAGGCACGGCCGTGAAGCTAACAACAGTCTCCTCAAGTGATTGTATGCTGGGAGTTGTAAGTGGTGAGCTGATAGGTTTGGGGAGACAGAGCTGACTTCCAGATGAGTGGATGAGTGTGACGGTGAGCCATCATTGCTGGGAACGAGTGGGCACAGGGGGTTGGTGGGCTGGGTGTTGTCAGTCCCAGCTGACAGCAGTGAGGCCGGTGAGAGAGTTGTGAGCTACGAGGTACTGTATACTCGAGCTGACGGCAGTGGTGGTGCAGATGTAGGCGAGCTGAGCTGGGTGCGGGAACTATAGCTGACCACAGTCTGTCGCATTGGACGGAGTAGAGGGGGCGTGGTGAGCTGATTGCGCATGGATAAGCTGACTTCCAGTTGAGTCTGGCGATGATCGGGTGCTGAGTACGTTACCGGGTGCAGAGCTAAGTGGTTCGTTCAGAGCTGACCGCAGTGACGACTGTGAGTGGGTCTGAGCTAAGAAGAGGTGGACCAGCTGACCGCAGTGGTGACGCAGACACATGTGAGCTAGTGCCAGTTTCGCCTGAAGCTGATGACAGTGTCTCAGCGGTTGCACGTTCTGAAGAGGAGAGGTAAGCTGAGGGGAAAGACTTGAGCTGACATCCAGCCTTCATACGGGGGTGAGCTGCCAAGTGCTGTCCCTAGCTAATCAGTAGGTTCGTGAACACAACTCGAGCCCAAGTGTGACTCGTTGACTCGATGCGGAAGCCCGTTATGGATAATGTGGCGTCGGGGGAGGAGGTGAGAGCTTCAAGTGGGTCGATATAGCTGACCACAGTGGTCCCGATCGATAGACGCTCGATGACAGATCCAGGGGGTGAGCTGCTGCGTTCTTGGACGATTGTGAGCTGACAACAGTCACTCGAATCCTGGCAAGAGGGGCACAGATGGAATGATGGTGAGCTGAATAGCGCAAACTCCACAAGCTGAAATCAGTTTCGTTCATGGCCGTGAGCTCACGGTGAGCTGCCACGGTAAGAAGTCAGCTGACCATCAGATCTATCCGGGACATGAACTCCGGAGGCATGCAACGACTAGGATGGATTCTGTGAGCTGTCCAGACGCTGCGTAACGTCCCCACATGGGACAAGGCTGTGGTCTGCGGGCTGAAAGCGAACTTGGCTAAACAGGGGCGTATCGACAAAGAGAGATAGTGAGAGCTTCCCGTTGCCGGGTGAGAGCTGACAGCAGTGAGAAGTGTGAGCTACGTCGCATGGGACAAGCTGACCACAGTGGAGATACAGACTCGAGGTGAGCTGGACTGAGCTCCAGCATTGGTAGCTGACGACAGTTTCTCACGGAGTCGCAGCGAGCTTGGTGTAGAGTAGTAAGCTGCCAAGACGTGCCCGTGCGGAGCTGACTTCCAGAGTCTTCAGTGACTTCGGTTAGCTCCTAGAGCCAGGGATCGTTGAGCTAACGACTGGCCTCCCAACCGGCGACCTTGACCAGATGGGCAACACGATATCAACATCGACTATCTTTGTGTAAGCTTTGCAATGATGGCAGGAGCTGATAGCAGTGAGAGTAATGTGAGCAGCTACGTGACACGGACGGGAGTTGACGACAGGTGTGTCACAGATGAAGGTGAGTTTGGCTGACTGTAGATATGCTAACTGACCCCAGTCCTGCAGCCGTGCACGCCAAGATGAGGAGAGGCGAGCTTCGAGCCAACCCTCTAGCTAATTTGCAGATCTGTTTGACTCGTGAGCTACCCACTCCACATGAGAGCTGACGGCCAGGCCACCGCGCGGACTCAGATATCGCTGAATATAGTTGGAGATCAAGGACGTGAGAGCTGAGAGTGGTACTCGGAGCTGACAACAGTGGCGGGTGTGGTGTGGTAATCAGGTAAGCTTGACATGGCTTTCAGAGACAGCTAACCTCGGTCTATCAGGCAGTTCCATGCCCTCACGATTGGGTTGTTGAGCTCAGTGACTTTCAGAACCAGCTTACATCCACTCCCTTCGATGGCTTGGGCGAGCTTCTCGCAGATCTTAAGCTGACGACCAGATCGGTGAACACTTCACGATCCCACGTGAAACTCAACCAGTAACGAGGTGTCGATGATGTGAGAGCTCCAGTCGCTTGCTTGAGCTGACCACAGATGTTCAACAACAGACGCTCAATGACGAACGAGACGCGAGGGTGAGCTCCACGGGATCTTCTGCCAAGCTGATCGCAGTCTAGCACTAGACCAAGACGGAGGGGGACGGAGGCAAGATTGTGAGCTGTGCCACATGCAGGACGAGCTGACCTCCAAGCCCTTCGTTGGTGGCTGTAACCCGTTTACGTTTACATCGAGCCCACGAGCTGCCCCGTGTGCAGCGTGAAGAGATATGCTTATGGACATCGACGGAGGTGAAGAAGGAGGTAAGAGCTGCTCTAGATTCTGCGAGCTGACTACAGTGGTACCCGACGGGCCATCGGGAAGTGAGCTGCCAGTTTCCTAAAGCAAATGGTCCTTCTGGAATACGGTAACGGGGTTAAGAGCTGGTCAATTCGTGCTACATGCGGCTGGGTGAGCTGCACGCATGCGTCACCTGGAGCAAAGGACAGGTTTCCTCGTTCATCCCTGAGTATGCCGCCAGTCGTGGGAGAGGTAAGTCGTGAAGTGCAAGCCATTGAGTGCGAGCTGGCGTAACGCCTTCGAAGGGTTTAGTGAGCTCTCTCAGCGGTGCGTAGAGCTAACGATAGATCTGCCCATTGTTGAGATACAGTATCAAGACATCGATGAGGATGAAGCAGGAGACGTAACGTTGATGGTGAGAGCTTCATGTCGTCGAGTCTGAGCCGGCGACAGTAGCGAGTGTGGCATCGAAACGAGTGAGTCGACCGAGCTGGGTAGCATGGTAAACTAAAGGCAGTCTGTCAGGCAGCCATTCGCCGCATGCATGATGGTGAGTGTTAAGCTGTGGGCCGACGTCCTGAGCTAATCTCCAGTCCCTTCTTAGAAGGCGGTAAGCTGCCCAAAAGCGCCACTTCGAGCTGACGACCAGGCCTTCGAAGTCAAAGAGGTATAGAAAACGGGGAGAGGATGTAAGAGCTGGAGTGGTTTCTAGGAGCTAATTGCAGGGGGCAGTGTCGCGAGACCCCAATCTAAGGCTACAGTGATCTCGGAGGATGTCGACGAAGCTGAAAACAGCTCCAGAAGGACAACGGGCAAAAACGGGTGCGCTGGTTGAGCCACCGCCGAATCTGTAGCTGACACGCAGCTCTTGACTGACCTGACCTTGGGCATGTGGGCAACGCCAATTTGTGGTGAGCTGTTTGGGCATGCGTCAAAGCAGACCGCAGCGTTCACGAGAGTGAAGGCTGACGATGTGAGCTACCATTTGAGTCATCGTAGCTGACAAAACCTTCACCCTTTCAGACACACGAGTTGGTGAGCTTCATTTTTCCGGCTAAGAAAGCTGACGGCAGCCTCATTGATTGGTAGGTAGTTTTCGTACTCTACAGGCAGCTGATGACAGGCGCTGCTCGACAGGAGGCTGTGAGCTAAGTCGTGCCGGTGTCTAGCTGACGACAGACCGCTGGATTACTCCCGTCAGTGGTGGGGAGTTGAACCGCTCCTTCCCAAACAGCTTACACGCAGCTCTCGACCCACCTCATAATGGGAAGTAGCGGTCTTTCTTCGTGGGCTGGAAAGTGTGAAGCATAGCTGATGGCAGTCTCACATCGGTATGAAATTGGCGGAGTGGTTAGCCAAGTCACCATTGCATTTCAAGCCGATCGCGGCATCAGCTAGGCTCTCCGTGCAGAGAAAGGGTCTATCTAGGTGAGCTGGAAGGCGGCTACACTGACAGCTGACGACAACGTTCTAGTGGCGGTCAGCTTACAAGGGCAATGGCTAGGTGATGGAGAACCGTTCACCCGCTCAGTGGATTCGACGGTGGGCTTCATTGTCAATGGGAAGCTGACGAAGGCCCCCTGAACGGTAGCAACGTAGATGTGATGTTTCTAAGTTAGTCATCCCGTGGTAGGCCGTTCGGTCATGTGAGTAGCACGTCTTCACGATCTATGTGAAGATGACAGCGTCAAGGCGAGACGATTATCGGTGCATAGGATCTCAGACAGCGCGGAGCGGGTCGTGGTCCTTCTCCGACACGGCGACCTTCCATCCCGCCTCCTCCTTGGCCAGCTCCTTCTCGAGCCAGTCGCGGAGCACGGCGCGGAGGAACCCTCGCTCCGTGTTCGTGTGGTTCGCGAGCAGAACGGCCTGTCCCTTGCCGATGGTGGCAAGCACCTCGTGCTGATTGTCAGTTCCCCTCCGCTAGTCAGACTCACATGGCTCATCTCTCCGGTCAGGAGGAGGTCAGCGTCAACGCCCCGCAGCACCGAGCCGCCGGAACCAGCGCAGACGGCGATCGACTTGATCGGCTTCTCGGTCGCGGGCTTGGCAATCTGGACTGTGGGTTAGCTATGGTAAAGACCGCCGAGCTTACGAGAGTCGACACCGAGGTGCTTCTTGACAATCGGGACAATGTCGGCGAGCGTCATCTGCGACGAGAGCTTGACGACACGGCCCATGCCGGCACCCTCGAAGCCAGGCGGAGGGTTCTCCGTCCTGTCGACAACCTCAGAAGAACCCTGGAACGGTTCAACAAGCCTGGTGTCAGCTTGAAACATTGAGCATGCCCAAGCTGGATAATTCGAAGTACAGGGCGTTATGCCCTTGTACCTGGTGGCTACACTAGCGAGGGGAGACCCACCAGCTGTTGATGCCCTTAGGCGTGGCGTCCAGCGAAGTGTGCGGGGAGAAAACAGAGATACCCTTGGCACTGAGCTTCAGAAGGGAGGACTGCAGGGGGTCATCCATCGTCATGCTCTTCAAGCCGCGGAAGATCTGGCGTCAGCTTCGATCGGGCCGATAGAGCTCACGGGAGGGTGGTAGCTAATGACAACGGAGACGTCGCTGGCGAGCGCCTCAGCACATACAGACGGGGTCAGGCTGTTTCGTCAGCTCACCTCGATTTAGTGAACTTACTCAATAGTCAGAAGGACCTGCTTGTTGTCGTTGGGGAAGGGTGCCTCCATGATAACACCGACCTGGCGTCAGCTAACGATCGGCCGAGGGCAGCTTACGTTATCCCAGCTGGTCTCGGCCAGCGAGAGGGGAGCAATACGCTCCCAAACCTTCTTGACGAGCTGAATCGGGGTGCGGGCGGCGAGTGCGGCGGCCATTTTGATCTGTTACCGATTTGTTGTTGCGAGAAAGGTGCTGCGCGCATCTGAGAACGGTCTTGAGACGGGGGGTCGACATGACGACGTGGTCACGTGAGAGTGTGGGGCCCCGCTCGAATTCCATCGAGTGCTCGAACTCTACGAAAATATCGAGGCTGACCGATCATTCTGCTTTCGTCATCGCCACTTACTTCACATTCACGACAGCAATGAGCGGCGACGCAAAGCCGACAGAACAGCCGGCCCAGGCCGCGCCCGAGGTCAAGGTATCCTCGGCTGACCCTCCCCCGGCACTCGACACGAAGAGCGACGAGCCGATGGACCTGAACTCTGCGCTCGAGCAGATGGCCAAGGCGCGTGCGGCGCAGTACGCCGCCGACCGGCAGCCGAAGAAGGAAGTCACGTACGAGGAGTTCCAGAAGATGATTGACTCGACGCCGCTGTTTATGCGCGAGACGCCGAAGGAGTCCGGCGAGGATAACTATGTGCTCGAGGCGCTCAAGTCGATGATGTTCGATGGTGACGGGGACGGTGCGTTCAAGCTGTAAGATTTCCGGATAGCTGACAATCAGAGGTTGCTCTCAACTTCAAGAACCACGGTAACGAGCTGTACGCGCAGAAGAGCTACAAGGACGCGATTCAGGCGTATACGCAGGGACTGGACGCCGGACCGAAGGATGCCGCGCTGCGCACCTCGTTGCTGAACAACCGGGCAGCTTGTAACGTTGCGCTGAAGAACTTCGGTGCTGTCCTGAAGGACACCTCTGCGATTATTGCGCTCGCCGCCTCCGCCGACCCGCCCGTGAACCCGCCACCGAAGGCGCTGTACCGGAGTGCGCAGGCGCTCTCAGCTCTGGAGAAGTGGGACGAGGCTCTTGACGCTATCAAGCGTGGTTCTGAGCTGCCAGGGGAAGACAAGAAGAAGGAGTGGGGCGTCTTGAAGTCTCAGGTTGAGCTGGGCAAGAAGCGCGCGGAGGAGCGGAAGGAGCGCGAGCGCCGGAAGCCGCTGTACGATGCCTCCCTTAGGGCGGCGGTGAAGGACCGCGGTCTCGTTGTGATTAACACCCCCGAGCCGCCCGACAACCCGCATCCCCTTGACTTTGACCCGAACGGCGTCGAAGAGGTCCCCCTCTCCCCTCCCTCTGTCGCCGAGAAGTGGCAGCCGCCGAATCCCGAGACGACCCCGCTCATCTTCCCCACCTTCCTCCTCTACCCGCAGCACAACATGTCCGACCTCATCACGCACTTCCACGAGCTGACGAGTTTCGACCAGCAGCTCGGTGCCATTTTCCCCGCCTCGCCTGAGGACACCAGCGTGCCTTGGGCAGACTGGGACACGAAGCACGAGTACTACGTCTCCAACCTTGCCGTGTACGCTGAGACGAAGGGCAAGCGCCTGCTCAAGTGCGGCAAGGGCATTTGGCTCCGCGACGTCATCGAGAAGGCGAAGAAGGTCGAGGGAGGCAAGCTGACCGACGGCATCGTGCTCCGTGACGGACTCCTCAGCTTTGTTGTCCTCGTCCGTGGCAAGGAGGAGAAGGAGTGGATCGAAAACTTCAAGAAGGTTCGCGACGGAAAGTAGATCTAGATTCATTTGGGAGGTGCATTTCTATCTGATTCAAGAACAGGTCCGAGGATTATTTGCTACTGACGAGTGCTGACGCAATCACCATCCCCATCCTACGACACCGAGGACGAGAGCAGTGAGAATGAGGCTAATGCCACTCTGGCTAGTAGCTCCAGAGTCAGCATTCGCACCAGCACTGCCCGGTGCAGCAGCGGCCGAGCTCCTGGCCGCAGCGCTAGGGCTGGGGCTGAGTGCAATGGCCGGCGTTTCCTTGACTGAAGCGCTCAATGAGGGGCTGGCGGTGACCTTCGGTGTCGCCTTATCATTATCATTATCATCGTCAGAGTCATTTCCATCGTCATCATCGACGTCGTTGTCGTCGTTGCCGTCATCGTTGTCATCGTTGTCATCGTTGTCGTCGTTGTGGTCGTCGTCGTCACCATCCGCCGTCGCTGTGGCAGAAGGCACGACAGTCACGTTCGCGGTCCCAGAGGGCCTGTTAAACACGCCGGGGAGAACTTCACTAAGCACTGTGCTCGGGGATGGTGCAGAGGACTTACGGTCGTCATCATCGTCGTCATCGTCATCATCATCGCCATCATTGTTGTTGCCGTTCTTCTTGTCCCAGTCGTCGGCATCATCCCAGTCGTCTCCCTGATGAGGGCCAATGCCGTTGAACTTGGAGCAGTCCTCGATACTCATCCAAGGCGGACAGCAGTTCACGCCGACACAGGTCCAGGTGTCGGGGCACGCGTCGAAGTCTGGCGTCAGCTCCCCCCCAACACAGTGAACGGGACAACTCACTGGTGCAGGACACCAGAGCCGGATTGGCACCGGAGGGCGTCTGGGCGAGAGCGGGTGTGGCGAGAAGGGCGGAGAGGAGGAGCACGGTCATCGTTGTGTATGAGTTGGGATGGTGAGTTACTCCAGTTGCCCGCAATCCGCAACTCTTATATCTTCGCCGGAGCGGCGTACTGGAAGCAACGTGCGGATCAGAGTCGGCGCGCGGTGCTTCGGCGACGCCCGACAAGATGGGGCACAGATCCGCGGATGTGGCTTGGTGGCGTATCCAGGATCTCTTGGAACGCGGAGCGGCGGTGCATAATGGCTCGGCGTGCTCGAGCCTCCAGATGCCTTCGGAGGAGTGATCGGACTTCCAAGAGTGAGCATATTTTCTTGAGGCGGAGGATGCGGAATGATGATCTTCGGTTAGCCACGCCTAAGGTAATGCCAAGTCTGGCATCTCTTGAAAGCTGTGATCGGCGCCTTCTTCACCTTCTTCGGGCCCCGGGAACAGGTGTCCAGAACTTCGACCAGCGGCCTGTCAGTTGATGATCATCTGGCGTGCAGGCTGTGCAGCCAATCGTGAGAGCTTGGCAAGAAACTGTTCGCCGCAGCTTCCTACCGATCATCACAGGAATGTCCAAGGGTATCCAAGAGATGCATTTGATAACCGAGAATGAGCGCTGTGCGCATGATATGTTTTGCTAGAACACGAGGCGGTGCAAGTGGCAATCATCGCTTTCACATTACTTCTTGCCACCCTTCTTCGTGACCTTGGTCTGGGTAACCTTGACGCCAGAGCTGGCGCCAGCGACCTCGACGGTCTTGCTGTCCTCGACCTTGTCGCCATCCGTCTTCTTGTCCTCGACAGCTTTCTCCTCAAGGCCGCCCTGGCCGTACTCGTTGACACGCGAGTAGTCGACACGGTAAATCCAGCGCTGGTAAAGGAGGATGAGGAAGACGACGTCGTCACGGAAGCACGCCAGGCGGTGGAGCATGGGCATCTTGACGCAGAAGGCGAAGAAGTCATCAACGACAGTCGAGAGAGTCTTGTAAACCATCGCCTTCATGGGCATGTGCGCGACAGACTTGAGCTTGTAGTTGATGATGAGCTGGGGAACGAGCTGGATGAAACCGCCGAGGTAGACGGCCTGCGCAAGCGTGGTGACGATGTACGAGTACCAGCTGCGGTGGGTAAGGTAGAGGAGCGAGTAGATCGCGTATCCGACGAGGAAGGGCGCGGCTCCGATCGAGACGATCTTGAACGCGAGCTTGTCGTACTCCTGCGTCTTCTTCTCGTCCTCGCTAAGCTCGTGCTTGTCCTCGAACGTGATGCGGTAGCCAATGATCGACGAAGGGTCCTCGCGCACACGGATGTTGACGACCTTGGTAACCTTCCATGCCTCGATCAGGACTCCGATGCCCTCAGTGAATAGGATCATGAACGACGTCTCCTCACTGCTGTCATGCAGGTAGAGCAGAATGACGAGCTTGACGAAGACGTTGGTCAGGATCGTGCGCAGCGACACGCCGACGAGATCCTGGTTCTTGTCCTTGTTGCGCCAGTGAGAGACATCCGAGCTGAAGGCAAGGAACTCGAAGAGCATGTGGAGAATCGTCACAATCGCGGTCGTGATGAGCAGGATGGGATTGGTCTCTGTGAGCATGCGCTTGACCTCGTCAAGCTCGACACCAGAGCCCTGCTGCGCCGCGCTCTGCTCGAAGGAGGCGGTCAGCGACGAGAAGATGTTGAACTTCATCATGCTGATCGCCTTGTAGTTGACGTGAAGAGGAACCTTGGAGACTGTCTCGTTCAGCTCGACGAGGTGTTCCTTCAGCAGCCAGAAGTCGTTGGTGAAGATCGTGGGAGCGTAGCCGAGCTTGCCCTCCTCATCGCGGCGGAACTGGAAGTACTCGCGCGTAACTGGCTGGACCTGCGCCATGCTGATGTCGGGCGTGTCTGAGACAATCGAGACGGTGAGGTTGGGAGCCCAGTACGACACGATAGGGCGGTCGGCCTTCGAGAGCACCAGCTGCTCCTCGACCTCCTCGGTCTCCTCCTCGTCGCTGCCGCCCAGCAGCGACTTCTCCTTTCGCACAATGCGCTTCGGCATCCACCTTGTGACCTCTGATTTGTTAGCTAGAGAAAGAAGGCTCCCAGCTCACCCTTCTTGTACACAGGGAGTTCCTGCAGGTTGCCGGCGTTGATCTCGCGATCCCTAGGCTCAAGCACGATGCCGATGTACCAGCTCGCGTTGTTGTGGGTGACAGCCTCAGGCACGTCGAGGATGAAGTCGGCCTCGCGCACGTCGTTCCAGTTGCCATAGGTGAGGTTGTCCCACGACACTAGCGGCTTGTCCTCGCCAATGACGATCTGGTTGTCGCCGACGACCGAGTACAGGTGCATCTTCATCGGCGTGCCTGTAGTCCAGAGCGCCTTGGCAACCTCGACGGGCTTGTTCTCCTGCACGGCAGAGCCCTGAGCAGCGCTACCAGCGGCGGCAGCAGTACTTTCGGCGCCAGCCACGGGGATATCGGCGGCGACGTCCGTCGTGGCCGGGGCGGGAGGCGCAAGCTTGGTCTTAAGGCCCATCTGATGTTAGCTCGTGCAACCGAGGCTGCCGCTGTGTGCAGCGCAGAACCAGTCATCAACCACTGCCCCCTCTGACAAAATTGCTTTACTGAGCAGTGTAGCTCCTTGCCTGCAGCACTCACCTGCTCCATGCCATACTTCATGGCTGTCGTCAGCGCCTTCCTCGCGAGTAAAGCTCACCAAACTGGATAGCCATAAACATGGCCATCTTCTTGGCGATGCCGATGAGCTTGTGGCCCATGTCCTCCTGCTGCTCCGCGGGCTGCGCGGCAGCTGGCTGTGGCGCGGACATCTTGGTTGCGTTGTTGAAGTGGAAGAAGAACGCGACAGCGAAAGGATGGGGGGAGACATCTTTCCCTTTGGCTTAACCGGCGGCCAGCGCGCCGGTCGCCGCCCAGTCCAAGCCGCGAAATACCCGGCTCATGCCGCCGCTCACGTCCTCAATTCTGGGCGTAGAGTTCAGGCACGTTTAAGGGACGATCACGTGGCTGGAGTGGAGGGTGGAGGCTCCAGCTCTGTGGCTTAGCTGTTATGGGGGGGATTGATTTCTTTGCAGCTGCGGCCCGCGTCATTCCCCATCGCCCATCGCACTCACCACATCTCCGCCGACTCCGCCGACATCATGGCGGAACAGAGAGAAAAGGAGCCAGTCGTGCAGGCTGCCGCGCGGCGTGTTGCCTCGCGCTGGATCAACGGCCTCGGCCGGGTGACTCTCGCCCTGTTGGCTCTCGGCACTGTGGCCGTCATCCACTTGGTTGGCCTGCTGATCTTCACCAACGGTTTCCTCCTCACGCGTCTCTCGATTCCTGCTGTCTCGCCGGCTTACAATGCAACCAACCCGCCTCCTGTTCCCGCTAGCTTTGAGAAGGCAGTCATCGTCATCATTGACGCGCTCCGCACCGACTTCATCTCGCCGAACTACCCGACGCTCAAGAGCGAGTACCACCACGGTGTGCTCTCGCTCCCGACCGAGCTTACGGAGAAGGACCCGTCTCACTCGCTCATCTTTAACAGCTACTCTGACCCGCCTACGACGACAATGCAGCGCATCAAGGGCATCACGACGGGTTCGCTGCCCACGTTCATCGACGCCGGTGCCAACTTTGCCTCGACGGCGATCGAGGAGGACTCGCTGGTTCAGCAGCTTCTGGCCGTTAACAAGAGCATCGCGTTCATGGGCGACGACACCTGGATGGGTCTTTTCCCTGACAAGTTCAAGCATGCACACCCTTACGACAGCTTCAACGTCGAGGACCTGCACACGGTGGACAACGGTGTCATCGAGCACATTTTCCCGTACCTCGCCCCAGAGAACCGGACCGAGTGGGATGTTCTGATCGGCCACTTCCTCGGCGTCGACCACGTCGGACACCGCGTCGGCCCGGAGCGCGAGACGATGCGCCAGAAGCTCAAGCAGATGGACGACGTGCTCCGCGATGTCGTTGACAAGCTCGACGACAAGACGCTCCTCGTCGTCCTCGGCGACCACGGCATGAACCCGAAGGGCGACCACGGCGGTGACAGCGACCTCGAGACCGCAGCCGCGCTCTGGATGTACTCCAAGGGACCCGCCCTCACCGGGCCCGCGATCAACGACTTTGACTGGCCGACGTACACCTTCCCGGGCTCGACCAAGCCGATCCGGCACGTGAACCAGATCGACCTGGTGCCGACGCTGGCGCTTCTGCTCGGCATCCCGATCCCGTACAACAACATTGGCGCGCCTATTCCCGAGCCCTTCTCCTCTTCTCTCGGCACACTCGCTGCGGCCTCGGGCGCGACGGCCCAGCAGATCGAGCGCTACGTCAAGGCCTATGGCAACCGCGAGGTCGCGACCAATCTCCTCCGCCTGCGCCGCAACGCGGCCGACGACAGCCTCGAAGGCGCGATCAAGCACAACTACGCCGTCTGTGCCACGGCGCTCTCGAGCCTGCGCGCCCTCTGGGCCCAGTTCAGTGTTACGCACATTGTCGTCGGGCTCGGCGTGCTCGCCCTCGGCGTCCTCGCCTCGCTCGCCATGTACCTCGGTGTTCGCAACAGCGGGCCGAGGTGGGATGCCTACGTCCGCTTCGCGCTCGACACGGCGCTCACCGCCGGTGCCGGCGTCGGCAGCGTCGCCGGCACGCTCGCGGGCGTGTACACGCGCAAGCCTGCTGTGGCTTTGCAGGTCTTCTTCGTCGCGATGGCCGTCGTCGAGAGCGTCGTCCTCGCCGCGCCGCTCTTCACCGGGCACATCCGCAGCATCACGTGGAACTTGGGCAAGAGCGTCGGGCCCCTCGTGCTGCTCCTGCACTGCCTCTCCTTTGCCTCGAACTCCTTCATCATGTGGGAGGACCGGATGGTGCTCTTCCTCCTCGTGACTGTGCTGGTGGTGCACATGGCGCAGTCCTTCACAGCGCCGACGGCGAGCCAGCGGCTGCGCATCCTGCTCTTCGCGCTCGTGTTCGCCGTCATTGCCCGCCTCCTCTCCCTCGTCACCGTCTGTCGCGAGGAGCAGCAGCCCTACTGCCAAGTCACCTTTTATTCCCAGGGTGCGGGCCAGCCCAACTGGGCGCTTGCGTTCGCCTTCCTGTCGGCCGTCATGTTCTTCCCGCGCTTCATCGCGACAGTCCTCGACTGGAGCAAGAGCTACGCGGGTCCTGCGCCGCTGTTCGTGGCGGTGTTTTGGCGCGTCGTCATCGTCGTCAACACGATGTACTGGGTGCTGGACTTTTGCGAGACCTGGGACGGCCTGAACCCCGACCGCATCCCGCTCGCCAAGATGCTGAAGCAGTGGGCGGCCCGCTTGTCCCTCGGCGCCGTGCTCGGTGCCCTACCCTATCTGTGGTGGGGGAGCGGACTGTGCATCCGCGCCGAGAAGGAGACGGACCAGGCGACGGGCGAGGAGGCCGTCAAAGTCTACGGCGCGGGCAACGCGTGGGGCGCGAGTTACCTGCTCTGGCTGCTTGTGCCGTTTGCGCTCGTGCACCTCGTCTCCCCGACGCCTGGGCAGATGGTGCTGATCGGCATGCTGACCGCGCTCCTGATGCACCTCGAGCTGGTGGACACACAGCGCGACGCGGCCGTCATGAAGCGTACCTTCACAACGGGGCAGAAGGGGATGCAGGCCACTTTCGAGCTCCAGGGCGCCGGGGAGGGACTCATCGTCCGCCCGTCCTTCAGCGACGTCGTGCCCCTCGCGCTCCTCGCCACACTCGCCTTCTTCGCCACCGGCCACCAAGCTGTCCTCGCCACTATCCAGTGGAAGAGCGCGTTCGTCGGCTTCGACACGGTGACGTACCCCTGGTCTCCGGCGCTCGTTGTGCTCAACACTTGGGGCCCGTTCCTCCTCGCGGCCCTCGCTGTGCCCCTCCTGGCTATCTGGAACGTGAGCCCGCGGCCCAACGACACGGTCCCCATCGTCGGACATGTGCTCCAGGTCTGCCTCGCTTTCAGCACCTACTTTGCCGCCATTGCGCTCGCGAGCGCGACCTGCGCCGCATGGCTCAGGCGCCACCTCATGGTGTGGAAGGTGTTTGCCCCGCGCTACATGCTCGCCGGCATCACGCTGCTCATTGTCGACATTGGCCTCATTGCCGCCGTCGCCGTGTTCGGCTTGACGCAGCAGAAGGTCAAGCGCACCTTCCGCTCCGTCGCCATTTAAGATAACCAAAACCCAACAAATACCCCATAGCATTGACCCCATGAAATCATTTCTGCACGCTGATGAATGGAAAGGAACATGTACATGCCATTAACTACCCTATGATACAGTGCCGGCGGGCGGCTGGGTGGAGATGTTGCGTTGCGATTGGGGAATCTGGATGGAGGAGGTCGGATACCGTCTAGATCTAGCGGTGGAAGAGGATGGAGGGAGGGGACATATGAGACTTTCGGAGAACGACTGTACTTGGTGGGATGAAACTTTCGTGATAACGGTGGAAAACTTGCGGATAACTCGTGAGGACGACATATCTGCCAGTCTTGGGAGCGGGGAGGGTGATGGATGGATGCCTTGGAAAAACTAAGAACTTCTATGCACACTTTCAGGAAACTTCTCTTCCTCAGCGACTGGTAAAGTTGACACTGCCGTAGAAACTCGATCGACCTGCCACACGGTTAATACTCTAGTCCTTTCCCTTCTTCTTGTCTAAGCTCTCACGACCGGTGTCGGTGGATCCGCGCGGCTCGCGCGTGCTGCTGCTGCGGCTCAGGATCGGCACCTCCTTGTCGCTCATCCGGCGCGCGAACGCGCGGATCGACGACAGACGCTTGCGACGCTTTCCGCCCTCGGGCTGCTCGTCGGGTGAGCTGGGTTGCAGCGGGCTCGAGCTGTGCGGCGGCGTGTCCGCGCGCTGCGTCGGGCTGCTCGAGCTCCAGTCGCCCGAGTCCCGAACTCCGGGGAAACTGGCACCCGGGAAGCCCGTGTTAGGGGACTGCCCGGTGGCGCTGTCGTTGCGTTTCGGTGTCGACTGGACAGAGGACGCCTTGCTCCCGGCCTTCTTGCCCTCGGACTTCTTGGCGGGGTTCTCCTTGGCAGCCGGCTCATCGTCATCGTTGCTGCCAGGGAACTGGGTGGTTGCCTTGGGGGCGGCTGGTGGCGTTGACTTGATGGCATCGGCGTAGGATTCAGGCTCGGCAACGTCCTTGGATTCCTTGGTGGACTCGGGCTTCTTCGCAGGCGTAGACGGCCCGACCTTTGCGTCGGTAGCCTCCTCCAGCGTTGGGAAGTCAGCCTTGGGCGTGTCGTCATCCTCCTCGTGAACGGTGCTGGGAGGGCTGGCGCGCGGAATGTACGTCTCATCATCGTCGTCAGCAGGGAAAGATGTTGTCGGGGCGGCAGAGGGCTCCGCGTCGTCCTTCTCGATGATCGATGTCGGCTTGAGAGTCTCGGCCTCCTTGCTCTTTCCGCTGCTCTTGCTCTTCATGCTGCCCTTGCTCTTGCTGCCCTTCAGACTGCGCTTCTCGTCACCCTCGGCGGCAGCAACCATCTCAGCCTCGGTGTGGATCTGCTTGCGCCACATCGACGCAAAGTGCCCATCGAGGTCCATGAGATGCCCGTAAGATCCATGCTCCTCGACGAGACCGTCCTTCATGACGACGATCTGGTCCGAGTTAATAATGGTCGACAGGCGGTGGGCAATGGAGAGGCTGCTGCGACCACGGGACAGATCGGCGATCGCCTTCTGGATCTCGCGCTCCGTCTCCGTGTCGAGGGCAGAGGTCGCTTCGTCGAGCACCAGAATCGTGGGAGACTTGAGGAACATGCGGGCGAGCGAGACACGCTGCTTCTCACCGCCCGAAAGACGGACACCGCGCTCGCCAACCTTGGTCTCATAGCCCTCGGGGAAGGACATGATGCGGTCGTGCATGCGTGCGGCCTTGGCAGCGGCAATGACCTCCTCATCGGTAGCACCCTCCTTGCCGTACGCAATGTTCGCGCCAATCGTATCGTTCCACAGTACACTATCCTGGGGCACGATACCAATGGCGCGACGCAGGCTTTTCTGGGTGACCTGGGAGATGTCCTGGCCGTCGATACGGATGGTACCCGAATCGATGTCGTAGAAGCGATACAGAAGGCGAAGAATGGTCGACTTGCCGGCTCCAGACTCCCCGACGAGAGCGAGGCTCTCGCCCTTGCCGATGCGGAACGAGACGCCGCGGAGCGCGTTCGTGACGCCCTCGCGGCCGTGGTATGAGAAATGCACATTGTCAAACTCGATGACACCGTCGGTAACGACGAGGTCCTTGGCACCGGGCTTGTCCTTGATCTCGGTCGGCTGGCCGAGCAGCTGGAAGAGCTTCTCAGCGTCAGTCGCATTCTGGTTCAGGACACGGTAGAGCGTGCCGAGGCGGTCGAGCGGACCAAAGACCTGGGAGAGATAGGCGAGGAAAGCACTAAAGTCACCAACATCGGCCTCGCCACGGAGGACGCGGTTGGCGATGATGAGCGAGCCGGTGAGAAGACCCATTGACATGATCCAGGCCTGACCCAAGTTGAGCAGGGAGAAGCTGCGGAGCACCTGTCCCTCGGTCTCCTGGTACGACAGGATCGACTCGTGGTAGCGGTTCGCCTCGCGGTGTTCAGACGTAAAGTTCTTGACGCTCTCCCAGTTGGCGAGCATGTCGCTGGCGATACCACGGGTGCGGACGTCCTTGTCGACAGCAAGACGACGGAGCTTGGTGCGGTAGCCGGTGAAGACGACCGAAAAGACAACATAGATGGTCATGAAGAAGGCGATGTACGTCGCAAGGTAGGGACCGTAGAGGAAGTAGAAGATGGTGCATGCGACGACAATGTCGAGCACGGTCGGCACGGCGGAGAAGAGAAGCGTGTGCAGGAGATTGTTGATAGACGAACCGCGGTCGAGGATCTTGAGGACCTCGCCCGTGTTGCGCGTCGTGTGGAACGAGAGCGAGAGGTTGAGCAGATGGTTGAACAGGAGCATCTGCATCTCGCGATCGGCGTTCTGCTGAACGGGAATCCAGAGCAGGTTCTGGACAATGGCAAGGCCTCCATTGCCCTGGATCCACTTGAGACCGATCCAGAACACGAACGGCGTCCAGATAGACGGGCCGGGGCGTCCGTTCGAGACGCGGGCGAGGCGGCGGACGAACTCTCCAAACACGTTGGGCACGGCGGGGTTGACGATGAACGACGTGAAGAGCAGAATGACGACGCATGCGGCAACGGCGAGCTGCAGCGGCAGGCTCGTCGACGCAGCTTCCACAGCCGGCTCATGAACGCCCGCCACGACAGGCCCTGGATCTCCTCCTTCTTCTGACCGAGCTGCTGGTTGATCTTGATCGGCTTCTTGCTCGAGCTGAGGACCGGCGTGGCATCGCCGCCTGACTTGGCGTGCGACAGGTGATGCGGCAGCACCTGCGCGCTGCTCGACGCCTGCGCGGTGCCCTGTTCAGTCGGCTGCGTCGAGGACGAGGCAGCGTCGGCGTTCGACTCGGCGTCGAACGTGCCGTACACGGATCCTCCGTTACCTGGTGCCTCGATGCCTGCGGTGAGGAGGCCCGTGGACTCGGACGCAGGTTCATAGCGAACGATAGGAGATAAGACGAGCGCGATTAGGATGGGGAAGGCGAGTAAGCGCAGGCAAGATGTCGGGAGCACAAGGATCGACCAGAGCTTGTCGGCATTGTCGTATGCTGCATGTCAGCTTGCGGTTTGGGACGAAGTCAGCTGTGCGATGCGATAGCGGCGCAGGTCGAATGTGGCCTTCCCTCCACCGGAATGTGTCTTCCCTGTGAGTGTTCCTCGATCACCCTAGGTCTGAAGGCCAGATCGACCCGCCTTCCTGCATTCTCGCTCCTGGCTGCGCCACGCCCCTGCGAAGTGTGCGATGCGCACGCCACTGCCTTGCATGCGATATGACCCGTCTGTGTCTGCGAGCAAACCTGCGCGGCCAGTAGCTCAGTAGGGGTACTCACGAATCGAGATCTCCCTCCGGACAGAGAGAACGAGGTTGGGCACTTCGAGGCCAAAGCCGAGCAGAGCGAGGACGATGAGCCAGTAGCTTCCCCAGCGGAGGCGCCACTCGGAGCAGAGCGCCGCGAGGGCATAGCTCGACAGGCCGCCGACGACCCACCAAGCGGACGAGAGGACCCACCAGCGCGCGTGCTCGCCGGCGTGCGGGCGGTAGGGCGAGGTGAGGAGGTCGAGGATGAGGACGACGCCCTCGGCGAAGAATGTGACGGCGATAAAGCACAGGACGGTCAGAATCAGGCTCCGCCGCGGCGTGACTGTTTTGACGGTGATGGCGCGGACACCCTCTGGGGCCGCTGGCGGGGTTGCGGGCGGAAACGCAAGCGCTATTGCAGGAAGAAGGGTGACGCAGGGCGTCACCACATGTAGAATCTCGAGCGCGTGGTGCATCGCGGCGCCGGGACTCGGGACTCGGTAGTCGGGGGTTGGAGTGTGTTGTGGGTGAGATGGGATAGAATAGAGATAATGTGGTGCACTGTGCAACGGTGAGTTGTTGGTGACTGGCGGGCCAGTGGAGGTGATGGACGCCGCGCGCACGGGTGATCTGTCGGTGGTGGTCTGGGTGGTGGTCAGCCGAGCACCCGCAGTAGCAGCTGCTAGCAGCGAGCGATGATGCAACTAGGTTGCCGACAGTCCAGGGTCGCCGGGAGGGCAGACTGGGCAGCTGGGCAGACTGGCCAGGCGCAGGCGGACAGGGCGGAAGCATCTTCGCCCGTGATAGGTCAGCCAGTTGATCAGCCCGTACACAGGTACGCAGCCATCATGGTGCGTCGAGCGACCGAAGCGAGCAACCTTTTCGGTGGCAAACATCGAGCAGAGGGTAGATCGAGCAGACAAACCGTCGGCCCAGACTAACCGCAGCAGGCAGCGGCTTGCGAGATTGCAGGGACATAGGAGCGCACAGCGCACAGGATAGGACCGTAGTTCTGCACCTGGAGGCGTGCACACGGCTCCAGCGTCGGGATCATCCTGCCGCCGTACAGACCGTCGCCCTGTTGCACAGTCAGTCACAAGAAGGAAGGCAAGGTCAGAGCAATGCTGTCCCAGTTCCCTGTCTGTCCGTAGACAGTTGTGTATCGGTTGCCTGAGCGTGTGCATTTCAGGCGCCGCGCGCCACACGGGTTTGAATACAGCACGGACCGTACAGACCTGGCATTGAGCGCTGCGAGATCAGCGGGAGGCAGCGGAGCCATCCGCTGTCCTCTCTGCGCCGATGTGTATCGACACTCACGCATGGTCTTCCTCCAGTGGAAAAGTCAGCACGAGCGCAAGAGTATAGAGTAGTGGGTCGCGCGCATCCATGTATCTGTGCGTGCGTGCGCTGCGGCGCGTGCTACGAATAACGCGCAGAAGATTACGGGTGCTAGCAGGAAGCCGGCGGTCACGACACCGGAAGAAGCAGGAGTAGCGTCAATAACGGTCAGTCGCGCCTGACCTCCTGACTCGTAACTTCCTGACCGCGCATCCCTATGGCGTGTTTCGTCTGTCTGTTGGGCATCATGCAGCCGCGATCGCCGAGACAGCTCGCCTGTGACGTCTGCAGACAGACTCTACTCCGCCTGCCTCTGCTGCGTCACACGCCTGAGCAACACAACAAGGGAACACTGGGCTGTCGTAGCATTGCCAGAAGTTGAATTTGAACCAAGTGCAGTCGATCAGTCCACCCGACGCCCGCCCGCATAAACGTAGACATTTGCATAAGACTACCTAGCCATCTAAGGCGCGATTGCGCGCACACGCGTGGGGTCCTAAGGGGGAATACACACGTATGAATTAAGGAGAAGAGCGAGAGAGGGATAGCGAGAGACACACGGGCGCGAGCGCGGGCAGGGCGGGGCCAGGTGGGCCCGCGCTCGGCCAGCTTGCAGTGGTAGTTTGAAGGGTTGGGTATTGAATCGTCATCAAGGGGGTGGTAGGAGGCGAGACCGGGGAGAGACCGGAGTGGAGGGCCGCATAGTAGACGCAGAGGCGGAGAGGGCCTAACGCCTTACTTGTTGTTCTTAACAGCGAGGGGAACGGCGACACCCACGACGATGATAATGATGATGATGATACAGATCCAGAAGCAGATCCACTTTTTCCTGCGGGCCGCCTTGGCCTTCTTGATCGCACCGTCGAGCTCGCGGTTACCCGTCTCCATGTCGGTGTGCACGGCGGCCATCTGGTTGTCGATCTCGGTGATCGCCTCGTCCTGCTGCTCGACGAGCATCGAGAGCTCGTTGAACATCTGCGCGAGCTCGGTCATCGTCCGCTCAATCTTCTGGATCTCGGCGTGACGCTCCTGCACCTCACGGTACGCCGTGCGCGCGGCACCGTAGCGGTTTGTGTTCAGCAGCGCCTGCGAGAAGACCTGCGGGTTGTCGCTCTCCGTGACCTCCTTGATCTCCTCGGGGGTCGCATCCGGCTTGACAATCTTGAACTGGCGCGCTGCCCGCTCCTGAGTCTTTACTCGGTACTCCTTCTCGATCTGCTGGTGCTCCTGAAGCAGGTTCTGGAGCCTCGTCTTGGCGGTAGCAGCCTGCGTCTTCTCGTTCTTGCCCTTCGCAACCTTGTACAGCTGCTTGACGGAAGCCTGGCACGAGTTACGGGCCTGACGGGCCTCCTCGGCGAGCTGGTCGGCGTAGGCAATCGAGTTCGAGTCGGTCGAGTTCTGTTGTCAGCTATGCTCCACAAAGCCCAAGCTGTTCCGCGAAAGGCTGCCGCTTGTGATCAAAGAGCGCTCCGCCATCTCGCGAGGTACGATCGCCCAACGCAGCTGCTCTTCATACACGAAAGCGGTGCTCAGCCCCGCGACCGGGACCGGTGATTTCGCACTCACAAGGGTCTGCTGGTGCGCTTGCGACACTGATCGGATCTTCTCCTGGAGCGCATCGAGCTCAGCATTGGTCGCGCTCAGCTGCGACCAGAAGTCGCCGCCAGCACCGCCGCCGTTGAGTCCGTCGCTGTACGGGTTCGGGGAGTTGAGTCCGCCCATGGCGTACTGGTCCTGCTGGCCGTAAGCGCCGCCGGCGCCGTATCCGCCAACCTGCTGCTGAGGGGGAGGGTACCCAGTCGCGGCCTGAGCGTACGGGTTACCGCCCTGGGAGGGGACCGAGGGGTTGGTCCTGCAAACGTCAGAAATGTGTCACTCGCGGGGCATAGTTCGGGGGTCGCTGTAGCCTCAAGAAGGAAGCTTTGGCGGCTGTTTGAGAGACGTACTCGTAGGACTGTTTTGGTCAGCGTGTGCATTGCTTGGGTTGTCGGCGGATCACAGAAACACATAACACCAGAGCGGCGCGAAGCAACAAAGACTCCTGCCCGCACAAGCCCGCTCCATCAAGTGTTCTGCGTTCGCTGTGCAACCTGCTTCGTCACAGCAATGAAACTTACGGGCTGCTGGAGTCTGTTACGAGCCATGTCGGAAGTTTGTTGCAAGGATCAGGGGTTCGAGGAGGAGAGGTGGAGGGGTCTGGATCTTGAGGGGGTGAGGGGGTCGATGCGCTCGCTCTGGGGAGTCGTTCGGCGAGGTTGAGGTATGCGATGCGCCGGTGGGAGAGATGGATGCAGGAATGGGGGTGTTGTGTGTTGATGAAGATTCAGAAAAAGTAATGTGAGGGTGAGGGGTTAGATAATGGCGAAGGGTCCACGAATGTCGTGTCGTCGACGGAGGGAGGGCACGGCGGGGGTGTATGGGGGGGGCGGGTTGAATTATTTGGGTGAAGAGGCAACAGAGAAATATGAATATCGAGTGTTTCAGAGACGAAGCAAGCGTATTCAAAGGAGAGAGAGAGGGAGAGGAGGGAATGAGTGTAAGAGAGTGAGAGGACACTGATCTAGGAGAAGACAGGACAGAGGATGCAGAAGCAAAGTGGACGAGACTGGTGGTGTGCACTGTGCAGTGGGACGTGGTGCATAGTGTGCGGGCGTGCACAGTCTGGGTGCCAGTGCCCGTAGCCAGCCCAGTGAACCTGAGCGTGAGCCTGAGCCAGGTGCGGAAGCTGGGCGCTTGTACGCTTGGGCCGGACTTTGCCCAGCAAGGCCGGGGCAGTCGGGCAGTCGAGGTGGATCGATGGACGGTCAATGTTGCTTGGCCGGGTGATCCAGCCAGCACACCACGCACCACCAACGACCGGCTCACGGTTCCAGGGCCCACCGCCGCAGACTTTGCGACTGTGCTGTGCCTCTCCCTGCAGCGCAATCGTCCCAGACCACCAAAGCGCCAGCCAGGGACCGGGGGTGTTTGCGTCCACGCGAACGCCCCTTAGCCCCGGCCCACAGCCCCTGCTCAAATCAACTTTTTCCATGCCGCAGCTCCTTCATTCATCTTTGCCATTTTGCCCCCGCTAATCCGCCGTTGGCCAGATCTTGTATTGCCTCGGGCCCCGAAATACGAGGTGCATTAGCAAACGACCCTAACATCGGTTAAGGGCCTTGGAGGGGCGCAATCGAGAGCCGCTGTGTGGTTGTCTGGGCTCGGAGTAATGTCACCGCGTAACCTCTGGCCAATCGACCAGGTCGCAGACTGCGCAGACATGGCCTGATAACGCCCCCGCCCCGCAGCCTGCATCGCCCTTCAGAGCGCTGATGAGTCGTCCGTCTGCCATGAGCTCATGACCAGTCGTCCGTCCAGCCACCGGCCCCCGCCGCTGACTGGGCATGACGATCGGACATCGCCTCCGCCTCCGATTCCTCCACTCTCACCACGGACATCGGTGCCTCACTCTGACACTCTCGGCACGGGCAGGCCATCGCCTCCGTCACCCATTCTGCTGACTCGATCATACATCGCCTCCGCCCTGGTGGGCCAGACTTCGGAGGCATCTCGTTCTCTAACTCTCTCTACTTGATGAACGCTTCACGATCGCTGATGAATCGTTACGACGAGAGCAAGTGAGGGACCGATTGCCACCCGTTGCGTTCAGAAATAGCAACACCACCTCTAGGATGCATATAGATCTGCGACGCCTGCAACTCCGCCAGCAGCATCACTTGTCTATCGTCGCCTGCCACCTCGCTTACCAGCGTTGCCACCGCGGCCACTGCTTCCGGGCGCCGGGCTGCCCGGCTTCGGGCTGTCGGCCATGAGGTGGTTAGCGAGCCTGAGGTCAGCTTGAAGGGCAGGGCCAGATCTGAGAGTCACAACGCTCGCAGTGGGGTAGACCACCTTGTGCTCTCTCTGCAGACATCCCCCAGGCGGGAGAGACACATGATCCGAGCTCTCCCCACTACGAAGCATGTGAAACCCGTGGACTCACTGAGCACCAGCATCGCCACTGATGACGCTGTTAACCTTCTTCCTCGCCTCAGCGAGGTCCTTCGCCATCTCAGGATCGTTCTCAAGGGAAGCCTGTCGTCAGCTATGCAGCTTTCATCGAAGCTGGGAATCTTGTTGGTACTCACTGTGATGCGAGGAAGCAGCACGGCCATAACCGTCGTTCCGATCATGAGCAGGACCATGGGGCTCTTGAGCATGCCAAGGATCTGCATGCTCGGAGCCGAGGTGTAGTACTGTTCTTTCTGCGTCGCAGTTACCTGGAGAGGGTAGGCGAGGCTGCCGCTCGTCGTCGGCAGAGCCTGACGGTTCGGGTAGTACGTCTGGACATGGACAGTCGCCTTCGGCTTCGGCTGCTCCTCGCCGTCCTTCTTCTGCTCGCCATCCTTGGTATCAGTCTCCTGGGGCTGAGCGATCTCAGCAGACTTGGCAGCCTTCAGCGCCGCTTCGTCTGGGACAGTGACAATGAACTGCAGTCAGTTACCAGCGCACGCAAGACTAACTCACTCCGCTCATGTCGTAGCCTGGTACAATGGCCTGGACGACGTGCTGTCCCGGAGACACTTCACTGATACGTTAGCTGCGTACTGCTTCGTTAGATAGCGTACATCTCGAAGCTCCCATCGGCGCGGAAAGGCACACGCTTCTCGAAGTCGACCTCAAGGCGCGACTCGAGGGGGATGGCGGTCGAGTCTGCTGTCAGCTACGAAGACCAACAAGCCAAGCTCGGGGATGTTTCCCACTTGAACCTGCACAACTCCCGGCACGCCTGTTGGCAAGCCACGACGTGATAGAGGAGTCTTCCTCCAAAGGAAGGCAGTGGATACCCACTCAGCACGGCATTCGGCAGAATCGAGCCCGTCAACTTGAACCCGAGCACGGGAGACGCCCTGATGTCAGCTACCCATCCAAACAACTTAGCTCACAGAAGCAAGATAGTGCTGGCCAGCATGGCGACGATGCGCAGATTGAGATGGTCGTTGAAGTTGTTCGAGCGACGAAGCAGACAGCGGCTGATGACGCGGGGCCCTGAGACAAACGGTGGTGGAGGCCGCCAGTTGGAACGCGAGATGCTTCCGTCCACTGATGGCTGTTGTGGTGAGTGACCACTCGACCGGCCTCAACGAAAGGCATGCATACACACATTGCATGAAAGGCAGTGAGGAAGACATCATTGCATCAGAAGACGTTATCCACAATCGAGTTTCATTCTGGTTTTTACTATGTACAACTACCACGACTGCATGAGACCAAACTCGACCCATCCGACCTCGACCTCCCTCTCCAGAACCGCGGTCGGGGTGACCTCGCGCCAGCTCTCAACGACGCTGTCGTTCTCGCTGGGATAAACGCTCCAGGCGTACGACCTCTCGAGGCTCTGATCCTCTAGGCTGGCAAGGCTGCCGAGGAGAGAGCCAGGTGGGGAGCTCTCCCAGTCACTAGGCGTGGAAGGGCTGTTGACGCTCTCGATCTCGAGCGTGTCCGGTGTCAGCGTGCCCGAGGAAGGCGGGAAGGACTCGCTGAGCCACTGGGAGCGCTCGTATTCGTAGCTCGTCTGGCTCAGGTCGACACGGCTCATGTCCATGCTCGGCATGATGAGTTCGGTGGTGCGCTCCGGCTCGTAGCTGAGCGTCCGCGCCTGCTTTGGGCGCTCGGAAGAGCGCTCGCCCCAAGGCGCACGCATCGCGTCGACCTCGTTCGCACTGAGCACCGCACGTTCAGTGAGGACGCCGATGTCGACGAGATCGCCGAGGAGCTCGCGCACGTCTTCCGCGCAGCGCTCTGCGAAGATGACTCTCAGGATGTCCGGGTTCCCGTCCGCGTCGAGGCTGACTTCGAGCGTCGTGGCGGGGAAGCCGCGCGGGTCGAGTACGCCGAGTGCGTCGAGCTTCGACAGGAGGGGTATGATTCGAGCACCAGCCGCAGCGTATGCTTCGTGCAGCGGCATGAGACCTTGTGTGAGCCCTGCTAGGATAGCGACCCCGACCTCAGCGTCGGCGTACGATATACGCGGCGTTGGATCGAGGAGCGCATCGAGGCTCGGCGCAAGCGCAAGAGACAGCGTCGTAACGTGGCCGGGCGTGAGGAGGACCTCGGGCACGGGAGGGAGAGGGACCTCAGTCTCCTGGCACTGGAAGGGGAGGGGGAAGTAAGCCGCGAGCTCGCGGATCTTGCCCTCCGTCGAGCACGAGGTGACGGAGGCACCGCAGGAGCGGCGCTGCTGGCGCTGAAGGCGGGACTTGGTGCGCTGGGAGGCGGCCCGGCGGGTCGGGCGGCGGACGTACGGCGTGTAGCGGGTAGGCTTGGGAAGGTCGTCATCATCGAGGAGCTGAGCGAAGGCACGCAGGATTACGGGCACATTCTGCGCTCCGCCGGGAACGCTGCCGACGGGCGGGGCAGTAGCGAAGGTGCGCGCCTTGCCGAGACCGACGTTGGACGCCACCGCGGGGACGAGCAGCAGAGGCAAAGGATGGCGTGCCATAGCGCACACTGCGGGCGTGGGCGAAGTTGGGAGGCGGGAGTGAGCGCGTTGTGCGCGGTCCGCGGAGGACGGGGTGCGGCGGGGTCGGCGCCGTGACCAGTGTGCGCTGCGCGGCGGCAAGTCGCTTAGCGACCTGCTTCAGCACACGCGGCGCACGCAGGGCGGCGGCCCCCTTGCGTATGAGGGTCGACACCGAGGTACTTGTGTATCGTCCGATCATTGCTTAGAGCATGGTGAGTGGTGTGTGCGATTGGAGACTCCAGAAGCAAGACCTTGGCCATAGATATACAGGATGCATGGCTGTGGAAGACCGATGTAGAAGCCCGTGCCGAAAGCTCAGACGACGACGCGCGTTGCCACTTGCCGAAGCGACACTCAGCCAGCTCAGCCTTCGGCAGGTTGTATCAGGCACGGATATCCCACGGTTGAAACGCCGATCACCGCCGCTCATCTGCGAAAGCTTGCACCGCTTAAAGCCCTTCAGCGGAGCGGGGATGCATTGGCGGTACGGCTCAGTGCTATCGCTCTGGAGCGAGATTGGATGCCGATTCCTTCGGCTTGCGGTGCACGCAAGCTGCCCCGACTATGCCGATGGCTAGTGATGTTATCTGCTCCGTGATATAGGTAGGCTGGTCAGTAACGCAAACGTGGCGTGCACTTCGCTATATTGCGCTTCTCCAATCCTACAACACATTGTGACAGCATCTATAAATCTAGTTCGGGAGGGCGGTCGCCTGCGCCATGAGTCCACGGAGCCAGTCCGCCTCCTTCTGCATCTCCTCCTGGCTTCTCGGTTTCCGGTCTTCGTCGCGGGGCACCTGCCATCCCTCCGTTTCCCGCTTCTTGCGAGCAGCGGCGATCGCGGCTTCGCGGTGCGTCTCGGGATCGTCGCGTTCTCCCCTCGCGCTCGAGGCGACACGGTTGGCGGCTTCGGCGATTGTCTCGGGAGTCTTGCCCTCCGCCTGATCCTTCAGATCGCCCTTTAGCTCCTTCTCGCTCTTCTCCAACGCCGGGTACACGCGGTCAGTGTCGCCTCCGAAGTCTTTTGATGTTCGCGGGATAATATGCACGTGAACATGGGGCACAGACTGGCCAGCAGCAACACCGTCCTGACTTGTCAGCTTAGAGTGTCCAGATTGCGAGTCAGCTGGGGTGGAGCGCTCACCTGGACGGCAATGTTGAGGGCCTCAGCCTTGTACGCCTTCTCGATCACGCGACCAACACTTTGAACGCTGTTGAACAAGTCGGACACTTCATTCGGCCGCAAGTCAGCTAGCCGCGGAACAACGCGTTTCGAGATGATGAGTACATCTGACATCAGCTGAGCCTACGGCATGCAACTCACGCCCCGGCCTTAGCGGCTTCAGGTTGACAATGCCCAGGGATGACGGAGTCTCGAAGAATACTAGTTGTCAGTTTTCCACGGAAACGCACGACCTACCCTGCCGTGTGACATCGAACACCGAGAAGAGGTGACGCGACATGGTGCTTATGCGAATGCTTTCGTAAGTCAGAATAACAATGCGTGCGATTGTGGTGTGTGGTTCTGCTAACCTTGTGGTGGTGCGTGAGGTCACTGGATGTGGTGAGAGAGGTCACGTGCCGAGAGACGCATGGTTAGAGCATGGCATTGTGCCTGAGGCACTCGCCACCCAGGCACGGTTGTTGTGCTTGTTCGCGTTCCAGGCTGCGCGGTTGCGTGCGAGAGAATGTCGGGTTGACTCACGGTCGCACTCTGCACTACGGCTGTTCTGGCCCAGCTAGCCCAGCTGGCCCAGCTGGACAAACTCCGCCAGCTGCGCCAGTATGGTGGTACGAGCTGATCCCTCCTGCCCTCTCGAGTTCTCAGCGACACTCGCTTCTTCACCTTGCAACCCTCCCTCTCCCGCGCTGCACTCACCTGGTCTCTTCTCGCGCAACCTCGTCCTCGAAAGGCAGAGGGCGGCTGCTCGCCCACCTGTTCGCCTCCGCTCTCACCTCCGTGTTCTGTTACCCTGCACTCGCCGTAGAACCCGCGTCTACGCTACCATACCCTCCCTGGACGTCAACATGAGAAGCCGATCGACCACCCCGTCGTCCTCGGACGTCTCGGCGGACTTCTCCGTGGTCTCGCCACCCACCGACCCCGTCAATCCCCTCGCTACAGCCATGGAGCAGGTCAACCTTGACAACTCGCCTCCTTCGGCGTCTGATGAGGACAGCTTCGAGATTGTCGTCATGCCTGTGTCGCCTGCGTCTGAGCAATCGGAAAGCTCTCTCTTTTCTGTGCTGTCCATCCCGACCTCTGTAGACTCGGACCGCGGACGCGACTCCAGTTCAGACTCGGCATCAGACGACTTATTGTCCGACTCTGCGTCAGGCAGATCCCAAGGATCGGCGCCCGTATCCTCTGAACGCCCCGCAGCAGAGGATGCGCCCCCAAAGGAGTCCACTCACCTTCACACAACTCGCAGCATTCCCGCATCCCCATCGGTTGACGTTGCATCTCTCCCCACGCCGCCATCTTTGCTACAACCTCCCAAGAGCTATCAAGTAGGTTCAACAGCTCCATACTCGACAGCCATGACCTTGTCAGGCCGTGGCGCCGACACCGCAGCCGACCCGATGTCCGGCTTGACGATGAACCAGAGGAAGAGTCGCAGAAAGGCGGCTGCGAAAGCGGCAGCGCATCTAGTACTGCTAGGGAAACAACCCCCGGATGAAGCTACAGCTGGCTTCACCGACGCGCAGAGAGTACAGTTTAATCGTATTCTTCAAGAGGTGACGACAGCCGCAAATGACTGGGCACTCAAGCTCTGCAGCATTATCAGTCCTGCTGAACAGTCGACTCTGAGCAAGAAGAAGCTGAAGGCTCGTCGCAAAGCTGCAGTTGATGCCGCTGTCAAGGCTGTGCAAGCAGGCCAGCGAACATCGGTCCACGCTACCATCGGCTTCACCGAGGCTCAGAACCGCGCCTTTGACCAGGCGGTCAGCAAACAGCAGGGCAAGAACCGCAGGCAGGCAGAAGTGCAAGCCGCCGTCAAGGCCGTCACAGCGGGGTGGCAGACCCAGAATGAGGCGACCTGCCGACTCACTGCTGACCAAAAAACAAACTTCAAGCAGGCTCTCGAGGCGCAAGCCAAGCACAACCGGGCTGTTGTTGACCCTTCCCTGTTGTCCAAGCAGCAGAGGAGGAGGCGTAGGGATGCGGCCGTGAAAGCTGCTACGAGAGCGGTCCTGGTTGGCGAGATGAATCCAGAAGAGGCAGCTATTGGGTTCAACCATTTCCAAATGCTCCAGCTTCGAGACCACCTCCTTCAGGCTACGAAACCAGCGAGCACCTGGAGTAGCATTATGGCACGCGGTGGCACGCTCTCGGTGAATCAGTGTACGAAGCTCACTCACGCCCGCCGTCGTAATGCCGATCCCACGGGTAGTGACGATGACCGTACGGAGAGCGAAAGCGGTTATTCGACCGATACTTCGTCGACCATGAGCTCGCAGGATGCTGCCAGCGCAATCTATGCGTGGGTTTACCTCCAGTGAACAGAGACTGACATCAGCTTCTTCAGTGACACCGATAGCTTCACTAGCCAGCAGGAGAACAAGCTGCGGCTGTGGCAAGCTCTTTGCATTGAGGTGAGCTCGAATCGAACTGGACCGGATAGCTGATGACAGTTTGGACTCGTTGAGGCTGGAGACCTGGCGGACCTGCCGTCCCAGCGCACACACCGCTCGTCCGCGCCCTCTCCACCCTCCCAGCGTCCACCGCCTTCAACGTTCTCAGACTCCGACGAGTCAACCACTCCTTCGCGCTCGGTCACACCGACGCAAGCGAACCCGTTCCCGACCAGCCTGACACAGGCCAAGAATCTCCTCAGCACCGCCCACGTTAACCTGAGCACATACATGGCACTGCGCAAGAGCAACCCCAACCCCGAGCCCGGCGAGTATGCGGACTTGCTCGAGCCCTCAGCTTCAGCGTTGCGCAAGCTGCTCCGCGAGTCGCGCCAGTTTGCCAAGCTGAGCGATGTCAAAGCTGAGTGGCTGAACCCGCTCCTGAAGGACTTTGGCTTCGCCCGCAGTCGCGCTCGTTCCGCGTAATCAGTGTGCTATACACCGCCTCTCGGCAGAACAATGATCCAGTTTAAATCAAGTCCGAATCCGCAGTCGCGGAGATGAGTAGATGCGCAGCGCGTTATCTCGGTATTCTAGTTCCTAGTTTCAGTTGTCAATGCCTCCCTGCATGTACATATATCCTGTCACAACCATCGCCTCCTCACGCACAGTCGCACAGTATGCGCAATTCCTGGGGCTGAGGCTACAAGGCATGCAAGGAGCCATGTTCGGGACAACGTCTGTCCGCATCACCATACCCAGACAGCGGCCTGTGCGCCTGTTCGGATCCGGGAGGCGGAAGGATCTGGGTCAGTAGCCGCGGCGAGGAAGGAAGCAATAGAACAGCAGCTGCCCGTCAACGCGCTCGTACGCTGATGCGCTTGCGCTCGTTGCATGCAGCCTATTCGCGTAACGTACAATGAGCAATCGACATTCCCCGTCAACAACCGCGAGCCCTTTCATTTTCTCTTCCCGCTCATTTCATCAGAGTCTCCAGTTTCACGTACAGCGGGGTCAGGTCACGAGACGCAACCCTTGACCACAACCGGCGTCGCACTCGCCCACTCACGTACTCGCACTAGCATGACATGAAGCATGAAGCGCGCTCCTGCCGATCATCTCGGTCGGCGCGGCGTAAGTTGACCCCCGGTGCGAGGGAGCAGATCTGAGCCCAGACAATCCACACCCGAGGGTCAATGTGAGATCCCCCCGGCTCGACATGCTTCTCTCCGCGGGGCGCTGCGTGGCTTGCCCGCTCGCAGCAGGTGACCTACTCGAGATGCATATATAACACCCCTCCTATGTTGTGCTCCTCTCCATCCTCCCACCTCTTACTCTCTCTACGACTGCTCACGCCACCCTCCGCCGCCTCCGACCTTACCACTCCGCTGGGCTCGATTTCCCACAATCTCTCGACCCACCCAAACCTTCCGTAACCCCGGTCCCCAACACCACTTCAACAAACATCACCATGTTCGCCATCCTGACCGCCCTTCTTGCCGCCACCGCGCTTGCGTTCCCGGCCGAGGTTGCTCGCGGCGAGCGCGGTCATGGCCACGGCCACCGCCCCACCCCGACCATCTCCGCGGGCCCTCCTCCCAGCACCTTCCCGACCTCGTCGCCCGGTGTCCCCTACACCTCCACCAGCGTCTGGATGCCGCCCCAGCCCACCGAGTACCCCCAGCACTACGGAGACTTCGAGTCCACCCCTGTCTGGATCTTCTATCCCCACGGTGCGCCGCTGTACAACATGTGTGTCGAGGCGAAGGGATGTGGCCGTGGCCGTAAGGGGCGCAACGGTAAGGTCGTTATGTAAGTCTAAGGCCCCTTTCTTGTGACCGCTCGTCTGAGTTGACATCGAGCTGACCCCAGCGCGTCCTGCAACTCCTCCCCGGGCCAGCAGTGGGCGTACGGCATCCAGTCCGGCCCCCAGATCAAGGTTGCGGGCACCGACCTCTGCCTCGATGCGGGCCACAACCCGCGCTCCGGCTCCAAGCTGCGCGTTGAGCGCTGCAACGGTTCGGCGAGCCAGAACTGGTACGTCGCAAACACGGGCCTGTGGATCTTGAACGACCGCGAGTCGGACTACCTCTGCGCCGACATTACGGGCGGCTCGCGCGACCCCGGCACCGGACTCCAGCTCTACCCTTGCGCAGGCAACAACGCGAACCAGCAGTTCTACCCCGGGTTCTGCTGGGACCACACTTGCATTGGAGCTTGAGCGGAGCGAGAGTGTGAGCCTCACCGAAGCGGTCAGCGGACAGTTCGCAACAAGAGCCACGCGCGGTGGCATATGTGGGCTCGCGAAACTCGTGTCCTCGGACCAAGGCTCGGATTATGGACAATACTGAAGATATGTGCATGAAGACGTGTGGACACTTTCATATCTATAGTTATGCGCTGAGATGAACAGTTGCAGGTCACTTACGTCTTCGTCTGATAACACCAGCGTTCCGAGTCGCAGTTTACTTACATTTGTCTACTTAATGCCCCATCGGGCGACAGGGCTCTGTTCTAATACGGCACCCGGTGACTTACTGAACATGGAAGGGGTTGCGGTGACCTCGCGTATATCCTCGTCTGCATGTGCCCTGCACAGATTAGCGTCCGCGGCATCCAAGCGCCGAATTGACCATAACTAGCAGAGCTCGATGCCTGTCCGACTTGTCCTGACACTCCCTGTTCACTTCCAGCACCTTCACTTGCACCCAAATCACCTATGCTGTCTACTTGGCGATGCAAGTCGCACGGTTGCCTTCCCTCACCGCTAGTGGAGACATGGAGAGCGAAGAGGACTGGGGGCGGGCGTCGAAACCACCTGGTATGCTGCCGAGAGGCTGTTGCGAAACGCCCGCGCTTCGAATTTGTAAGGTACAGCGGAGTAGAATCAGCGTCAGTCTCATACCTGTCCCACTGTGACGCAGGTTGAGATGCTAACAGCAACTGCCCACATCGCCGATGGGTCCACGCACACGACGAGAGGAAGCCAAAGCGACGTGCCTGCAGAATTCATTACTCGGATCCGACAATCTTATCTATCCTGCAGGGTCCGCCGTTCTCCGCTCTATGACGCCATGGCCGAAACCGTGTCACTCTTCCCCTCGCTCTAGACTCCACACGGCTTGATGGGAGCTTAGCCCACCTTTCGAGGTCCATGGAGATGGAGAGGAGAAACGACAGTGCATTGGGAAGGATCTTCCTATGGACGAGCACATCTGTCAATGAAGCGCACAATCAGCCCTAAGCAGGGGTGCTACCGTCAGCCTCATGCAATCGGTCAACTCACAGCTTCCAGATCTGGTTCGGGTTGTGGTCCACGCACTCCCAGAGCTGGAAGAGGCCGGTTCCGTACGTCCCGATGTTACCGTCCTTGAAGTCAAGGCAGTAGTCTATGCCGTCAGCTGTGCCGGGAATCCAGGGTGAGACTAGCTGAAGAGCCTCCGCGACGCAAGATTGGACGTAATACTCACTCGTGTGTCCGAGCTCGATATGTCCGCTCTCGCGGAAAGTCCAGGTGCGGTTCTCGGCGGAGAGGAAGGTGACGCCTGCCAGATTTACAGCGGGAGCCATGTCGACACGGCCGCCATTCCACGGTTCTGGCATTAGTACATGTTCCTCTGCTCCTGACGTGCTCTGGATGCGTATCCCTTTCGCCCCGCTTCCAAGCGTTTCGGAAGGCAGAGAGCGCAAGCAGAAGGGAACCCAGCAGCAACACTCACCCCAAGCATTTGACCCGAGGAAGTGCCCCGCCTCCGTCGTCACCTCGCCCGTGACGGCGGGATCGAAGAACCACTTGACGTGGCACGTGTCCAGCGGTCCGAGACGGGGCGTCTCGAGGTTCAGAGTGCAGTAGACATGAGGTTCGTCGGTCGAGTCCGAGTCGGACTGGTAGCACTCTACAAGCCGGAGAAAGGACTCGCCCTGCCGGATTGTCCACCACGAGGCTGCGCCGGAGACAGCTGGAGCTACCAGAAGGGCGAGTGGGATGATGGAAGCGAACATGGCTGAAGCAAAGGAGATACTGGTGGCAGAGGGAGAGCGATAGTGATGGCGGTGGTGCCAAGACTACGCACCCTATATAGGATGGACGAGGGTATCGCCGCTACATGCTCTGAGATGTGTCGAGCCCACCTGACCCACTCCTGTGACAACGGAAGAAGCTGAATGACAATATCCTCTGACGGCAGAGTGAATTGTACCCAGCAAGTAATTAATCGAAGTTTGAATCTGGCACCGTCACCCGGCCTACAGATCGACGTACATCCGCAGGCGGTGACTTTCCGACGCTCTTGGGGCACGGAGAGGTTTACTCGGTCAGGGCAGAAGCAAGGCTGGGAGGGTCGGTCATGTGGTCGACAAATCACCCCAGCATACCGTAGCAGACCCCTAACGAAAGGTCCCCTTGGTGCCCAGTCGGCTCCGCAAAGGCGCTCTGATAGTTCAGTGCCCGCGGATGTAACTGACACTGAACATGTTCGAGCGCGCTGGATGTCATGACCGCGCCGCTTGAACACTGACACGCCCAGAAGCATGCCTGCGGATTGATAAAGGGGGCTATGGGCTGCTTCTTCACAACCACCTCGGCCCCGAGGACTCTCGGACTTGACCGGAGTACTGGACCGAGAGCCACTAAGCTCCGCCCCCAACCTGGCCGGTCACTCAAAGCGCCCACTGCATACTCGAGTTCTCCAACTTAAGAATGCTTGCATCGATAACTAACTACTGGCGCTGATGCTCTTGAGTTCGGGTCTCTTTTCACCAATGTCCGTTTTGTGATCAGCTGAATGGGCTTAGATGCGGAGATTGATCTATCCGCAGCAGAGCACCCTATCAATCACTGGTGGACGTTCCACTGCTGATTGGTGTTGTTAGGGTCGCAAGCCCAGAGCTGGATCGTAGCCTGGTCCTCGCCCTTGAGCTGGTCCGGAGTCGGCTTGCCGTCCTTGTAGTCGAGGCAGAGCCCTGTGCCCTCGAGCTCGATGAGGCCATCGGGGCGGACCTGCCACTGCTGTACATCAAGGCCATCATAGCAGTCCCAGAAGTGGGGCACGGCGCCGTTCTGCGGGTTCGAAGTGCCGTCGAGGCAGTGCTCGGGACCCTTGTCGTCCGTCGAGTGGTTCTTGAGCGAACGGATCGGACCGGGCTTGGACGGATTCAGTGCAAAGGAGGTGCGGATACGACGGAACATGGCGTTGCCCTGCTGGTTTGGGCTGACTGCGATGCCGAGGACGTTGCCGTTCTCGTGCGTGCCGCGGATGTTGTTGGGGTCGGGTGTCGCGACGTCGCCGAGGTAGCCCTTTGGGTTGGCACGCCACTCGATGGAGTAGGGGTGCTCGTCCTGGCGCTTGGCGGGCGCGGCCACGGTGAGTGAGGCGAGGAGGGTAGCAGTGACGGTGGTGGGGAGCATGATGTGTGGCGTCGAGTGAGGGACGTGGGCAACCAGATCGCTCTGTCCTTATATATCTCGCTCGCAGTAGCTGACACCGTCACTCGTCATCCCGCCAGAGCTGCCGAACGGCGCGGCGTTCTGGTAAGCGTTCCGTCGGAACATGAGAAGTACATCATGCTCATCGCCGTAGAGGCAAAGTGGGCGCCTGAGTGATCTGCGTCACCAATCTTCCTCTCAGATCGCCGTGTACTGGCTCATGACTCGATGCAATCCCCAGGGTGTTCTCGACTGCTCCTGAACGATGATGCCGACGAAGCTCTGGGGCGTCGATTAACATGCACGTGCATTGGTGCATGTGTGCCCAGCTGAGTCCGCGCGGACGTGCGGCGCGGGCCTGACGGAGTTCGGAGTGGAGGCTTTCCGTCGGAAAGTGTAACGTACGACATGTGCTCGGACAAGCGAGGCTGTGCATGTGCTACAGCAGCGACGCGCCGAGGACGCAGGGCCTTCGGATTGCCGAGAAATCATCGTCAAGCTGACAGGACGAGCTTGCAGGGTTTGATTAGATGTGCTGACCACCAAGTAAGGGCGGCAGCAGGGTCACCGAAGACCTTCCCCACGGGAACGTGTTCATGGTGTTCGCCTTTTCAGTGCATGCATTTTCATAGGCCGAGAATACAGTTCAGTGACTGTGACGTACCGTCATGAACGGCGGTTTAGCCAGAATCCGAACAGCGAACTTCGGCATCAGGCTACTCCGCAAGCACCGATCAATGCAGCTCGTAGTACGGGGAAAATTCTTCCAGGACAGAGGGGGCACAGCTCTCGGAGGCAGGCTGCTTCGATGATTAGTTCGGTGATATGCCTAGAGACCGGGCATATGTACGTTTTTGTATCTGCTCTCGTCGCGTCCGCATACAAAAACACGTGTCTCTGTACTGTAGCTCGTACTCGCCGCAAGCGTCGGTTTGTCAGAAGCTAGAAGCACGGGAAGTGTGCTGCCAGAGCTGGTCTTGCTCGAGAGTCTTTGCACAACTATGCATTCCGTGCGCCAATGACTCCGCGAATTGTCCGTAACTTAGGCGAGCCCATCACATGGCCACAGTGATGAACTTCTGGTTGTCGTTGCATGCGCACTCCCACAGCTGCAGTCCACCTGTAGGCCACTTGTTCGGTCCTCCGGGAGGGTACGTGGTCGGGACAGCGTGCCCGTCAGTGACGTCGAGACAGAGCCCGGTACCCGTCAACTCAATGAAGGAGCCGTTGTGCACCGTCCACTGCTGCTGCTTCAGGCCGTCGTAGCACTGCCACAGGTGCACCTTGCCACCATTCGCGGGGTCTTAACGTCAGCAATGACGGATGGTGGACTCACTCTCTCCCGCATCGATGCAGAAGTTACCCTCTGCCGTGTGCGTGGTGCGGATCGGGCCTGACTGCCCCTCGGTGAAGATCCAGGAGCGGGTCTGGTCGGGCGTGCGGCTGTAGGCCCTGCAAGTTAGCATGTGTGGGGAAGGGGTCGACTCACAGGTTGACGGTGCGACCATTCTTGAAGCCCTCGTAGGGGTATCGGCCAGCCGGGGCGGGGGTGCTGATGAGTGCGTAGTCGCCGTCCTCCTTTGTGGGCCACTGGAGGCCCTGTCCTTCGGCCTTGACAGCGACAGCGGTGACAAGGGCGAAGAGGAGAGATGCGAGCATTGTGGGTGTGTTACGATGTCGACGTCGGCAATGTTGGGTGTTTTTCGCTGCTCGCCCTTATATACCTACCGAGCTGCTTTACGACATGAGACAAGAGTTGAGGCTTAATTGCTTGCCAAGCCGTAGCGTAATACCGCTCCGAGCTCCATTCCTTCTGCGATAAGGGTTTCGTTCCGAGCGAGAAAGCCGGGTTTGCCGATAGTAACCGAATCGTTCTCTGCGTTGCCCACCTCGCGCACCGCTGTGTGCTAGATACAAAGAAGCTTGCCTGTAACGATCGTGACGGTCTCAGAGTGGACTGAAGACGCAAATGCGATCGCCAAGGCTGTCAGCACCGCTTCAGGGTCGGCGGTCGCCGAACGCCCAGCTCCGTTCCTGCCGACGCCGACTTCCGCTCGATATCCAGAACGGTCGGTGCTCCACTCTTGCTTGTCTCGCCTTTTGGCCGTTGAGTCGTCTGCGTGAACTCTGCCGGTGCATGTCCATGGAAGCACGCGCTGCGGAGGCACATAGCGGAGCGAGCGGTACTTGTTACCCCCATGGAATGGCTGACCAACAAGATTTACGCCTCGGTGCTCGAAATGAACTCCGAAAGTTTCGTTCACCACACTGAGATTCGTGCCGAACGTCGAAATTCTTCAGCATCGAGCATCCGTCCGCCCTTGCTCGCAACAGTTGCACACGGCGAGGGATCCCACGACACCTAGAGCTGACTGCTATCATGCGGGACGTGGGAGATGTGTGCAGGTGGCATACCTCTAGTTGTGGGGGGACGCAGCAGGCTTCTCTAGAGTTGTAAAGACGCCAAATGCAGACGCGAATTTCAAGTGCAGGCAACGATGCGCCGCCGAGGTGAGCAGGCCACACTCATTGACGTCAACTCTCGTAGATCGCATAAACTCAGCCTTAACTATTCGCTCTCAACTATTCGAGAGGCATCCGCAGATAGCCAAGCGAATCCGCAGCTTCCCTGTTATTAGCCCGGATCCGAGAAGATGGATCATCTGATCGAGGGCCTCAATTGAGTATCGGAGCCATATTATGCCCACGCTCCTCTCAACCTCGTCTCCCCTCCTCCTACACAGGCGCCAGCAAGGATATCACCAGAATGTCACACTCGCGAAAGGAATAACGAAAGCGCAGCTCTCAGGCTCGCTGTCGATGTGACCTGTCAGGGTTCCAGACTGAGGTCATGACCAGTTCCAATGTCGTAGGGAGCTCACGGAATCGAAGTGCCTGGTGCTTTCGATTATCTTCTGTTTTGTCACTACGTTGCTGAACACCTCTCATAGCAGCTCAATCGCTGTTCTTTCCTCAACCACTTTATGTACTGCCGGTTGTGCTTCTGAACTGATAGCATTGTCCGTATCAACGAGCCAACTAGCGATTTTCGGTGATTGTTAAAGTTACTGCCCCGGCTGATATGACGAGTCAGGAACAAGGTCGAAGAGCTGGTTTGTGCTACCGGGGATACAGTCCCAGAGTTGGATCACGGAGTGGCGGAAGGCGTCATCGCCATTGTATCCATCCTTGACATCGAGGCAGTAACCGGTGCACCCGAGCTCGATGTGTCCGTCAGAGTGGTATACCCACTGCTGCACGTCGAGTCCGTCGTAGCAGTCCCAGATATGGGGTAGCGCACCATTACCGGGGTCTGGGGTCAGCTGATCCACCATGAAGGAACAGGGTAGCGCGGACTCACTGCTAGTTGCGTCCATGCACAACTTCTTGCCGGACCAAGGCTCGGGCCTGCCGCCAGTGTAGAGCTGCCCGATCTTGTCCTTTGAAACGGTCCAGTCCATCGAGCAGTATTTGGCATAGTCGTGCGAGAGTCCGAAGGTCGTCCCGATGCGCGAGCCTCCGTATGGCGAACCGTTGCAAGTGACCACCCAGCGACGGCTGTCTCCGGGACCGGCGTTACGCCACCTGATCCGGTCTGTTGCATTGGCGCCACTAAGCAGCGCCAGCGTCACAAAGGCGGCGGTGAATATCATTGCAAAGCTTGGTGTGTGCTGGGTGTGAGTGTGAGTGCGAGAGTGGGCGCGCTGTGTTAAACTATGGGTGTGGCAATGCCGAAGGCCATGGGGTGCACCCGCTTGCTGAGTGCAGCATTTATATACGGCACGCAACGATGTTTCGGTCATGACGTCCCTGTAATCTTCCTTCGGCGCCACCGAGCGACATCCGAGTTCCCGGATCCGGCTCTCCCATCATCTGATCGAGACAAGTGTCCGGATCCTCATTGCCGCCGCCCGTCCCACTGTCACCTCTGTCACGCCCCCGAGAGCACGCACAGCCCCTGAATGGTGGGATGAGAACGTGCCGAACGACTGAATGGACCCCGTGCAGCGGAAGCGTCTTCCGGAGCGACCTGGCATCCGACATCAAGCGACGGCCGCAGAAAGGCCAAAACTAGACCTCGCATCTGCAGGATTGTTGGCAAGAAATCGAAGAACGCGGCCATGTCCGGATTGTAGTTGCGATAGAATGACGTATTCATACAGAAATTATGGCAAGAGTGAGCGAAATGACAACGGCAATAGCAAGAATTAGAGTCTATCATGTCTCGGGTCTGTCTCGATCTGTGTTCTGGGTTTGGGGTTTGTTTAATGGCGTGGAATGTCTTCATGCTAGGTGTCATCGAGCGCCGGCGGCAGCAACGTACTCGAGCAGCAGAGCAGCCTTGCGCCTCTCGCCGCTCGAGATGACGACGCCGTCGAGGGTGCGGAGGTCGGGGCAGCTGGCCATCAGGAGGCCGCGGTACACGAGGCGCTTCGAGTACCATTCATCCGGGAGATGTTTGCGGAACTGGTTGTCGAGCGCAGCCCAGTTCGCTGGCACAGCGGCGTCGTCCGCCTCGAGCGAGGCAACGCTCGTCATCGTGCCGTCTGCGTCGCGCTTGCCGTTCTTCGCCTTTGTCTTCGGCAGCATGATCGGTAAGTAGAACGATAACGTCGCCGGGTTCATGCGCAGGTCGAGCTCCTCGAGCGGCGCGCTCTGCAGTCCATCTGCATACCGCTGGGAACCGAGTCGGTTACCGACGGCCATCAGCTTCCGCAGGCGCACAAGTCCCGCGAGCCCATCCAGGTCGCTCAGGAAGTTGTAATTTATGTTGAGGATGTGCAGGTTCGGCACGCGCGAGGCAAAGTCGGTCGGCCACGACGTCAGACCGCATGCGGCAGCTTCGAGGTAAACGAGCGAGAAGACGGGAAGCGGGATGAAGTCCGCGTCCAGCTTATTGCCACTGACGTACAGCCTCTTGACCGATTGCAGGTCCTCCGGCGAAAGGAAGAACCTCTGCACGCGCTGGTTGCGCAGCGACAGGTTCTCAATGCGATGGCCACCTGTCGAGCTACGCGACAAACCTGGGATCGCATTGTTGTCGGCGAACAGCGTCCGAACTCGCGGGAAGAAGGATAAGTCGAGGTAGTTCAGCTCGTTGTCGGACAGCCGCAGCACTCGGACGCTTGTCATGGGCGCGGGAGGCTCGAGGTTGTGCAGGCTGTTGTGGTCCAAGTTCAGCGACGTGAGCGATCTGAGAGTGTTTAAGCCGTGGACGGAGTGGATGTGGTTGTTGGACAAGTCGAGAGTCTCCAGACGCTGCCACTTGCAGCCCTCCAGGTCCACACGCTTGATTTGGTTGCTAGAGGCATTCAGCTTGATGAGGCAGTCCATGTCTAAGATGCCACTGAGATCTGTGATGCCATTATGACTGCAGTTCAGTTCGCGGAGGTGCGACAGACACTTGAGCTGCGAAACACCATCAAGCTGGTTGTGCGAGATGTCGAGGTACTGCAGGTTGCGCAGGTGGTTGACGCTAGTGAGGCTGGTCAGGCGGTTGAAGGAGGCGTGCAGCGTCCGGACTGTCGAGGGGATGCCAGACAGGTACTCGATCGCGTTGTTGTTCAGACGGGCTTCGTCCAGCGCGGGCAGGAACTCCTTCAGGCGGGCCAGGGAGTCGATGCCCTTGTGGCTCAGGTCGATCGTCCTCAGCTGCTCCCAGTACGGCTCGAAGGGCTGAACGTCGGTGATGAGCTGAACGAGTCGGTCGTGGGCTACACCGAAGGAGCACTCCGTTAGGAACGTCTGGTCACCGCGACCACCTCGGCTGCGGAAGCTGCGGAATGAGCGGGTTGGTAAGGGGACTGTGTCCTCGCTGTCGTCGGCGGTGGTGTCTACGAGGTCGACGACTACAGCGGGATTCTGGCTGGTCGAAGGTCGCTTCGGGGAGAGAGACCTGGGGGGACGCGCCTTGCTAGGGCTGCCGTCCTCGATAGTGAGCTCGGCCATGTTGTCCAGGACCCCCTGAATCCGCTTCGTGCGAGCACTGGGCATCCAGCTGCGCTCAGTCGGCTGCTCCTCATACTCCGTGTACTCCTCGTAGTGCAGATGCTCGGCGATCATGACACCGTCCGAGAAGCTCACGCTCCGCTGCTTCATCGAAGGGCTTTCCGAAGCTGGCCTGGGAGTGACATCAGCATGCCAAGCTGTACGCTTCTTCATGGCCGAAGCTGGAGTAGCGTTGGGATTACGCAAGGCAGAGCGCAAACCGCCGTTGGGTGTACCGGCGTTGGCAACATTTGGCGTCTTGAGGACCGGAGCGGACACGCTTTGACCGAGAATGGGCCGTTCAATGGCCATTGGCGTCTTATCGGCATCGTCATGCTCCTCCTGGGCCGCCTCGTCCGCTTCAGATTCAGACTCAGATTTGCTCTTGTCAGAAACACGGTCTTGGTCGGCAACAGGCTCATCGGCCAGAGTGGCGAATGCAGCTGTGATGCGAGTCTGCGGAGAAACCGAATTGACGCTGTCGATTCCCGCGAAGGGGTCGGCGCTGTCGTCGCTGGCGCCTAAGCGGCTCTCTCCAGCCTCATCCACGCGACCTAAAGAGTCGTTGGTGTCGCGGATCCAGCGCATACTCGCAGGATCGTAGCGCATCTTTCCTATCCGATCAGACATGAGATTCTGCACGTCTCCGGGCTGAATCATAGTCATGCCAGCGCGCATCTTTGAGGGGTCACGGGGCCCAGCGTGCTTCACGAAGGATGTTGAGGCGGTTGTGGCCGTCGCTAAGGTGCTAGACGAGATAAACCGGTTCAGGTCATCACGATTGACATTAGGCGGGCGTCCGGCGCCCTCAACCGAAGTCCGTGAGGTCCTGCTTGACGACCTGGCGCCGTCCTGATTGCTGCTCCGATCATCATCAGGGCTTCTCCAGCGGGGGATGTGACTCTCCGCCTCTGATGAGTAGGAGTTTGTGGAAAGAGATTTCTCGGGGCCCATCTCCGGGCTGACCACGTTTGTAGAGGTCGAGTCGGACACCTTGCGCGACTTGATTCGGGCCATCATGTCCTCGGCTCTGTGTAGGTAGGTTGAGCTCGTGGTCGACGGGTTGGAGCGCCATTTGCCATCGGAGCCGACACTACCGACATTCTTGCTGGTTTCTGAGCGCATGCTGCCGCGGTTAACCACCCTCTGAGATGACTTGGTTGACCGCATAGTCCCTCGAGCATCCTCCGCCTCGGACTCAGCCGGCGTTGGAATATTGGGAATGGCGTCGTAATCCACAGTAGGCCCTCCGATGCCACTTTCTGTCCGTTCTGCCGCTGTGCTCGGGGTTTCGCTGCGGCTTCGTGAACTCCGGCTGTCACTGGTAACAGAACTGTAGTCCGGCTCGCTAACCCGGATGCGGTTCATGAGAGCCGCCCCTTGAGCTTCCCAGTCCCTCACGGCTGCTGGGCCGCGTGGTCTCGGAGACACTGGAGACAACCTCAGCCGCTTCGAGGAGCGCTCATCGGACAGGGAAGTTCCGGAATCGGGAGTCATCGAAAGGGAGCGCGACTCAGATGACGAACCAGACATCACCGGGCTCCTTGTGGCCTCCGGAGACCAGTCCCTCAGATCCTTCGCGTTCGGCATTGAAGGCGGCGAAGGTGACGGTCGGATGGCGATGCTGTCGACGAGCGCGCTTAAGTGCTCTCGTGTGTAGGTGTCGTACGTATTGCGGAATAACCGCAAGCCTCCTGGGTTTCCCTTACTCTCCTTCGAGCGGAGGGTCGAGTGCGATGGCTCCCCGTTCTTTAAGGGGCTGAAGTCGGGTGAGAATGAAGGTCGCGAGATACCAGACTCCCGCCGAACAGGAGAAGTGAATGTGAATGCAAATCCGTCTTTGTCGAGGGAGGGTTGTCGATCATCCTCCTCGCCCTGCTCAGCGTCTTCTGACTCTTCTAACAGAGATTGGGTAGAGATCTCACGAGTGGTTCCGAAACTGTGACCCGTCGGCGACCTTGTCGGCGACTCTACGGGCGTTGGACCCCGGGGTGTCGGAGAGGGCGATCTAGATTGTGTTCGGGTCCGCGATTTTGATCGGGAATCCGAGGGCGATGGTGACCGTAAGAGGTCAGAGTGATCGAAGTCGGATTGCGTCTCCAAGTTGTCACCCAGATGAAGAAGATTTGGTTGCTCGTCGTCGACCCCCGAGTGGTCGAGCGGCAGGAGCGTACTTCGCTGCTCGGACTCAGTCACAGTTCCGAATGACGCGTCCATTGGTGTCATAGACTTGCTCAGTCGAGAGGGGCAGGTAGGGGCGTACGGGTGAGAAACTCGGCGATCCAGGCCAGCGAAGGGAGCCGACGTCGGAGTAGACGTCTTTGTTGGTGCGGATACAGAGCGCGGAGAGGTGGAAATATCAGCCGCAATGGTGTCACCGGTCTTGTCGGCTGCAGGGGGTGATGTCGGGGCGCTCGAGGTCTGCACTGGCGGGGATGGCGGCTCAAACATGCGCTCAAGGGCGAGAGCCGAGAACATGTCCTTCCCTTGTCCGAAAGGGTTGCTCTTCGGGAACGCCTTCCCATGGCTGTCCTCTCCATCCTTGATTTGGAACGTGCCTGCAGCGGCGGTCGCTGCCCGGTCCTCGTCCCCGCTAGAACTGGCGCCACTGACACTCGTCGGCGGTGACAGCATGCCGCTGACATTCCTGATGAGAGGGTTGGATGGGCTTCGTGCGTAGTCGGGGCCGAGCGAGTTCTTGCGGCTGGGCGGAAGTGCACGGGCGGCACCCTGACCGAGACTTCGAAGGGAGCCTCGTTTCGCGTTCAGACTCGATGCATTGTTGATTGTCGATGTTTGTTGGGTCGGTGAAGAGGGGGGCGACGGAGAGGTCTCTACCCACTCCTCTCCGAGCTCGTCGGTTTGCCATGCAGGGGCGGCCATGGCGGGTTGGCGGTGGGTGTTGTTACAAGAGACCGATGGAGAGGATTGTTTGTTTTGACGAAATCAGTCACGGTCGTCGTAAACAGCGGCCCCAGCCAGCGACCGCCAGAGTGGAGAGTCCGTACAGTGGGACAATGGGCGGAGCCTATTTGTTTCCGTGTCCTTGTTTTCGTTTAATCCCATCATTCATCACGTGCCTCTCCGATGAGATCAGGATCGGCACGTGGGCCGGTGGAGGGCACTCAAGAATTTCCGTTGAGAAGCTTTACTGTTGACCACAACATATCGCATCGCTAGCCAGCCATGCCGCGCATCAGGAAGAGTGCGTATCTGGTATAACAGTTCAAGCTAACATTCAGAGACCTCTGCCCGTCAGAACACGCGTACCCGCGCGAAGGTGACAAAGAAGGTCGCCGAGCACAAGAGGAAGCAGAAGCGCAACTCGAAGAAGGAGGTCCAGTGGAAGTCCAGTGAGTCAATGCTGAGGTCGAAGAGTGCGTCAGCTAACATTGTCAGAGCACAAGGCCGACCCTGGTGTTCCTAGCTCGTTCCACCTCAAGGATCAGGTTCTCGCCGAGCTCGCGGAGGAGAAGCGCCTCGTGAGCATTAAGCAATACGGCACAAACTGACATCCAGGTTGCTGAGGCCCGGGCAGCTCTCAAGGGCAAGCAACAGCGCGATGAGGAGGAGGAGGAGGATACCCCGGGAATCCAGACCCTTGCGACTTCTTCGGTTCTCCCGCGAGTGGCTATGACCGGCGTTGCGGACATGGCCGAGGAGGACTCAGACGACTCTGACATTCCGGCTCTCCTCGACTCCGACCTGCCGACGCTCCAGGCGGCGCTTGATGCCGCCGATGTCCTCCTCGAGGTTGTTGACGCCCGTGACATCTCTGGAACGCGGTGTAAGGCTGTCGAGGACCTGGTGACTGAGGCCGACGGCCAGGTGTTCATCGTTGTCAACAAGATTGGTATGTGCTGAAGCTGATCATTCGTCGAGCCGGCTAACCTGCAGACCTTGTTCCCCGCGAGGCTCTCGAGGCTTGGATTGCCACCCTCCCCTTCCCCGCCTACCTTTTCTCTGCCGTCACTGGCGCCGGACGGGAAGAGCTCCTTGCTGCTCTTGGCAAGATCGCTAAGGGCAAGAAGGAGACACCTGCTGTCGCTCTCCTTGGTCTTCCTAACGTCGGCAAGACCTCGATCCTCAACTCTCTCGGCAACGGCAAGTTCAAGGTTGCCCCCGTTCTTCCTACCGCCAACCAGGCCAAGTCGCCCGCTCCTACAACCAAGGCTCCCATCGAGGTCGAGGTTTCGACTCCCAATGGTTCCATTCGCGTCATTGACACTCCGGGCTGGGAGTTTGTCGAGGAGGAAGGAAGCGAGTGCGGATGCGGTCACGAGCACGGCGACGAGCACGACCACGAACACGCTCACGACGAGGAGGACGAGGAGGATGAGGATGAGGATGAGGATGAGGCTATGGACGAGGACGATGAGGAGGGAGATGAGGACGACGAGGAGATCGACGAGGACGAGCTTGACGAGGAGGAGGCTGCGAAGTGGGATGCTCTTGAGGCCCAGGTCGCCGGTGACCTTCTCCGACGCAACCTTGGACGCGTTGATCGCGTCAAAGACGTTTTCCCACTCAGTGAGCGACAATGCGCCTAATTTATAGCTAACGCCAGTCAACTACATCGTTACCCGCAGTACCGCGCAGGACCTGATGCTCAAGTACAACGTCCCGTACTTCGAGCAAGGTGACGTCGAGGCGTTCCTGACGTCGCTGGCGCGCGTTAACCAGCGTGTTAACAAGTTCGGCGAGCCGAACCACGAGGGTGCCGCCCGTATTCTTCTCCGCGATTGGGCTGCAAACGAGTTCCCCTACTACACCATGCCGGTCAAGGGAAGCATGGAGGTTGAGGTTGCCGTCAAGCAGCCCGACATGTCTGCCGTGCTCGCCCAGGTCCCGACCCGCAAGGAGCTGAGGAAGGCGCGCGGAATCGTCAAGTTTACGCCGTCCGAGCTCGACACCCGCGAAATCTTCCTCGACGACGACTACACCGACGTCAACCCGGAGCGCTCGCACGGCGACGACGACGACGACGACGATGAGGACGAGGAGGACGAGCTCGACGAGGAGGAGATGGATGAGCTCGACGATGATGAGGAGGATGAGGACGAAGACGAGGAGGCCGCCTTTATCGGCTCCGACGAGGGATCCGAGGTTGACGTGGAGGATGGATCTGAGCCGTCATCTGGCTCTGATGTTGAGGAGGAGGAGGACGAGGAGTCTGAGGAAGAGGAGATCGAGCTCCCCTCAAGAAAACGCAAGGCTGCGGCCCCCGCCCCCGTCGTGCGCAAGAAGGCGAAGACGGTCCAGTTCCCCGCTAAGCTCGAGGCTCCCCGTTCGCGGCCCAAGGGTGTCGTCGAGATCCGCCCCATCCTGAAGCAGCCGAAGAGCGCGCTCAAGGCGCCCAAGGAGGAGAAGCCGAAGAAGAGCGCCAAGCTCGCTGCGGCTCCCAAGGAGAAGGCGGAGATGACGAAGGAGGAGCGCCGCGCCGCTGCGCGTGCCAACATTGAGGCGAAGAAGGCCGAGAAGGCGGCCCTCAAGGCCGCTGGTCTGCTCAAGCCTAAGGCTGCCCCCGCTCCCGAGCCGCCTAAGAAGACGAAGAAGTCCAAGGCCGAGAAGCAGAAGGCCAAGGAGGCCAACGGCACTTCGGACGGCGCCGCGTATGACTGGCGACAGCACTTCTAAGTCATGTATATTATAGATTTATGCACTGCATTTTGGCTCTACCGTTCTGTTCTAAAAGTATGAGCCGTGTCGCAGATATCCCGGCAGATTTCGAGCAGGACAGTGTTGCGGCAGGTCCCGTTGTTGTTGGAGCCCCACCTCCACCAACACTGCCCACTGTCCGATGGCGGGGAAGGTGCTGCGGTGCGAGTCGGGTTGCTCAGCGATTGCTCAGCAAGCTCAGCACGACGTTCAGCTGATCCATTGCGCCATGCACCTTCCTTCTTAAGACTGGACACTTGCCTTGCATCACCCCCATTCGCTACAATGGCTCCCAACGCTCACGCCAACATTCTCACTGACTCGATCAAGCCTGAAGAACTTGAGGTCGCCAACCTCTTCGACGTCAGCGGCCGCGTTGCTATCGGTGGGTTTCGGAGGGAAGCTGCGTATTCTTGGGTCTTACGCGCTGACAATAAGTGACCGGAGGAGGTACTGGTCTTGGCCTCGTTACGGCGCAGGCGCTTGCGCAGAATGGAGCCAAGGTCTACATCTCCGGCCGCCGGCTCGAGGTCCTCCAGAAGGCGGCGTCGTTCAAGCCAACCAAGGGCAACGGAGAGATCATCGCGATCCAGGCCGATCTGAACAGCAAGGAGGCTATCCTTGGTAGGCTAGTCTTATATGCCCAGGCAGCTAAAGCTCAGAGTTCCGGAGGAAGATCGAGGAGAAGGAGAAGTACATCAATCTCCTGGTCAACAGTGAGCTATTCTGACCCCGTCGAAGCTGACAGCAGACCACGGCGTGTACCTCTCTGACATCTCCCTGAAGGATGCCCCCCAGACGGCCGAGGGTCTCTCAAAGGCCGCGCTCGAGGGCGAGACTTTCGACTCCTGGTGCGCTCCCATGGCATCAACGAGCTGACATCAGGAACGAGACGTACAGCATCAACGTGACGAGTGTGCACTTCACCACGTTCGCCTTCCTCCCCCTCCTCGCTGCGGCGAGGGAGGTCGGCGGCGCCCCCGAGCCTGGAAACGTCATCAACATTGCCTCTATCAGCGGCATCACGTATACCTCGCAGGGCGGCCAGTTCTCGTACAACTCCACCAAGGCGGCGACGGCGCACCTCTCGCGCATGATGGCGACCGAGTTCGTCCGCCGCGGCCTTGACATCCGTGTCAATGTCATTGCGCCCGGATACTTCCCCTCGGTGAGCTCGTGTAACTGCCTCCCAGCTGACAAGGAAGGGCATGTCGACGTCCGACTTCATGCAGCACGGATGGGGACAGGAGGACCACTGGCTCGAGAAGTACGGTATTCCCCTGCGCCGCGTCGGAAACGCTATCGACTACGCGCAGCTGGTTATCAGCCTTGCTGTTGTGAGTCATCGCGGCCCTTAGCTCAACTGACAGGCAGAACAAATACATCACTGGCGACGTCGTCGAGATCGACGGCGGATGGCTCCTTAAGCAGGAGTAAGCTTTGGGAGTGGCCAAGACATCGCGACGGTCAGTTCAACTGCCATCGGGAACTCATCTCCAGACCTATTGAGGGCGAAGGCCATCGTAGCCCTCACATGCAGTCCTATACCACCTGGAGTTCGCGCGTTGCAAATGGCTACTTTCGATGGCATTTCGCTATACCACTGACATCCCTCGAGTTCTTGAACTTCTGGCAACTACTACTCACACGCAGATACGCAGATCGTTCCGAGTTAGAGTGAGTGAGTCCTGAACTAGTGACTGAAACACAACAACACTGCATAGCCTTTGGCAGCCACGACACGTGCACTCGCCAAGCGCGCCAAGCGTAGCACCACTAGCAGCGCCGCTAAGACGACGCTCCGTTCTAACATCGCAGTGATCAGCGCACAGCTGGGCAAGAGTGGGTGAGACATCCCTGCGCTCCGACCGCAAGGTGCAGCCCGCAGCGATGGAGGCGTCGGAGGCGCTGCTGCTCCCTGTGTCCTATCTCCTCGTTGACGCGACGCGATGCAACGCGATCGAAGACTTTACTCACCTTCCCCATGACGTTCTCATCTTCTCAACTTCCCACTCAAAATCCAGCACAACGACGGTCAAAGACATGATCACGAACGGCTCGACTTCATCTATGCCGACGACGGGCTCCGGCACCCCTTCCACCCTCTCCCGCACCGGGACTGCCGCCGCTGGATGCCGGTCAGGAAGCACGGTGACTATCTCTGGTGCGTTGAGGCTCTTTCGAGATCAAGACTGACACCCAGTCATGCCCTTCGCGTTTGTGCTTCTACTGGCGGCTACGTGGCTTGGAGTGCAGAGCTTGCGCTCACCGGTGGGTCTTCCCTCTCTACCACCTCCAACCTTTGTTGATTAATCTATTTCATGACTGTCCATTACCTCCTGCTGCGCAACTACTAGAGCCAAACTGATATACAGGCTCTCCGTCCGAAGCTTAGAGCCGACAACGGGATCCACATTGACCACTCAGAACTAGAGAAGGTCGTACCTGAAGACAGGAGCCAGCCAACCCACCTCAGTTGAGCGACCTCCCTTCCCCTCCGCATGTGATCCCGCAAATGTTCCACTATCAGCGTCCGCTTCTCCACATATGCTTCGTCAGGCAGCAACAATGCATAACGCATGGGCATCATATCATCTGCTGAGGCAAGAGCACACTCTCCCTGACCCGCTCAATCGATACCACGAGACCCCTGTCGACTCTGTCCTCATCTCCCTCGTCGTCTTCTTCGATCTCATCCTCGTCCCACATCGCCAGCTTCCACATCCTGCCGTCAGCTCCTCGCCTTTCAGCACTCACATGTCCCACTCCCAGAACCGGCCCTTGATCTCTCTCCTGACTTTCTTATACTCCTCCTCGTCCCTGAAGGTGATGCCAGCACACCATCCGAAGATTGTCTCGTCCGAGTCATCGCACCACCACTCCGGCTCAAAGAATGTCGAGTCATTCTCGTCAAACTCGGCCTCAATGGTGTGACAGTGAATCGATACGTCCAGCGGCGTCGTCCACTGCAGCAAGACATCATATACTTCTTGCGCGGTCGGCACCTTGCGCTCCCAGAACGCTCGTCGTTGCCTGATCGATGCCACGACCGGATCGCGGGTACCGAGGAATACTTCAAACCCTTGGCGGCGGCGCGGTTGAAGCGGATCAGAGATGAAGACCACGCTGGGACACGCCATCTGGTTGTTGTACAGAGCGAGCACTCGCGCAGTGGCGTTCTCGGAAAGTTGAATGCGTGCTCGCCCAAAGTCGGCAATGTTCGTACGGTAGTCATGCCTGTTCCAGGCGCGGAGATGGAACGGCCAGACGATGATGCTCTCGTCGAGAGGGAGATGGATTCCGGTCGCCTTGAACAAAACTTCGAGAACGTAAGGCAGGCGGTCCCGGAACAGAGGGTGAATCCTAACTTCGAGGCTCTGCCATCAGTTTGGTTAGAGCGGCTACCTCACCCTCATCGTGGAAGAGTGTCAGAAGGCAAATGTGAGCTCGTGAGAGTCACATTTGGGGACAAGAACTCGTCACGGTGGGAAGGCTGGTGATTGGATCTTCATGTGTGAATGGCAGACCTAGTCACAAATCACTAGCGAGGCAAAGTGCCACGGCTGACAGTCTGCCCATATGGTGTCACAAGACTATAACGGAAGGGGAGCACTGCTTCCCTGCTCCTCAAGCTCGCTATCATCGTCCTCCTCCTTTTTCCACAGGCTGAAAAGTCAGATTGAAAGGAGTAGGTGCTGAGGAACTCACATTTTCCAACCACAGATCTCTCCGGCGCATCCCTTTCGAGCCTTCATGTAGTGGGACTCAGATGCAAAGACAATCGTCGCACACCAACCGTACACGCTGTCGTCAGCCGGATGATCGTCCCAGTCGACATCGAGCAGCGTCGTTTCATCGGAAGAGGCCGAGCAGTCTTCGAATACGTAGTCACTGCTGTACACGTATCGGGGCGTAGTCCAGGGTAGCAGTGCATCATAGATATCTGCCGACGTCGGGGACGGCCGCTTCCAGAGTGCGCGCCTAGCACGCCTACCGTGGACGTGTTCATCGCGCGTGCCCACACAGACTGTGTACGGAACCGGCCCACTAGTTGAGAGCGGGCTTGTGTCTTTGATGTACACCGTTGCAGGGGTTGGCGGCATGTGGTGGTGCAGAGCAAGAACGCGCGCCGCTTCGGGTGGCGACAGCTTCAGAACGGCGTGACCGTACAGATCCCATGTCTGGCCCGGTGTCATAGCCCAGTCGAACCGCGACACTCCGGGTGGCCATTCGACATCGTCCTCGCTGAGTTGAAAGGTTACGCCCGTTACGGCTGCCAAGGTGCTGCACAGCTCTGCGACCTGGCCGTGCTTGGAAGGATGGATGTGGATGTCGAGACACTGACGGGGTCAGCGGGGTATCCTGCTCTGGGAAGCATACTTTGCTCATTGTCTAACGATGTGTTGTAATAAGAGAGATGGGATGCAGGTATCAGGGTTTGAGTGTGGCTGGAGTCGATACGTGAAGGTGATAGAGTGGCAAGTTCGTTCCCGTTGCTAACTGTCACGACCACCGCAGCACATGCGGCGCACACCACTACCGCGGGTCGTGGCAGGAGCCGAATGACCGCTTGTGGCTCACGCTCACACTCATACTCACACTTCCAGCCTCGACCGGCTCTTGACCCGCTCCCCTTCTCCACCAAGCACTCCGTCCCCCATTCTCTGCACAGAGTGAGCTCGAAGACCGTGCGGATCTCACTCTAGCAAAGTGGTGATGCTGTTTTCGAGGTGCCTCCTCCTTTGAAGGTCGAGACTTGATCTTGAAAACCGTTGTCTGACGTGTGGAAATCAGGATCTGGTGTTACTGACAAGATAACGTCTGTGCCGTGGGACATGATCCATTGCAACGTTGTAGCATATGTAAACAAGAGCGACCTCGTCAAGCACCACTCGGCGGCTACTGCATCTCCTCGCTGCTCCCGAAACTTCAACCCTCGCGATCGGGCGCGCTGACGATCACATCGGCAGCCTCGAGTTCATCGTCGGAACCCTTTGGGCTGGAACGATCGAGGCGCAGTAGATGCAGCTCATCCGCCAGAGTCGAGTTTGAAATATCAGGAGAAGGGGTCTCGGGCTCACCCTCTAGGCTTTCCAGCCCATGCACCTCCGTCAAACCGCGAGCGTTCTCCGAGTCCACGTCTAGGTCGAACTCTATCTCCGAGTCATCGTTGAGTCTCTTCTTCCACAGGCTGTGCGTTAATACAACTCAAAACAACGCTCCAGGCAAGGTATGCTCACACTTTCCAACCGCAGATCCGACCACCAGACCCTAACCGAGCGATCCAGTACTCAGCCTCCGATTGAAACACCACGGAGGCGTTCCACCCGTAGACGTAGTCGTCGGCCGAATTGACATCCCAATCGGGGTCGGAGAATGTCGAATCATCACTCTGAATGTCGACTTCAACTCGGTATCGCCCTAGGTGAACCTTGAGCGGGGTTGCCCAGCGCCCCAACTCGTCATAGAGCTGCCGAGGCGTGGGAACGTGGCGTTCCCAACGTTTCCTTCGTTCTCGCCGCCCCGGTGCGCATTCATCGCTGGTGACGACGCACACCCGGAAAGGTGTTTCAGAGGGGGAGCCTGGGTGGGGGGTGAAGACGTCGACAAGCGGCCCTCCGCAGTGTAGGTTCACGTAAAGAGCAAGTATGCAGCGGGCGTCGATCTCGTCGATCTCGATCGTAACTGTGCCATAAAATTCGCCAATGTCCCACTGGTACATTGTCCAGTCAGACCGAGTGGCTGCTGCAGGCCACGCAACATCATTGTCGTCCAGTGACACCTGCACGCCGGTGGCGGTGAAGATCGCACACTGAGCTTCAGCCGCCCGTCTCACGAACGTGGGGTGCAGCCTGAGCTGCAGAGTCTGATAGATTAGTGACAGTGAACGTCCTGATCGTGTGCGCGAATCGACCCTCTTACCATGAGCATTGTTATTGAAGAGGAGATACCGGGATGATGAGGAGTGGAAATGCAGTCGTGACGCTGACCCGTGATCCAGCAACCGCGGTGGTGGCAAAACACCAAACAAACATTTAGCGGCTCACAGGCTGGTGCGGCGTGCGCTGCGTGGTTAGGTCCCGGCGAGATGAGTCAACTCCGGTAGCGCGGTAGCTCTACCATCGCTAGCACGGCTCATGGTCGTCATTCAGACTCGAAGACTCTGCTGCGATCTCCTGCCGATCATATCTCAAACACGTACGCACACGCGGGGCAAGATGATGGTGTAGACGCGCGAACAGAGGTAGTGACGGCAGCCTGCTATCGCGCTCAAGCCTAGCCTGCTGCTCTCTCCTTCTTTTGACACAACCAATATGTCCATGTCAATGTTCCTTAAAGTAAGCACTGGACGCCCCTCGCGGAGCTGGAGTGAGAGTTCAAGTCCTCGTCAGTTTGAGCATTACGATCAGCCAGAGACAAGGGTTTGAGAAAAGTTCGAAAAAAATGCATTCATTCACGATAAAGGCTATCTAAACCTGTGACTGTCAGCGGCTACTCTGCAGCGGAAAAATGCTTCGAAAGAGTGTAGGTCAGAGACGCCACCTGCGTATATGGGGCGCCGGGAACTAATCACCATAATAACGGTAAGACTGGTGCCAGCAATAGTTTTCATCATCCAAGCCGCAATCGTCAACGCAATACCCGTTACTGCGCGGCGCAGTAGGGAGCGAGAGACAGCGGGCTTTTAAGAGGAGATTGGAGTGGACACTTACAGGTTGGAAGAGCAACGCGGCGGTGGATGGTGAGAGCGAGGAAGAGCGAGTGACCGACTTTTTTTATGCCTGCACGAAGCGGTCTGGGTGCGAGGGAAATCGGCGGACGGAAGCAAAATCTCGTCGCATCTGGCCAGCCTACGCTGGCAGACAAGCGGAGGCTGAAGCCTACGGGTGGTACGCGGTGGTAGGCTCGCTGACCGCCCAATGCACGCTGAGCGCCGAGTGCAGTCTGAAGCAGTACCAACGTCAATTAGCACACTCCTCTCTCTCCTGACTCGGATGACGGAGCACCCATGCACTCGGTCTCGCTCCGCTCGCCCTCGCTCCCGTACTTGTACACAAACTGCATATATTTCTCTAACTACACCTGCACGTCGAGGTCCATGCCCTCCTCGCCTCCGGGGCCCTCGCCGCGGCCGACGGGCTTGTCCGTGAAGCCGGCCTGAGCCTTGCCCGCGCCGGTCGTGACGTGGACCGTCTCGGACGCGATCAGGTCGCGCACGTTCTCCTTCAGCCACGCCGTCGTGCCTCGGCGGAACTTGTAGTCCCGGTTCTTGTGCACGCGCTCGTTCTGCGGTCAGCTAAGTTGATGGATCTTCCACAGCTGGCGGAAGCGATTGGTGATGGCCAAGATCTCTGCGTCTCATGCACTCGAAGGATGTCTCCACGCTATTCTCTCAAAGTCTGGGCAGCTCGATGTGCAGAGAGTCTGCGACGCTTCGACATGGAGCTTCCACTTTGACCATCTTCCCTCCCACAAAGCTGGGGATGTGTACTCACGGGCTTCTCGTAGTTACGCAGCGTCTCCGTACCGCTCTTGGTGATGACGCAGACGTCGACGTTCGATCCTGATCCCAGGTCGTTGAAGACACCGGAGCGGATCGCACGTGCGACAAGGTCGATCGCCTCCTTGCGCGTCATGTTCTCCTTGTACGCGCTCTCGAAGATGGCCATGGCGGCGAGCGATCCAGATCCCATCGTGACGTAAGGCAGCTTGTCGGTGCTTCCGTGGGCGTGCACCGTGAAGAGCTGCGGGCCGGTCGCGTCAACACCACCAACAACCAGGTAGGCACCGATGTGGCCCTGGTAGCGATACAGGTACTGCTTCAACATCGTCATCGCGGTCACGACGCGCGCCGGTCGGCCCTGCGACAGAGAGTGCAGCTCGAGGTTCGACGAGATCAGCTTCGTGACATTCCTGTTCGTCAGCTTCCAACACCGTTGTTAACTTACTCAGTGTCGGCAGCAGTTCCAGCTCCGCAACACCGAATGCTCTCGGTGAGATAGTGAATCTAGAGTTAGCTAAGCGCGACAGATAGCTCGCAGACGCTGCGAACGACTGTGACCTGCGACCTCGCTGCAGCTGACACATACCTTCTCGCAGTTCTTGTCGGCCACGATAGCTCCTCCAGTGGCACGGGTGTCGGCACCAAGACAAACTCCCTCCTCTTCTCCAGAGTCGCCGCCTCCGAACTTGAGGCCGACGATGGTGGTACCAGTCGAGGTAGCTGATGTTGTCAGTCACAGCTTACTTTCCGTTCAACTCACCCCTGGGCTGTCCGCCGAGCTTGGCACCGAGGAACTCGTTACGGGCGTAGTTTGAGAAGTCGAATCCGACGTTTGCCGGCTGTGCTGAAGTCGCGGCCATGATGGATGAGAGTCTATGCAGTGGCTTCCTCGAGCTTCACCAAGCGAGTCTCAAGACGATGATGATGATGGACTGGACGCGCGGCGTCACCCATCGGTGGTGGTTACGTAACAGAATTATGACGTGTAGGGGTGATACGGGCCCGGACGTTGCCACCAAGTCGTCATCGTCATGGTTGATACCAGCGTGCGGCTGAGTGCTCGGTGCCTGCCCGGTCACCACCCAGCGCACACAGAGCACTCACGTACTCATCCGACCTCTTCTCATATCTACAGTCCATCTCGCACAACTTCATTTCGTCTCTCCTCAGACGCCTAGAGAGCACAGAGTAAGCTAGGAACATCCCTTGCTTCAGCTCTCGCGCAAGCGATCCCTCATCATGGAAGACGTCACCAATCCCTTCTCGACCTCGCCGTCCCGCTCACCCTCGGCTACACCTACTCGATCGCCCGTGTTATCGCGAACGACCTCACACTCGTCGACGAACCAGCGGCCCTCGGCACCTGGATCGGTCGCAGGTGCATCGAGCCCGCCGCCCACCCAGCGGGCGTCCTTCCCCGATCCATCCAAGGAGCCGAGGCGCGGTACCGGTGTTCTGCCCGGCCCGAAACCGAAAGAAGGGTTCTGCTGTGAACGCGACCGTCAGATCGCACAGGGCGAGGAGATCTCCATCATCGATGCCTTCAAGACGACCGAGGGAGGCAAGTCGTCCTACATCACCTACGTCATTCGTATTGGAGTGAGCTTAGAATGGTGTCCCGGAAGCTGACCTCAGACGCACACCGTGCGACGACGCTACTCATCATTCTTGTCCCTGCACCAGGCGTTGCAGGGTTTGTACCCCGTTCTAATCATTCCTCCGATCCCGTCCAAGCAGAGCATCACCGACTATGCTGTCAAGGGCCAGTCGAAGACGAAAGAGGACGTCGCAACAATCGCCACCCGCAAGCGTCTCTTGGAGGACTTCCTGCGCCGTGTCTGCCGACACCCCATCCTCGGAGGCGAACATGTATTCCACCGCTTCCTTGAGGACGGAGTCAGCTGGGTAAGCTCACTGGGCCGATGTAATCTAACAAACAGTCCGAGGTGCTGCACTCGCCTCCTATTTCGCTTCTGCCGAAGAATCCGCTCCATGCGCCCTCGCATAACCCCACCTTCGAGGACGTTAACGGCAACGATGACCCGGACAGCACGTCGAGCACATCATACATCGCGCATCATCTCTTACCGAATCCGTCTCCAACTCATCCTCTGCATCGCCCGGACCTCCGTTTCCAGGAGTCGGAGGCGTTTACCGACAAGTTCCATCAGCACTTCGCCCATAACATGGAAAAGGTCAACCGAAGAGCTACGAAGAGGTGGTCTGAGCACGCAAGCGACATGAGCGAACTTGGTGCCCAGTGGAACGGGTTCAGCTTGATGGAGAGCGGACCGCTAGGAACGGCGATCGAGAAGGTCGGACAAGCTGTTGATGCGGATTTCCTTGCCACGACTAAGATGGTGAGTTACAATGGACTGTTGTTGACTAACCCTCAGCTTCAAGACTGGGAGCAGAACGCGAGCGAGCCGCTTCACACGTACACGCAGTTCGCCCAGTTGATTAAGTCCCGTCTATCCTTCCGCCATCAGAAGCACGTTCAGTATGAGCTTGTGCAGGAGGCTCTCGAGAACCAACGCGACAAGCTGGAGATCCTGGAGGCGGCGGAGCGAGAGGCGAGGCGATTGGAGCAAGCTCTGGAGCGTGGCGGTGTTGCTGCTGGTGCCTCGGCTTCGGCTCCGTCGTCACCACCGGCGCGCGAGGACAGCAGCATCCCCGAACTGGCTCGTCCGTCAGTCCGTCGCTCCGGACAGTCGTTCGGCCTCCTGTCCGCAGTCAAGCACAGTCTCAGCGGAATGATGGATGTGGATCCGGAAGCGACTCGCCGCGCCAACATCGCCAAGACCAGGGATAACATCTCTCAGCTCGAGGACTCGCTGCAAGCCTCGGCGCAGGACTTGAAATACGCGTCGACGACGCTGCAGGCGGATCTGGACCGGTTCCAGCGACAGAAGGTCGCGGACCTGCGCGAACTTACGATCCAACTCTCGACCATTCACCGTGATTGGTGCAAGGCGAACCTCGAGGCGTGGAAGGCGGCGCAGGCTGCCATTGACGAGATCCCAGATCACCCGAACAAGGTGCCGGCTGACGCGGCGGCGCGCGTTGCTTCGATCGACCGTGACAGGGATCTACCGCCTGTACCTCAGCAGGAGTCTCGCCGTAGCTCAGTCGCCCACGGAAGCCCCGCGAAGCGCGACAGCCTCAGCATGGGCGGTGCACGCAGTCCCTCCAAACCTCTCTCGCCGGGAATGGGTGCGCGCAGCCCTTCGAACGCCTCGAACCCGCTCCCCAAGATGGGCCAGCTCAACCTCGACAGCCCCTTCTCCGAGACGCCATTCAGCTCGCACCCGCTCGGCGAGCCGTCGGCCCCCGCCAATGGCCTGGACCCGCTTGGCGGCAGCATGATCTCGCCGCGGCACACGCCGAAGCCGGCCGAAGACGCCGACACGCCCAAGTGGCCCTCGTCGCCTGTTAAGTCCTCCCCGCCAGAGCAGAAGTCGGTCGACGTCCCGCCCTCGCCAAAGAGCACGCAGGCGGTCAAGTCGCTGAACGAGGAGGCAAGGGACGAGGACGAACCCGTCGAGAGCAGCAAGGGCACCCTCGTGGACCGGAAGGACAGCGCGGGCTCTGTCGGCAGCAAGTTGTCGACTACCAACATCAAGCCCGCCGACATCACCAAAGACACGAAGCCGAAGACTGAGGACGTTGGCCCTCTTGGCCCGTTGTAACGCTGAAAATGTATAGCATTTCTTATCTCTGCCTTCATTGTTCTCACACTCGGAAGACAGAGGCGGCTACGAGTGGGTCCACACCTGGTCGCAGGCGTCGCTGCAATTCTGCGCCGTGGGACTTGCGCCCCCGGCAATACACATGACGCTGTTCTGGGCATTCTGGATGTGTCCGTCCTTGAACGTCCACGACTCGCAGACCATCTCTGTGCCATCGCGCGGGCACCCGATGAGGAAGAACTTGGCATCGGGCCGGGGCACGAACGAGCCGCTGCAGCGGTGGCGGGGGTCTGTGGTCAGCCAGACTCGAGGCAAGACCCAGGGTCGGAGCATGGGCAAGAACGGAGGCAGGAGACTCACTACGTCCAGCACTCAAACAGAAGCCAGTGTTGCCCAAGTGGATACTGGACCCGCGTACCTCCCACCATTGGTAGGGGTTCTTGTTGCAGTCTTGGAAGTTGACGGGCGAGTTGAACGTCGGGCTGTCCGGGGCGAGGCAGCGGCTGTCCTGCATCAGGCGGGCGGTGTAGACGTCCTGCGCGGCTGCGCCGGAGGCGAGGAGTGCGGCAAGAGTTGCAAGAGAGAACATCGTGCTGGATCAAGTTGATGGTGAGCTCTCTTGGTGAGAGAGATGTGGCTTTAATAGTTTCTCGAGCACCATGGCCTGTTACAACCCGGTGCAAAGCCATGCTCACCGCTTCGCCTCTAAATCTGTGCGCAGCTGATATCTTCCTCCGGATCCGACACTGGGTCACTTCCATTCCGACCTCTGCCCCGAAGTCCCACCCAGATCTGGGCTAGTGAAGATCGAGATAGGGTTAGTCTCATCGCTCACCCATCATCTCTTGGCCGGAGTCGCCGCGTAGATGGGAGTGTCAGTTATCTCGGAGGAATGCTGCGCCGCATCGGGGCCGGAGGCGGATGTACGCTGGCACTTGCTGTCGGCGCCGATGAGAGCTGTGCTAACACATATGTATGCGGCTTCTTCGACGAGAGAGAGTGCAGCTCCAAAAGACTATCCCACAGTTGACGAGAACAGCAGAGCTCAAGACGCATGATCGTTGGGGGATAGGGAATGCAGTGCACAATGGCAAGGGGTCAGTAACTCGGCCAGAGTTCGGTGTCTTACCTATGGACGAGTGCTGGAGGTTCATTCGCCCTGTCACGACCGGGGAGACAGCGATGCTGCTATGGTTGTGAGTTGGTAAGGTGATAATCACGTCTTCGACAGGAGAGTCTAGTGCGTGCGCAGGGGTGTGACATTCACCTGCACGTCCTCGCCCCTGGTCCACAAATTCGACCGACCTGGCCGTCACTCCACGAGGCGTTCGATCACCGCCCCTGCCATCCAGACGCAGCAGCCCCCAGACACGAGGTCCGACGTTCGAGGCTTCGATGTCACCGTCGTGCATAGCTTAGGTTTAGGTTGGCCTGCAATCTGTTTGAGCTGCTGCTCAGTTACTTGAACACTCAAGGACCGATTCAAGACATGCGAGCCGTTCGCAGCTCTGGGACACGAACGCCGGTGCACAGTGAGTGGCCGAGACACACGGGAAACCGCGGGTATCGTGGCTGGCTGATGCGACCGAAGGCAGCTGGTCAAGCTCGAGGAGGTCGTGTTTCATTGCCGAATGTCACTGTCCGATGTTTTGGGCAGAAGCCGACGTCGTTGCGTTTCAGCAACCCTGATCTCCGTAAAATCCCAAAATTAAGCACTAAAATTCCCCGAGGCACCGAAGGTAAACGCGATCAAGCTACGAATTGACGAAAGGCTTGTCGTGCTCGTCAGAGCTTGCCAGAAGTCGTCAGAGGGGCGTCAGTTCCAGATCTTGCGAGGTCTCGTCACGTCGTGCCATGCAAGAGGGGGTTGTGGGGTCAAAACAGAAACTAAGTTCTAGTTTTGTATGTTCATAGAAGATACAAAACAGTTGTTAGAGAGACTAAAGGTTCATGTTTGAAAGAAGGTTTACTAAATTTACGTTTACTTAGGATTTCTCAGCTTGGTCAGTCGAGAGGTTAGGTCCCCTGACTGCGTGTCAAGCGCTAGTCACTCAGTGACCAGGCGCTTAGTTGCCGGACTCGATGTCGGCCTTGATCTGGTTGAGGAGGGCCTTGTTCTCGGGGGTCCAGTACTTGTTCTTGAGCTCAATGAGCTTGGACCAGTTCCACGAGCCAGACGAGGTCTTGATGCCCTGGAGGTCCTGGGCGAGGCCGGAGAAACGCTGGATGTTCTCGGGGGTGACGTACTTCTGCTTGAGCTGCTCGAACTTCTGCTCAGAGATCTGGTACTTGGCGGGCAGGTACTGGAGGTACTGCTTGATCTGGTCGTACGAGATGCCGTTGATGTAGTTCTGGATCGAAGTCTGGGTCGACTGGTTGTTGTTGCCAATCTGGACCGAGGACTGGTTGTTGTTGTTGTTCTGGCCGGTCTGGGTGTTGGATTGAACGTTGGTGTTGCCGCCACCGGTCTGGGTGTTGGACTGGTTGTTGGAGTTGGAGCCCGAGTTGGAGCCAGTCACGGAGCCGCCCTGCGAGGACGAGTTCGAGTCACCGCCGGACTGCTGCGAGCCGCCCTGCGAGGACGAGTTCGAGCCGCCCTGCTGCTGGGTCTGGGACTGCTGCTGAGACTGCGATCCCTGCGACTGCGACTGGGTGGAGCCAGACTGGGTCTGCGACGAGCCGCCGGTGGCCGAGGCCTCACCGCCAGTGGCGGAGGCGGTTCCGGAGGCACCACCAGAAGCGCCGCCAGAGGCGGTGGCAGAGGTGGCGGCGGAAGCACCGCCGGAGGCAGTGGCGGAGGCGGAGATCGAGTCCGAAGCAAGGGTGGAGGAGCCCTGGGCGGACGAAACCCACGAGGTGGAGGAGGCGGTCGACGAGGCAGTCGAGTCACCGCCGCCGATGGGGCCGTCACGGTTGAGGAAGCGGATGGCGAGGGCCTTGAGCTTGTTGAAGTTCTCCTCAGTGAAGTAGAGGTTGTAGAGACCCTTGATGGCCTCGATCTGGGAGTCGTTGAGCTCGATCTGGAACTTGCCGGCGATCTCCTTGATCTTCTCGGTGGTGAACTTGGCGTCGATCTTGGCCTTGAGCTCCTGGTAGGTGGTGCCCTCGACGACCTTGAGGAACTCGGGGCGGAACTGCTTGAAGGTGTTGACGATCTCGGTGATGTAGGTGATCTTGAAGTCCTTCTTGTAGGCCTCGATCTTCTCGGCGGTGAAGTAGCCCTCGAAGACCTTCTTGAACTCGTCGGCGCGGGCCTGGTTGTTGTACTTGGCGATGCACTCGGCGACCTTGTCCTTGATCTCGGCGATCTTCTCGGTGGTGAAGAAGTTGGCGAGCTTGGTCTTCCACTCCTCAATGTTGAAGTGGCCGAAGGCGCCGATGGGGCCGAGCTGGATGGGGGCATGGTCCTTGTCGGCACCGGTAGAGAGAGTGACGTTACCCTTGCCCTCGGGGGCAGAGATCACGAGGTTGCCAACGGGAAGACCGCCAGAGCTCGACGAAGAGGACGAGGTCTGGGTCCACTTCCAGGTCCAGACCTTCTTGTACGAAGAGGACTGGTTCGAGGACGAAGAGAGCTTCCTCCACTGCTCAGCTCCCTTGGAGAAGTCGGGCTTGGCCCAGGTGCCGTTCCAGGAGCCGCCTCCCCAGTGGCCCCAGCCGCCGGGGGCAGCGGTGCCGTTGCCGTGCGAGATCTCGACGCCGTGGCACGAGTCGCAGGGCTGCTCGCCATTGTCAACGGGCGCAGCGAAGGCGCCAGCGCCGAGAGCGATAACAACCGAGAAGAGCGAGCGAGTAAGCATTGCGTCGGGTGTGGAAGTGGTGAAGCTGAGAAAAGCGAGAAAGTAAAGAGAGTGAAAAGGAGAAAAGAGTGTGTTGCGTCAAGCAAGTGTTAGCGGTTGCTGATGGATCTGAAAGAGGTCGAGAGACGGCCGTCTTATATACCTTTCCGACGTTGAGATTGCACCATGGCCACAACCACAGCATTGTGTGAGAGCTGCCGTAGAACGGCGTACCACACCGTGTGGCTACGACCGATGTGTCACATCTCACCGCGCCGCCACGGTAATGAAAGTGTCACCGTCTGACGAGTGTGTAGTGTGGTCAGTCGAAGCCGAGCACAGAGCGATAGGGTTGCTCCACCGCGAGTATGTCACTTAAGACAGTGAGTGCTGTTGAGCGTCGGCATGTTTCACGACGCTAAAGTTACGGATATCTCGTATCAGATACAAAGCCAGAGTTCCGGGACGGTGCCTCGGGTCATGGATGCCGTCACCTCTGGACTGGGTCGCGGTGTTATCTGCCACCGCTCGCGCTAACGAGAGTTTGCTGGTACTCGAACCCGAAACATCACACAAGCCATCACCTCCAGCTCCAGGTGTGCCGTTGAGATACCAAGGTGCAAAACGAAGTGCCTCGCCGATGTTGACGGTGCGGCGCCTGAGATAGAACCCCCCTGCCCCGCGAGCTACCGGGCTTCTTTCAGCAATCGCGGGATGTTTTCACGTTTTGGTTGCTGAGCTGCCAAACCCGTCATTAGCGCGTCTCGCCGTCTCGAAGTGTCGCAAGTGCACCTCAGCACGCGATATGCTTCATAGTCATCAACCTTTTTTCGAGAGGATCAATCATTGATATTGCGCGCTGTCGTGTTGCCGACCTAGGACTTTTGAAATCGTAAACCTACCTGAACGGCCACCTTCACAACCAAAAGGCCGAGACACTGAATCGCCCACTTCCAATCAGACTGCCATGGGTATTGCGGATGATCTTGCATTCACTCCAAGTGGTGTGAGCCGTTGCTTAATGGAATTATGAAACGCTCCGGGTCACCTTTAACAAGGTTGCACAATGGCTGGGAGGTGCTTCCGCTAAAGGTGACGAGTCTGTTTTGCTGCCTACGGATGCAGAACGGTAACAGATACCATTCGCTGAGACAGTTCGTGCTGCCTCTCGCAGTCAACTCCACATTGCTCCCGGGTGCGTCGGCTTCTGTCTCATGCGTGAGAATTGAGAATAGCGCGTGCGAGGGGATTGGATAGAGGCCAGCGACCTCGTTTGAGGATCCTAGGTCTGACCATGAGAGCACGAAATCTCTCTGCTCCCGAGACCGTGACCGTGTGAGCGCAAGTCTAGCGTCCGTCAGTATTGGGCAGAGTCTCGCTCTGGAAACTCCAGCTCTGCCAGCAGGAGTCGGAATGACTTACTGACTGTGCCAGGAGCAGGCGGCCCACGATCGAGAACGTGAGACCTCTGCCGTGCTGAGTGCGAAACGTCAACTGTTAACACCTGGTCACATGAAACATTCATGCCATGCTCGGAGTGTCTGCGATCTGTCGTCAGCACCGGTCGTGATGAACCTCAGAAATGACCTCACGCTTTCTGAACTTGCCAGCCAATGCCGTTGGATTCTGGACCGATCTACCCCTTTGTGCAGCAAAGAGGACATTCCATCAGCTTCAAACCATGTGGGCTGTTCATGACGACAGCCAGTCCGTTACTGAGATCCATAGCTGCCCGGTGCCCGCGGCGTGCCCGCAGGAACCTGTCACCACAGGGACTTTCTCCGACATCATGCTCGGCACAATTCGATAACTATCAACGGACTGGTAGGATCGAAACGTCAAAAGCTTACAGCATATCCAGCACCCAGCAGACAAGCTTGAAACATTTGCTCCAACGCATGCATCTCAGGTGCTTAGCGACGCCCTTCCTCAAAGAGCAACAGCAGGCAATTGACCACACCCAAACGCACAAGCGAGCAGGGCTTGGTAGCTTCGTTCCAGAATCGCCACTGCGTAAACACGCGGGGTAAGATGCCCCCGTCAGCATCTGCAGTCGCATCAGGGGGAACCTGATCGGACCTGGTGCCGATTGGAGTGTTTGAGCACCTGAAGCGTGAGGTGGAGAGGGCAAACTTAATCTCCTGGCGGGACGCCTCTCCAATGCTCCAGACAAATCCGGCGGCAGTCATGCAGCACTCATGCGCAACGAGGACAGCAAGACTCTGAGCCCACCTCAACGTGTGCATCAGCGCCTGTCAGCTTTCTCGTCAAGCGTCAAGCGCATGTCGAGCGCGTGTCAGTTTCTGGGTCCGATCGCCTCTCGTGGTAAAGTCACTTGACCTCACTGACACAGTTGTCGCGATCGCTCACTGCAATGGCGCCGAAGGTCGCGAAGCCGAAGCTCTCGAAGCTCTCGAACGCACGGAGCAGAGTGCTTCGGTGCCTTCATTACAGCGACCAGTGAGAACGATACGAGCACATCCCGATCATCCATCTGCTCGCCATCGCAACCGACCTGCGAACCCCCGCCCGGTCCCATACGCCCCTCCTCAGCATTGCAACAACCCTCGTGCTAGGCTGCAACCCCAACTTTCAGCTTGTGCGCGGGTCATGCCGAGAGCAGAAGTGGGCGTGTGCAGTCGAGTTCACACCCAGCATGGTTGCACATGAAGATGAAAAGAGTGGTTGGTCGGTCTGCCGGGCGCCGAAGACTGACGTCAACGGGCGGAACACGAGCAGACGTTACTGCCAAGTCGGCGAACGCACGCGAGCGTACGTGCAACCACTGCTGCGCTCCCGGTCGCGGTCAGCGGTCAGCAAGGACCAGCGGTCAGTACTGCCCGAGTGGGCTCCGCTGCGAGCGCAGTGAGTGGTGGGTGCTTTGTGGTGGTCAATGCAGGCTGGGCGAGTCGCCCAATGTGATCCGCTTCCGGCCGCCGCCCAACGCAGGCGACATCCCATCGTCTATTCAAACCGACATTAGCTCTGATCTAGCAACCCGCTCGTTACCTCTTCTCGTAAGAAGCCGAAGACCTGAATGCAGTCCCCGATTAGTAGGGAGACCGCCGGATGATCGACGATTCCAGCCATACGGTCTTGCGCACCCAGTGGCCACCACGGCCGCCGACAAGTCGACCCGCCATCGCCCGCTTCCCACCTCGTGAGCCTTTCCTAACCGCTCTTCCGCAGAGGAGACTGCACATCCTGGACACCGGGATGCTACGTACGTCGTGCATTACCAGTGTCACACTGGCGGTATGTAGTAGTGGACTACCGTGCATACGCCGCTGTGAGGCGAGACGACTGGTTGGTGGCACCTACACTGTAGACGCCTTGAACGAAGGTTGCCCTCCTAGGACGTACTTGCCGTATACGCCCAGCGCGTCAGAATGACATGCTCGAGGGCTCGTACTGGGTCTTAGAGCCGCTGCTCGAATACCACTGCACAATCAAGCGATAAGGCTTCTCCGCATCTGTATCGCGAACGATGATCTGCTCGTCAGCTTACTGCACCGTGGCGCCTGCACGTTGTAGCTTACATGGCCACAGCTCTCTTGGGACTGCTTTCTCAGCAGCTTCATCCAACACTGAGAGTTTACGAGGTACAACAGGCGATTCGCAGAACTCGCCTCGGCCCCATAGATGGAGCTCTTGTGGCTCTTGCCCTCCTGCTTGGGCGCCCTGATCTTTGCAGCTTGCAGAGTGATGAGGACACCCATACCTTGCATCTCTGTCAGCTGATTCCAAAGGGGAGGGGCCGAAGCTCATCCTGCACCTCATTGCTTGCTGCTCAATGCTTCTAGGGCTGAGTGAGGGGCCGCAGAATCCACTGCTGTCAGTGGATCAGGGCGTGATAATAACTCGCCGCAACTGCCCAGCTGGGCAAGAAGAAAGGCTTGCTCAACGCAGATGAAGGCATTGGTGATCAGTGTTCATGGGCTCGACTCCAGTGGTCTGCGGTTAGCTTTCTGAGGGTGCAGCTGAAGCTCACAGCCCCTCGTACCAACGCTCGTCATTACCGTCATTGACTCCGAGGCTTGGAATCTGTACGCAGTGGCCATTCATCACTGCTAGGACAGTTTTTTCAAGCTGATGTCAGCTACAAAACCTACGCACAGGAAGCTTATTATTGGTGCTTCGTAGACTAGAGCAACCTCGATGATCTCGGCTCAGAGAGCAAGAAGTGAGCTTGGGGATAGCTGGGTGTCAGCTGCTCTGCAAACCATTAAAGCTTCACCGGTTTTTCTGACGCGTATTCAGTATGGCACATCCGGCTTTCTTGTTCGCTATGATAGCTGACGTCAGTTCCTACCAACGGCCTTCAAACTGACAGATGGTGTTCTTAGAGCAGCATGATCTCCGCCCGACGCCCATTGAGCTGAGCTGTAGTGTGAGGTCGTCGAAAGGCTGTCGTCAGCTCCTCTGCATAGACGATTTCAGCTCACTAACAACCCAAGCGATGTGCTCGCCATAGAGGACGAGACTGCCCGAAAACTATGGGGTCATCGCACCGTAGCTATCTCGAACCTGCGGGCCAAGCTTGAGGCTGTCTGTCAGATATAGGTCACCTTGATAGCTGACCTGCGACATTTGATCAGGGGCTGGCTTCGAAGGACCAAGCGTGAAGAACGGTGTGGTGGTCGTTTGCGATAAGGACTGCGGGCGAGCTTAGGGGGGAGCACGCAGCTCTCACTGATCCGACGCTCTCAGAACGACTCCGACCGCACGACGTATTCTAAGCGTCAGTTGACATGATGCGACCGACTCAGCTCCTACCAATGCCATGTTCTCAGACTTTGAAGAAGCTGCAGGTCGACTGGAAGGATGTATGCGCTTTCGCAAACTGCAGTCAGTCAGTTCAAGATTTGTCAAGGGGTGAACTCTCCAAGGACTTAGACAACGAGGGCAACAACCTTGCTGAGAGTCAGAGCGACATTGAAGTGGGATGCTCTAAACCTGGGTCGTCACTTATTAGGTGGGAGGGGAAACTGTCGGTGATTTACCCTGCAGACTCTGGAAGTCTGGGGTGAGCTCAGAGAACGTACGACGGAAGCTCACCTATGGCCCCAGATTGCGTTGCTTCACGGATTTCTGACTTGCGGAAATGATACAGCCCTGATTCTGTCTGTGAGCTCGGAAGCGTTCGAATTGATCGCACACGTTCGCTCCTCCCGTGCTGTGATTAGCTTCAATTGGTCGAGCTAGCTGATTACTGGGATGCTGGGAGGGAGTGATGCCGTCGTCAAAGAGTGACAGAAAGCAGATGACAGCGTGGAAGCTTCTGTGGGATCGAGGATCGACGACGGAAGCGAATGCGCTTCTTGATCGACGCCACGTTGCGCCCAGCTCTGTGCGATGACAACAAATGCATTCCCAATGGATATCTACTGCTGCTAAACCTGCGCCTTAACTACGCCTGTTACACCTTTTATATTTCGACTTAGAGACGGGCACGCGCTCCGCCGACGAGCTTGGCGTTGTTCGCCTCGATGACCTCCTTCGCGCCGTACACGAAGTTGTCAATAATGGTCTTCGCCGGGAGCACCTGGTCGATCACAGCAGAAACACTGCCCATGAGCCTTTTGAGAGTCAGCAAAGAACGTGCAGATTGAGTAGAGAGTTCGTAAGAAGAAGAACGGGTGGATGAGAGGCGATTTTGGAGGTGGACCTCAGAGGTGGAGGTCGAGTGTGGGGAAGTGGAGGTGGAGGTGGGGTAGCGCAGGCGCTAGCGATTTTCGGAGCACGTGACGTACCAGGCACGACCGGGCATGGAGAGCTCCGGCTTCTTAGAAAGCTCAACCTCGTGGGGGATCTTGCCCTCGGAGCAGAGCTTCTCGATCTCGTCCTGACGCTTCTCCCACTGCTTGACGTAGTCGGTGCGGCGGACACGCATAGGGCGACCAGAGTAGATGAGGGTGCGCTCGGCGTCGCCAAAGCCAGCCGAGACGACGAGCTCCTTGTGCTTCTTGGGAGCACCGGCCTCGACGGAGGCGACGAAGCGAGTACCGACCCAAACAGCCTGGGCGCCCCAGGAGAGAGCGGCAGCCAGTCCGCGGCCGTCGTAGATGCCACCAGCGGCGACGACGTAGATCGGCTTGCCAGTGAGAGGGGAGGTACGGCCCTTGCAGGCATCAACACAGGCGGGGATCAGGATCGAGGTGGGCGTGTCACCGGTGTGGCCGCCTCCCTCGCCTCCCTGGGCACAGATGATGTCAACGCCAACGTCGAGCGCTTTCTTGACGTGCTTGGGGTGGCCGACCATGTTCATGACGAGGATGCCAGCCTTGTGCAGCTTCTCGACGGCGTAGGCCGGGGGAACACCAACAGCAGAGACGAAGAGCTTGGTGCCCTCCTCGATGATGACGTCGAGGAGCTGGTCGAGCTGTCCACCGGTGTAGTCGTAGTTAGTCTTACGGGCGGTGCCGCCGACGGAGGGGAGGAGGAGGTCGACACCGAAGGGAGCGTCCTTGCGGTCAAGACCCTCCTTGAGCTCCTTGATGTTCTGGCGCAGAATCTTGGGGGTCTGACGGACACCTCCGATGACACCGAGACCACCGGCGTTGGTGACGGCAGCAGCCAGGCGGGGGCCGGCAGCGACGTTCATACCCCTGTTCGTTAGCTGGAATTCCGAGGAGTCGCTCTACAGGCGCCCCCTGTGCGCTTTAACAAGCCCCGAGCGAACAAAGTTCGGGCAATGGCGTGTGGAGCTCGGGGCTCTGTAGGTCAGCACTCACGCGAGGATGACGGGGTGGTCGATGCCGAAGAGCTCGGTGAGGGGAGTGGAGATGACGGCCATGCTGAGTGAGTGTGGGTCGTAGAGGTGACTGCTGAAGGAAAGGCGCACTGCTGGGAAGAGACCAGCGCTATATATGAGCTTGGTGTCCGGCCACTCTTTGCCGGGGATGGGCATCAAGGTATGCCCCACAACAGGCGCCGAACCCCGGACTGACGTTTTTGACGGTGATGTCCGACCAGGCTTCAGAACTGGATTCTAATGCCTCATTAGAAACTGAGCTAATTCTGTATTCAGGTGGGCGCCACCGTGTCAACAACGCCAAGCTGGACTTAGCGTCCGCGGCCGTGAGTCCGGCGGCGAGTTCCGCTTCCCGCACTGTGCTGGCGGGGCCCGACGCCTCTCGCCCAGGCCTCCCGCCTGCCCTGCCCAGCATCAGCACTGTCGTTGTACATGCTCGCTGCGACTTCCGTCGGAATACGGCGTTGATGCATACCAGGAGTCCAGCTTGGGGGAGACCAGGGGCTGGCTTCTTAGCCGATCACCCTCGGGATACGGAATGTCAAGATGCGCTGCTGGTCAGCTGGACCATCACGGGGAGTATGTCGGTCATCAATGCTGATGCGTAGCTGCAGGGAGGATCTCGGCCATCATCGCTGGAACGTATCCTATACGAATGATGGTCAGGTTATCAGTAGTCCGACTCCGCCGAGCCCGGGCCTGTCCCGGACCTGTCAACTCACTCACGATCGCTTCCGTTCTCGCACGTCGGTCTCCGCCGGGGTCGGACGCCGCAACTTGGTCATTCGAGAATTCGTGAAGACACCAAGTTGACGCGCTTTCATTCCATATACATGCTCTTGGCCTCACGTGCAGTATGTTGCGCCCCAGTCCAGTCAACCTCGCTGGACGCAAGCTGCAGTGCGCGATGAGATCTTCAGGAGACGAAGGAGTCATGGTCGTTGACTGAGTGAGGTTGATTCCCTATCTCGCCCTCCCCCTTACCAGTGTCGTCAGCTCGACCGACCGTTCCACAACGTCACCGCGCAACAACAAATCCGCATCGACGGCTCACGAACTCGACACGGCAAGATGGCGAACCCACCGCCAACTGCTGGTCCTTCGGCCCAGACGCCTCCTCCGAACTCTCCCCCTCCAACCCATGCCGCCTTCCCCACTGCTGCTGAGCTCGGCGCGCCGGCTAACGTTGCTGGTGGCTCCAACCAGAGCCAGCAGGCGCAGCAGGACTCAGTCAACGTCCCCTCGACCGTTGAGGAACTCCATGGTCTCATGATGACAACGATCACTCCCATCGACATCGAGGAGAAGCTCGTTCCTATTCTCATGACGCTCACGAAGCTGCGCAACGAGCACGGAGGGCCGGACTTGCTGGCGCTCGACGGCGTCGAGCTCGACACCTCTGACAGCGCTCTGGGAGCGTTGTCTTTGGCGTACACGAGCATCGTGTAAGTCGATTCTTAACTGCTCTTCCAATTAGCTGCTGACCATGCAGTACCGCTCGCATCCTGGCGAAGCTCAATTCGGGCTCTGCGGCGTCGGAGGAAGATGTGACGTTGGCATTGCGGTTGATTGGCGTATCTGACAAGCGGCAACTGGCTATGTGCCTTCCTCTTGGTGCGTAGGGCGTCTTAAGCTCAACTGACGGCAGTCTCTGAGTTTGCCTGGGCTCTACTTCGAGCTGCGAAGAAAGCAAACAGGGTTAGTAGCTTCTGATACCGTCCACCAAGCTGATCATCCAGGTGTCCGACTCGGTCCCGTACCTGCATGAGCTTCTGATGGGCACCTCTGCGTCGTCACCTCGCAAGTTTAACGGTGTTCACGCTGCACTCCTAGAGGTAAGGAAGAATAGTGAAAATCGCTGACTGTTAGGCCTGCCTCATCACTCGTCAGCTTCAGCCGCCGTATCCGACCGTCACCCTGCCATATCTGTCTGTTGACGAGGTGAGTTCGATTGCTTGACAAGCCAGCTGACGGATCAGGGAACATCCTACCTTGATGTGCTTACGTATCACCACCATGCGGGTCTTGTGGCGGCTGCGAACGAGGACTACGCCCTCGCCGCTCAGATGTTCTCTTTCGTGCGTCGCTTTGCCCAGACTCCCATTAACGACAGGCCGCTGCTGCTCCTACCGTCGTTGCGTCCGCGATTCAGCTGGCGTGCGTCAAGCGCGCGATTCTGTGTGAGCTGCTGAATACGGGCAAGTGGCTTCACCTGCCCAAGGACACCTCGCCCGCCGTGAACCGCATGCTGGAGAAGACGATCAAGGACTACAAGGACCTGGCGAAGGCGTTCGAGGCTCAGGAGTGGAAGGACGTGCAGAAGATCGTGCAGACGAAGAAGTCCACCTTCACCCAGGTATGTTCAGCCCCTGCGTTGTCCTCAAGCTTATTCCCAGGACGCCAACTACGGACTCGTGCAGCAGATCCTGGAGTCGATCCCGAAGCGCCGCATTCTGACATTGCGCCCGACGTACTCGAGAATAGCACTCTCAGATTTAGCGCGCAAGGTGGGACTCGGTGACGCCGCTGGCGCCGCCGCGGTCAAGGACGTGATCGGACGCATGATTGCGACTGGCGAGATCCGCGCGTCCGTGACCGGCTCGCCCGAGATTGTCACCTTTGAGGACGACGACGACTACGATTCGCCAGCGGCTATGAAGCGCCTGGCGGACGCACAGGCTGTCGCCAGCAGTCTCCTGGCCGAGCTGACACGTGCGGACCAGCAGCTGGGCCTGAACCCCAAGTGGCTGCAGAAGGTGAGTTATCTTCATCGGACGAAACTGACATTGCACAGCAGGTGCGTTCAATCGAGGCGAAGGAGAAGCAGAAGGAGCCCGCGGGCAAGATGGCCGAGGGCGGGAGCGAGCTCCGTGTCGGCGGCGCTGTTGGTGCAAACCAGTCCGACTTTGGGTTCTAGACGAGGAGAAGACCATGTAGATTAGGAAAGGCGTTTCAGTGTACATATATCAGCGTGACCGCATACAGCATGAGATGGATAGACATTTCTGTGCTAAGGGGAGCAGGTACGTAGGTGCCGAACAGAAGCGACATGTGCCGAGCGGGGCTGCAGCAGACCGGGTGTGACGGCCGCTTGTGCCGGAGAGCGCCCATATGCCCCGCCCGCATGTCCAGCAATGTGGACCGGCTAGAGGAATCTGCATATGCGCGAGTGTAGATCCGGATGGCGTTTGGATAGCCAAGCAGAATCAGCAGCAAGAACATCAGGCAATGCGGGGGCGCGCGGGGGAGTGCAGGGTTTGCAGGGTACGAATGCATCGCTGAGTAACGTCCAGCTCAGCTAGCTCTGTGCGGTAGGAACGCAAGAGGAATGGTGGTTGTGCGGGGGTGAGCGGGCCTTGATGCGGACCAATTGTCATGCGCAGAAGGACAGATAAGCGAGTTAGTCGAGGCTGCAGGGTGGGGGAGCTTGTTCTGGAGGGCAGATACCCCAAAGAGGAAGCGGGGTCTCCGCTGGACATGATCGCCATGACGTCTGAGGGCAGAAAGGTTTTGGCGAGCCTGCGGGCCCCTCCAAACGTGTCGTGTAATTGCCCCTCAGGGGCAGAAATGAAAGGGACGCCAGCCAGCTTAGCCAGGCAGCCAGGCTCCAGCGAGGCGTGCTTGATGAGCCTTGGTGATGGACGGGGATTCTCGGCAGGGCCCAACGCCAGCTACGACGCCAGCCGCAAGCCGCTAGCTGGCTAGCTGGGCGCATCTCGTCTGTGCATCCCAGCCCTAGGGCCTAGGGCGCAACCACCGTGCCGCCGGCGTGGATATACTGGGCAGCCTTATTCAGCCAGTTCAGCCCGATCAGCCCGCAGATGCTCATGCAGCCAACAGCATCGCTAGCAGCGAGGGTCGGCGAGGCACCAGTCTCAGGTCCGCAGGTCGACAGGTCCGGGACGGACAGCGCCCAGCGATGCGGGGGAGCGCGGCGAGCAAAAGAAGGAAGGAACACGTCGGGTCGAGTCGACGCTCGCTAACGCCCGCCGTGCCCGCCCGCCCACGCGCGCCGGCACACTGGCTCCGGCACGTTGCAGGTGCTGATACAAGTGACGGGTGCTGCGGCTGCATCACTCTGGCGGTGTGCCTGCCGTGAGTAGCAGTGACACGCGCGGCCAATCACTGGACACGTTGGACGCTAATCAAGCAGCCGTCGAGATGCTGCTGTACAGAGGTGTTACGCATGTGCCTGTGGGCCCAATCGACCAACCAATCCGCCGGACTGACCGACCGCCCGACCGACCGTATCTTCCCCCGCCCAGCCCAGGCTAGCTGGCTGCCTTCCCCCGCACCCGGCTCCAGGCTGCACTCCCACACGGCCCACACCTCCTATAACTTGCCTCGTCACTCACCATTCCTCATCTTCCCTCTTTTCCCTCAGTCAATCATCCATCATGCCCCAGCCTCCCCTCGACGTTCGCAAGTACCTCTCCTTCCAGCTTCCCCACATCCACGAGAAGTACCCCCCGGGAACGGGCGGTACCGGCCCTCGTGTCTCGTGGGACGGCAACCTCAAGGGTGTCGAGGTCATTGACAACTTCGGCCAGGACGTCAAGAAGTGTGAGTGACTCATTTCGCCTTCCCCGCATCGCAGCGCGCAGCGAGCGTGGTTTGAAGCCTGCTGGTACGGCTGTCGCCGACCCGATGGCCTCGGCGGCATAGTTGTTGAGGTTCCGCGCCCTCACCGGGAGCTGGGCGAGCCCCACCTCGGCAATCACACGGCTCCCGAGAGAAAGCGAGGCATAGCGAGAAAAACAGCAGCCAGCTGACCATCAGTCATCGACCAGCTTCCCAAGGAGCCCCTCACCACCGACCCGTACCACAAGTACCCCAAGTTCGTCCAGGTCCAGTCCGAGCTCCCCAACCCCATCACCGACCAGGGTGACCTCCAGAAGGGTGAGTACGCTTCTCTGCATCGCACGGAAGGCAGCGCATCAGCGCACGGTGGTAGACTCGAGCGCTGGGAAGTCTGCGAGCTGGGAGCGATGGCTGGGGGGAAGAGGCATGGTGGGGGGCGTCAGTGCGCCCCGTCACTCCCCTCCCAGCATGTTCCCTCGCACTCGCAGCCCAGCCGGCTGGAGCGATTGCCATGACGACAGTCCTCATGAACGGCCGTGCAGCAGCGAGCTCCCATTCGCTGGCGCCCGGCATGGGATATGCGGCTAGAGTCGGCGAGCCCCTCAAGCCACGGTGGTGCAACCCCGCGATGCGATTTGCTGACGCACGTCCGCAGCCCTGACGACCCTTCCTCTCAAGTGCGTTTCGTCTGTCCTCACCGCGTACGAGTCCGGCCCCACGGGCTGCAACCTCCCGCGCCGCATCGATGCCGCCGGCTACGAGTCTGACGGCGGTGAGGACGAGGTTGCCGCCGTCCCGCGCGACGACTCGAAGGCGTGGTTCTGGCGCTACTCCAAGTCGCCCATGGGCTCTGGTGAGCACCTGCTCGTCAAGGGCGACAAGGGCGAGAAGATTTCGCTCGTCGTCCGCACGACCAACTCGCGCGCCCTCACCGACGAGGACTGGAAGGAGTTTGTCGTCACCGGCCCGTACAACTACAACACGAAGAGCAAGGCGTCGTGGTACTGGTCGCGCACGTGGGGTGCGTGCAAGCGTCTCGACACGCGCTGGTGGGTCCTCACCGACTGGCAGAAGTGGATCTTTGGCTGCTTCAACGACGACATGACTCACGGCTGGACCTCGCCCATCATGAAGTACGACTCGAAGGATCCCACCGTCCTCGAGGCGCTCCTCTACTGGGTCGAGAGCGCTAAGGGCGACAAGGCCGGCTTCAAGCCCAACGCCAAGGACGTCAGCAGCCTCCCCGCCCTCTTCCCCTCCAACCCCGCCCGCCGCATCTCGGTCTCGGGCAACAGGCCCCACAAGCCTCGCGACCCCTCCAAGCCCAAGACGGCCAACGAGAGCGACGTCGAGGAAGACGATGCCGAGGACGGTGCTTAGTGGGCATAGTTTTCTAGTCTTAGGTTAAGTAGTAAGAAACTGTAGAGAACCAAATACCAAGATGTATACATTGGCACAAAGCAACGCACGAACGAGCGCGGGAGTGAGCTCGGGAGTAGGGCATCAACAGACGAAAGTGAGAGAGTCGAGCCTTCATCTCATGAGCTGGGCGTGAGCTCTGGCAAGACTGCAGCGAGCAGCATGAGGCAATATCGCAGGCGAGAAGCGAGCTCACGGCTGATCGAAGCGATCGCGAAGAGCGTGTGTCTATGCATACAACACATGCACCCATGCACGAGCGAGTCTTGGATCAACCGCGATCAGCGGTTGGACGTGCAAGGGTGGGCGGCCCCTCCCTCCGTCATCGGGCAGGGAGCGGACCATCTGTGAAGCTGGAGCGGGCTGGAGCGGGCACAGTTCCCCCGATCCACCCAATGCCTGGTCTGGTTCCGCCGATGGGGGTGGTTTGGGATAATCACGTGATATTCACGCGGGGGAAATAGACGTCGCTCATGTTGGGATGTTGGATTGTCAGTTTGGCCTCTCGGCCTGGCCGCCGTGAGCTGATCGACTGCTTTGGGTCTGTTTTGCGGTTTAGTCTAGTTTCCACAGGCTGCTTCACATGAGAAGCTGATTCAAGATTGTCACTATTACATGTAACAGGTGTCTTATGGCCATCTACTGAATTGAGCGATTCGGGGGCTGCTTATTATGCTACTGCAGGAGGACCTGGTCTCAGGTGGCCCGAGAAAGGGAGTGGGTTGGGGAAGACGGACATAGTGGTACACGGTGCACTGTCGCACTAAGGCTCAGGAGAGTTGGGAAGTTGGAGGAGAGGAGGAGAGGAGGAGTGGAGGAGGTCCCGCAGTGTTCAGACCGAGACGGAGGCGGTCGATGATGGGTGGGAAGGAGGCGCGTCCGGGGGCGGAGCAGGAGTTGTAGGGTGGGGAACGCGGCCATCTTCCTGGCCTTGAGGGGGGGCTTGGAGCTGCTGAGGGATCTGATGCCAAAGGGCGATGCGATAGACCGATACTTGCTACGTACGGTTGTGTATTGGTACGTCAGCGTTGTCGGAAATCGAACGGAGGGCTTCGCGCAGTGCTTTGAGGGCGACAACGGCGATGGTAATGGTGATGCTGAGAGTTAGCGGCTACTCTCAGAACGGGAAGCGGGTGTTGAGGAGGTAGCCTGACTTACACTGGCTTCGCCGCTGGCACGACGCTGATGATGACGATCGAGATGGCGACAAAAGAGAACTGCGTGACAACTACAGTCAGAGTGTGGATTACATGAAGCACTCACCACCACAGGACACGTGGCTTAGCCATCGTCTCACGCGCTGAGACTTAGGTAGCAATTTCTTCAAACGAGCCGCCAGACGCTGCCAAGGACCGCGCTCACGATCGTCTTCGACCTCACGGGTGGTAGAACTTGAGGCCGCAGGAGTTGGTGCGGGAGTGTTGTTACTCATGGAACTCAGCTCGATCGAGTCCGAGACCCCCTGATCGGTGGTCGTGGGCGCAGCCATGAATGGGTTATGCTAGAGTTGCAATTGGGAGGACGGGGACGAGTTGACAAAGATGCGAAGGAAGAAAGTTCAACAGCGAGAGAATTCGAGACATTGAGCGTGAGGTTGGCAGCTTCTATCTGGCTTACGCGGCGACTGGAACTGGCGTCTGAGAGCAGGAGCTATCACTGCGCATCTCGAGTGTCTTAACCGCCTGAGGGGTTGCCGGTTAGTGCATTCCATCGGTTGGATCCCTTTTGTGCGCATCGCAGATGCGCAGACCATCCCAATAATCTGAGGAGCGGGGCGCGCGAGAGCAGGGGATACAGCGGGGCAACAGAGCACACCCGCAGGCGTTAGAGCAGACGAACAAGGAGGGGTGCGGATCCGCAGACGTGATATGCTGTGGTGAGAGGCCAAGAGGCTCGAGAGCGCGCAGCATCGCAGACTCGCAGGTGGAACACAGTGTCACCTCGCAGTGTCGAGCGCCACCGTATCCAACAGACGCTAAAGCCTACCGCGCCTTCACTAACCAATGTTGTCACTAACCAATGTTGCTTGCAGAATTTGAAGATCTCTTCCCTATCCGAGGACCGCACACTACGTTAGCTCTTGCCATGACAGATGTGAGGTTCATCAACAAACGAGTTTCATTTCGATACTCGACTTGTGCTTCTATATGGGAGGGCGGTGGCACCCCGCCCAGCTGGCAAGTTGAGAAACGTGACTGTCTCCAAACGGTAACGCCATTAAGCGCAGCGGCAGGGCCCATGTATCAAGCAGAAGCGCCGCATGGTGGGTCGCTGTGGGAATGTGGTAAAGGCTGCGGCATGGTCTTGACTCAGCCGTACAGCGCCCCGCGGCTTGTCCATGAGGCGATTGGGGCGTTGAAGACGTCAAGCAAGCTGATAAGACATGACACAGCACACACGCAAGCGCGCAAGCGGTGCATCCAGCATCCAGCACGGGGTCATTACCTCTTGCTTCGTCGCGAGCGATCTCTTGGGCTGGCAGCCTCGCACATCGCAGTCGCGCAGAGGCGGAGTCAGATGGAGGTTCAAGGAGTCGTTTAATTTAGTCCGGCTGACGCGCAAAAGGGCGAAGATCGAATACGGGCAAACGGCAAAACAGGCGAATGTGCAGACTGACGGCATGCAAACGGACAGAGGACTGAAAATGTGCTCGGGCAAAACGCGCAGGCATCCAGTAGTAAGCAAGACCTGTGTGTAGCGGGCAGCACCAGTGTTCATGGCCAACTTAGGTAGATATGCTACAATCCGTGGGTGGCAAAGGGACCCGACAACGATTGCAGAGTATGGGGCTTATAGATTTTGCAATTGAGCTTACAGTCGTACAGTCGTACAGAGTTGGCGAAGCTCGGGGTCGAAGGAATGGAAGAATTAGAGAAGGCTGCGGATCTGCGGACATGCGAGTGTCTTCCGGTTGACGCGGCTGACAGCGGATCGCGGCGCGGGCGGATCGCACACTGCGTTGGCTGCGGGAGCCAGCAAAACTGCTTTGTGTTTCACGCAGTCTTCCTCTATCACCAACGTCATAGGGCGTAGCTAGGTGGTGGCGGTGCGCAGGGGACAGGTGCGAGGGTAGGGGATTGAGCGGATGGTCGATCGGAGGCCCGAACAAAACCGATTGATGGGCACGGTGCCCAGCACCTCAGCGATCACAGATGCTCGTTCGACTGCCGGAATGATGCTCGCAACTCATGGATGATAGGCTGGAGGGGCCGATGACCCGGAAACCTTGGTCTGCATTCCAGCTTCCGAGTCCTTGGATCCTATGATCTCGGCGGAATCACGGTCGATGGCGGAAGTGACTTCCATCTTGATGCCAGGGTTCGGTCGTGGCGAATCTTCGCTTTTGGGTATGTACTTGTAGACCATATTTTCGGCGTCCTCGCATTCCTTGAACAGGAGCATTTTCACTGCTATCGCCTCAATCTCCCTCCTCAGCATTCGCAAACTCTCCGGCGTTTGAGAGTTGTTCACGATCTTTGCTGCGCGGAAGGCGTAGTCCTCCATATTGCCGTTCCGGAATAGCTTCCTGAGCCTCTCCATCTCTGGTAGCCTTACGCTCTCCGTCGTGATAGGACCAGAATATCGCGCCCAGTTGCCCGCAACTACGGGAGGGTGCCTGTTGCGATCCTCACACCTGTCCAATACCCTTAGAAACTCTGCCATATTGCCCACGGCGAACTTGAGGCGGGGTAGTAGCCTGCTCCCTCGTGCGCGGAGGACGTCGATCTCCCTGCAGAATCGCGCCTTCAGTGCTAGTTCTTTTTCCACCGTGACCATGTCGTTGTCTCGGAACAAACGCTCCAGACCCAAGAGCGAGAGACGAAGCCCGGTATAGTCGTCGCACAGGCGAAGGTAGGCAGAGCACAGCTCCGTGCGACCAATGCACCGCCATTCGCCGTCCTCCTCCCAACTGAAGGATGTGTAGACGAAAGGCGGGTGGTCCCGGAACTTTCTGCGAAGCTTGGCCGTCACTGTCGTAGGAAGGGGGCGGGGGGGGCGCACAATGTGGGCGGTTGCTTCGTTCTTCGCTGGCCCGAGCCATAGCGGTCGCAGACCGGAAGGCACCTTCTTCCGCACGAAGGCGGTTGCGCTTTTCCACAGCTTGGCGGGGTCATCGTGTTCGATGATATCGTTCATGGTGAGATGGCAAACATCAGTGGGGGCTACGGAAGGCGGCCTCTTATACACAGGACCACAACGCCTGGGAACAGCGTACAGCCACATGGGGTAACGAGTGATGCTTTAGCACCTCCATCGCGTGTGCTTTGTGCCTCGGCAATCTTTGTGGCAATGGCAGCCACGAGTGCACGCGGCCAACTCCTGAGTCAATCTCGTTAATTCGTAAAGAGCTGCGTAGCGAGCCAGAGGAGGTCGCGGTGGACGGACTTCTCATGATGACGGTCAGCCACATGAACCCCTCCATGGTGGGCGAAGGGGTTGTTTCAGCATAAGCACCACTGGGACCTCCACACCTCCCAATCTCCAAGACGAGGAAGGACTAGGAGAGAAACAAAAACGACTTCAACCGACATTATGACCTCTGGCGGGGTCGAACCGCCGACCTTATGCGTATCACTCGCGTGTTAAGCATACGCTCTAACCAACTGAGCTAAGTGGCCTTGCTGAACTCGAGAGGGCGCAGTGGCGGGGCGCACGCGCGGGCGTCGGCGCCGGTGCGAGCTGTGCGATGGGAGCTCGAGCATTCGTCAAAATTGATACACCACTGAGCTAGCCCTAGTAGGTTATGGTTTGGAATCTGAAAACTGTACACTCTAGCCTGAAAGTCTAACGCCCACACTAGTGCAGCACACTGCCATTCGAGACCTAATCAAGACTGACTATAGCGTCGTAGAGCGATTCGAAACCGCACCACTGAGCTAGCCCTAGTGGGTTATAGTGCAGCACACTGCCATTCGAGACTATACATATCATTGTGGAGCAGGCAGCGGTAGCATACAACAGTGAGGAAGTGTACAACCACGTCGGAGATTAAGTGCGTCGGTTGGTTAGGAGGCGATATCCAGAGCACAGATCAAGGCGTGTAAGCCGGCGGAGCTGAGGGCTCTCCTTCCACGGCCTCGGGGACAGCCTCCAGCTTTTCGATGACGCCCTTGATGTCTGCTATAGGCTCCGTTGAGACCACGAGACTGGGTGGAGGAAGACCACCTTTCTTTGGCAGATACTCCCACACCTTTTCTCTGTCCTTGCAGCCCTTGAACTCGAGCATGTCTCTGGCGACACGCTCGATCTCCTCCCTCAACACTCGTACGACTTCCGGCGCATCGGTCTTGTTGACGACTTTGGCCGCACGAAAGGCAAAGTCGTCCATGTTTCCGTTCCGGAAGAGTCTCATGTGCGTCTCTTTCTCGGGGAGCCGTACAGTCTCGGCGGTCACCGGGTCGGGATAGACGGCCCAAGCTCCCTTCCGCGGCGGGTGTACGTTGTGCGCCTCGCATCGGTCCAAGATCTCGAGGTACTCCGCTAGGTGCCCCACGGCCCACTTGAGGCGGGGCAGCAGTCGTTCTCCCCGTTCACAAATAACGTGAAGCTCGCCTTTGAGCCTTGAACGGCCCTCGAGGTCCTTCCCAACAGAGACCGTGTCGTTGTCAGCCGCCAGGCGCTCGAGGCCCTGCAGCGCCTGCCGAAATCCGTCGTACTCGTTGCACAGGCGGAAATATGCGGTGCACAGGTCGACGCGGTTGATGGCCTTCCACCTGCCATCCTCGAGCCAGCGGAAGTGCGTGTACACGAAGGGCGGGCCTATGATCTTGTCGTGCAGCTTGGCTGAGAGAGTCGTCGACTGTGGAGGCCGCACGATCAAGGCTGTAGTTTCCTCAGCCTTTCCTCGAGGGCTGAACCTTTGAGCCTTCAAACTGATAGTGGCGTTCTTGTGCGCGAAGGCGGAGGCGCCCTTCCATTGTTTGAATGGGTCGGCGTGCTCGGTGCTAGTACTCGTGACCATAGTGTGATGATGGGTGTGGGAGATCAGTTGCCACCTCGGAGCTGGTGCCTTATATGTATCGGCGGCGTGAATGACGTACGGCGCTGGAAGGTCACGAGCGGCGGCCAGCACAGCAAAGATAACGTTACTCCGAACGCTACGGTTCGTTGACCTCCGAGACCCCCCGACACCTACGATGTAGCAGACCAGTGCAGCCTCGACTGATGATGCATGCACAGTAACATACAAAGTCCCACTACTCCTGGTTCATGATGACGACCTTGATCTCGTCGCCACGCGCAAACGCATCGAATGCCTCCTCGACATGACTCATAGGAACAGTCCTGGTCACTAGCATCTTTAGGTCAACAGCTCCACTCTCAACCAGATGGATCGCGTCCTCAAAGCAGCCTGCTGTGTACCTCAGACTACCGCGAATGGTCAACTCTTTGTCGGCGAGCGCGAAAGTTGGGAAGAGCGTGAGCGGGCGTCCGAGGCCGGCCTGGACGTACGTCCCGCCGTGCCTGAGGAGGTGCATGCCAGTAACGATCGCGGATTCGGCGCCGCTCGCTTCGACGACGACATCGAGGCCATGCGCGTGCGCCGCGCCGACTTCACGTACGACACTCTGCGCGAAAGACATGCAGTGTGCCTGGAGCTGCTCTGCCGATGCGGCGTTCGGAGATGGGGTAGGCGCATGAGTGGGCATGACGAAGGTCTTGGCCGTGGGGATGTACTTCTTGACGAACTCGACGCGGGAGGCGTTGATGTCGATCGCGACGAGAGTGCGGGCGCCATGGGCGCGGGCCAGAGCCAGAGTCAGCAGACCCAAGGGTCCGCACCCGACAACGGCAACGGATTGGTGCGCCAACGCACCAGCACGGCGCGCAATCTGGACAGCGACGGCGAGAGGCTGGATGCAGCCTGACTCTTCCCAGGAGATACCCTCGGGAAGAGGCACAGCGTTGTGCTCTGAGCACACGAAGAGGCGGCTCATGGTGCCATCTGTGGGCGGAGTCGCCATGTATCCGTCGTGCACGCAGTAGCTGGGGTCAGTTCACAGGGACTTTCAACTGGAGAGACTCACTTCCACTGACCCTGCTTGCAGTATCGGCACACGCGACACGGCAGCGCAGGCTCGATGGCAACATGCTCGCCCCTCTTGATGTTCCGGACTTGGGGACCGACGTCGAGCACGACACCGCACGACTCGTGCCCGAGCACATGGGGCTTGGACAGGGGGCGCATGCCCTTGGCGAGGTAGAAATTCAAGTCGGTGCCGCAGCTGTACATCAGCTTCAGGATCCCGCGGAATTCAAGCTCACATTCCAGTTGCCATGACACGAACAAGAATCTCGTCACCCTTCGGCACAGGGACGGGGCGGTCCTCGAGCACGAACGTCTTGAAACCGGTCAGCACGGCTGTCAGGTTGCCGCCGGTCGCTTCGCAGACGTCCTGCTCGGGCGGGAAATGGTGTTCTTCCTTGGTAGTCGTCCGCTTGGCAGCATCCTTCCCCGGGTGAGAAGGGGCACCCTCGCAAACGTCGGGAACGATGGGGATGTTGAGCGCGTTGGGCATGGGCGACATGGTGGCAGGCGTGAGTTTGTGCAGTTAGAATGGGTCAGTTATATCTCCCTTATATGCCTCGCTGTCCATCTGGGTGTCGCTTCCGACAACGATTAACCGCCAGGCGTGACATAGATTCCTGTGTGAAGTTCCACACAACTGCTGCGTCAGCGGCGCTTCGTACCATTCACAAGGCCTCTTATCCGCCGCCTGTGGTTGACAGATATCGTAAAGTCATCTGCCCTCCGCAGTAGTGCGCCCGATCCCCACACAATCTCAAAGGCAGATTCTTGGAGTCAGCCTCTTGCAGCTGTACGCTGTCGGGTGGGCCAAGCACCCGCTGGTCAACGCTTGCCGGCCGATAAGAGACGTAGTAAAGGCGGACTCTCGGCCCACATTCGTGCACCACCCTAGGGATCCGTTCACCACCGTGGGAAAGCGCCAGGAACCAAATATGACAGCATCGACCGGTGACCAACTCACGACTCACTCACGACGACCGACCACAACAAGCACACGACATGTTGGTCCGAGTTCGCCGCGCGGCGCATAGGCGCCATCTCCGCTATGCAAGCGGCCTCTCCGCCGCGAAGGCGAAATGGGTAAGCTCGCCGAACCTTCGGAAGGAGCTGACAGCAGGGCGGTCGCCTCTCGTTGTCTGAGGAAGTTGAGCACGCACTGAATACCGATACACCTATCATCGCTCTTGAGTCCGCAATTATCACGCATGGCATGCCTTATCCTGCGAATGCGGAAACTGCTGCGTCGCTCGAGACGATTATCCGGGGGCACGGCGTCGTTCCCGCGACGATTGCTCTGATGGACGGCAAAGTGCAGGTCGGCCTGTCGGACGCGCAGCTTGAGGAGCTCGCGAACGCCCCTCGCACGGAGAGCTGCAAGGTGTCCCGGCGGGATCTGGGCGCTGCCCTCTGCCTGAAGCGCTATGGCGGAACGACTGTAGCTGGCACGATGATCCTTGCGAACTCCGTCGGTATCCAGCACTTCGTCACTGGCGGTATCGGCGGCGTACATCGCGGCGCTGAAAACAGCATGGACGTTTCTGCCGATCTGGTTGAGCTTGGCCGTACGCCGATGAGTGTCGTGTGCGCCGGAGCCAAGAGCATCCTCGACATCCCTCGCACGCTGGAATACCTCGAGACGCAAGGCGTATGTGTTGCCGCGCTCAGCGAGAAGAGCGGCGACTTCCCAGCTTTCTATTCCCCGTCTTCCGGCGAAGTAGCGCCGTGGCACTTCAAGGACATCCGTGAGGCAGCTCAGGTTGTTCAGACCAATCTGACCCTGCCATCACCGCAGGCGACTCTCGTCGGCGTTCCGATTCCTCAGGAATACGCGCAGCGCGGAGAGGAGGTGCAGCGCGCCGTCGAGCAGGCTGTCCGCGAGAGCGTCGAGCAGGGTATCGACAAGCGCGGCAAGGAAGTCACCCCATGGCTGCTGAAGCGTGTAGGCGAACTCACGGGCGGGACGGCGCTTGAGCTCAGTGAGTCTGGCATACGAGCTGGCAAAGGTTCGTCGCGAGCTGACGACAGACATCGCTCTGATTCAAAACAACGCGCATGTCGGCGCACAGCTTGTGCGCGAGATCTGGGCGCAGCGCGAGCAAGATTTCCAGAAGGCGCAGAATGCATCCTCGTCTGCGTACTTCCCCTCTCCTGGGGCTCAGCCGGCTAGTTCTTCGCCGAAGCGACAACTGGAATCTCTCGCTCAGATCCCCGACTTACCCGACTCACCCGACTCACAGCAGGCCCCGGTTCTCCCAGACCCGAGTGTCGTCGTCTTCGGCTCGGCCGCTGTCGACATTACGGCGAGCACGGCTCTGGATCATCCCGGCAGCACTTCGCCCGGAAGCGTGCAGCTCACTGCTGGAGGAGTCGGTCGCAACCTCGCGCGAGCGGCACAAGCTCTCCTCCCTGACAATGCAGTGCAGCTCGTCTCTCCCGTCGGAACAGATGGGCTTGCCGCAGTGCTGAAGAGCGAGATGGCGGACGGCGCTCTGCGCACCGACGGTCTTCTCCCGCGCGAGGGTAGGACCGCAAGCTGCGTCCTCTTCCTCTCGGCTGGCGAGCTGAGCCATGGCGTTGCGGATATGAGCATCGTGGAGACGCTCTCCGCCTCGGACATTGCTGCATCGCTCCCGTCAACTGCCGAGCTGGTCGTATTTGACCTTAACTTGTCGTCGTCCTCGGTCGCAGCTCTGCTTCAGACCTGTGCCGAGCGCAATCTCCGCACATTCTGCGACCCGACCTCTGTCGCGAAGACGCCACGCCTTCTCCCTGGCCTGCTGAACGGCGGGCTCACACACTTCGCTCCGAACCTTGCCGAGCTGGACGCTTTGCACTCAGCCCTCGAACCGGCGCTGGACGACACACCAGCGGGAGAAGCGGCATGGGAGGCGGTAAACGCTCTGAATCTGGGAGCAGAGTTCCGCGCGGCCGTTGAGTCACGGTTCCGTTCCGTCGACTGGGTAGGGCAAACCGGCGCGATCCGAAAAGTGGTCGGTCTCACCCCGTTCATGGACAACGTGTGGCTGAAGGCGGGTGCCGGCGGCGTCCTTTCTCTCCGATTCCAGGACAAGAGGGACGCAAAGGGAGTCAGCCAGAGGATTGAGCATGGAAAGCACAAGGGACAGTGGCTCAATATCCGCCACTATCCTGCGCCGGTCGTCGAGGGTGTGCTGAACACAACTGGAGCTGGAGATACTCTGGCTGGCAGCCTCATTTCGAGTCTCTCGACGAAGGAGGAAGAAGGAATGGTCGACCGTGCACTCCAGAGAGTCAAGGCGACACTTGAGAGCCATCACTCCGTTGCCTGAATCTCATCTGCATCATATCATACTCTACATGCATGACACTGTACTTTAGCCTTCCACTTTGACTTCTACATAATTTAGACTCTTCCGTCGGTCAGAGTTCGGATAAGTCTCGGATGACGAGCGCGAGTGTCCGGTGCACTAGTGTCGAGTGAGTCACCGCTCTCTCGTACCTCGCTCCTCGCCGGTGTCGGCCTGCGTCGGCGAGACATGAAACCACGCTGCAACGCATCGCATGCCGTACCGTCATATTCGACCCCGTGCATGTGACTGTGCGCCGAACGGCATCGAAGCGTGTTTCAACGTGAGTATGCGATGTATGACCCAACGAGCGGTGCAGATGGAGAGCTTGTCATAGGCACGGCGCTGTGGCGGTGTTGGGATTGCACCTTGTTCAGCGGACGGGTGGGCGGTGCGCGTTACTCCATCTACCGTCATCTGCATTACGTTCTCTCAACATCATATGTATTACTCCTTACTCCGTGAGTTTGCGGATGCAAGGGACGTCCCGTCCCGACTCCACAGCGGCAGCACCCGCTTTATATGTGTAGCAGTGTGTTGTGGCACACCTGCTCGCTTGCGGGCAACCCACAGCGGTCATCAGCGATGCCCGCCCGTTCTGAGTTCGGCGATGCTCAGAAGACCGCAAGGGACGGCAATCATGTGTTCGCCGTCCCTCATTCTAGCCCTCCTGGCACTCATTAGTGCCTCTGCCGCCTCGGACGGGACCCGCAACACAAGCTTTTGCAGGGGGACTGTGGCACACGGCCAGCAGGCGATGGCCGCAACGCCCGGGCGCGCCTCGAATCGGCCCCAATGCCGGGCAGACGGCACTGTGCGCAAGTCAATCGCTATTCAGTGGTGGCACACGAGGCTACTAACGCCACGTTCAGAGCTCATCGTAACGTATATGCATAAGTCAGAGTCCATCGCGGCGATGTCCGCCGCGGCTCGCGCTATCGACGATTGGCAGAATTACTGCTTGCTAGGGGCGAATTACATCCAGTAGCATGTCGCTGCCGCTTATGCTGCTCACCCCGAGCCTCCCACCTGTACGACGTCAAACTCCTGGTTCTTATTTCCAGCGACGCAGTCCCAGAGCTGAATCTGGTTCCCGCCGTCCATGATATCGAGACAGAAGCCGGAGCAGCCGAGCTCGACCTGACCGTTAGAGTGGATGACCCACTGCTGGGACTGTTTCTTGTCGACGCAATCCTGCACTGTGGGGCGGGCGCCAAGCGCAGCTTCTTTTGCCAGTATCAGCGATCGCTTTTCCATCTGCTCGGGCGCTGTTCTCAAAGTGTGACTCACCTTCACCTGCGTCCATGCACCTCGCAAGATAGTGGTAGAAGCCTCCCCAGTAGATCGGCCCGAGCTTGTCGGTCACGGTTTGCCCACCGCGGAAATCTTTGTAACAGCCGTGGTAGTTCGTTACAAGCGAGTACGGAGCGCCAACCCCGCTCTGCCCCTGCGCATCGCACCCGGCGATGAACCTCTTGGAGTCTCCGGCGGGCGCGTGTCGCCACTTGAGACGGTAGTCTGCTTTCGCGGCACCCAGGAACAGGAGCGCCAAGACTGTCACAAGGGCGAACATGTCTTTCACTAGTGATACGTGTGAGGCCGTGCGATTGTTGGGGTGTCGGGGAGAGCAGTAGACAATGGCTCGAAGAGCAGCAGATGGGTGGAGCTTGGCCGTCGCCCATGATATATACGCTATGGGCTGAGGGACTGACCGGGGGAGCTCACGGTATCCTCATGACTTTGGCACCGATCGTACGCAATGCATTCCTTGATTATAGCTTCACCGAACAACGTCCGTAGCTGCGGATCCGTGGTCGATTGATCGAAGGCTCACTAAACCGCACGGAACGTCGCCAAATCGCACATATCAATCGTCCAGACCCGAGCGACAGTGACATCCGAGCTACCGGATCCGACGATAACGGTCAAGTGACCCAACGAACCCATTCAGTCCGAAAGTGCGGAGCCACTTTTCGACGTCACTGTGTATTTCGTGTTGTGCAGAGCTGTGCAGTGCCGTTATGCCAAGCCGGAGTGAAGAGTACAGATGCATCGAATGCGCTGGGTTACGGGGATTGCTAGTGATAGTGACTATGGAGTACAAACAGATGTTAGAGGTTGTGTAGGTGTCAATGTTCGTTTCTCATGTGGCGTTTGGGCGGGCTGGAATTCGGATGCAATGTCTGTTTTTGGCGTTGGCTCACAGGGCGAACGACTGGCAGGCGCCCTGCTGTCTCGGTGTTCTGGGCTGTCTTGAGCTCCTGGGAGACCGAGGTCCTCGCGGCCGCTGGTCCAGTCTCTTGTTAGGCGAGTACGCGCTATCGCGTGCGCGCCACTCAGCCTCAAGCTCGTCCCAGGTACACTCCTCGCTGACCTTGCGCCAGAGCGGGAGCGAGAAGCGGTTGACTGGCGTCGAAAGATCAACAGCAGTCGGCGAGTCGAGGTCGACCTCGTGGATAGTGATGCTTTTCGCTGGGCTCTCGCCGCTCACAAGGCTGGAGTTGCTGCTCATGTAGTCGTCGCCGATGCGGACATCCTCCCATCGCAGCGGGTTTTTCTCGGGGACCGGAGGGAGGGGAAGCTGTGGCGGCGCACTCGTAACAATGGCGGGGATGGGGTTCGGCACATCGGCCGGCGAGTATGGCGGCGGGAGAGGAGGCGAAGGTGCCGCGCGGGAGGGAACGATAGCCGCAGCCTTCATGACATCGAGCGTCTCGGATCGGCACTCGAGCATCTCGCGCACCGTGTCCTGGAGCATCTCGATGAGGGCCTCGTCGAGCGTGTCCTCGAGCGCCTGCTGCTGCTGCGCCGTCAGACCAGTGACGAGCGCAACCTCGTCTCGGCCCACATCGAACTCGACCTTGCCCAGGATCGTGGAGCAGCGGCGGCTCCGGTCTGACGCGGCGTCGGAGGAGGCGTCCCATTCCGACTCGGAGTCGGAGCCAGCATCAGACGTGAGTCCGACGCTGCCCGAGTCGTGGGACGACGAGCGGGACATGTGCACGCTCGCCTCGCGGTGGGAACTGCTTGGTGTGCGCACGACAGGCGGCGGGTTCCAGAGACTCGTCGGCGTCTCCTCCACAGGAGTGGTGGGCGAGGAATGCCGCCTCTGCTCAGGGGCGGAGGCTGAGCGCTTGTGGTTCAGCGGCCACTGGTGCGCCGTCCCTGTGATTGGGGACACCCAATCGGCTGGGCGGCGGTAGTGCAGGATAGTCGGGGCGGGACTCGCCGAGCGGTAGAAGGCTGCCAGGCTCGCGCGTTCCCACGACGAGACACACGCTGTCGGGGTCTTCTCCTCCGCCTTCGGTGTCGTGGGGCTCTCACCTGCCAGAGGCGACAGAGGAGAAAGCATGAGGTGCGAGCCCAGGTGCCCAAAGTTAGGGATGGTGAGGAGAGGGGCAGTGGGCCGCGTCCCCCGCGAAGTGGAAGGATTGCGCTGCGTGAGCTGAGTCGTGTTCGACCTGAGAGGGGTGCGCGGAGCACGGGGTCCAGTCAGTTTGCTCAGACTGGGGACGCGCTGGATCAGAGTGGCAGCGCGGCCGACGGGCTTCTCCAGCGGGACCGTGACTGCAGGTGGACAGTTCGGTGGCGACGGCGCAGCACGCGTCGGACGGAGCTTCAGAGCTCGTCTCGTTGCCGGCGTGACGCCGAGGTGCGGGATCTTGTCCTGCTTCTGGAGACGGGGCTCGGGGCTCGCTCGCGGTGTGATGGGGAGGTCGGGGAGCTCAACGCTGGCCTCGGGCGACTCGGGAGTCTTCGGCAGCTTCTTTGGTGGTCTCGGCGTCGGTGGTGTTGGAGGAAGCTCGCGCTCTCCATCAGATGAGGGACGAGGACCCTCGATCGGTGTCGGAAGCCCGCGCTGGAGGACGATCGCCGGCGGGGTCAACACGGGTGTGGGAGGAAGAGGCTTGTTCGGCGGGGCCGTGGGGGGCAGCATGCGCAGCGGCAATGGCGGCGCCGGGTCGAGGGGCGACACGGCCTCCTCTGGGGCATCGGGCAGGGAGGAGAACGCGCGGAGCTGCGGTGTGTCCGGGGGTGAGTGCAGGGGCGTCTCGGGCGGGGAGACGCTGTAAGCACCGCATCCCCGTTCCGTCTCCGTCTCGCTGCCCGAGTCAGACTCAGAGTCAGACTCCGAAACCTCGGACACCTCGTCCTCGTCACCGTCAAACTCGAATGCGGGTGAGGGCACATCCGGTGATCCCTCCGGCGACGTCAGGTGGAACGCCTTGACTTCCCGGAAACTCTCCTCCTGCTCGGGCAGCATGCCCCAGGTAGCTTCCTCCTCCTCGGTCTCAGGCATCGTAAAGCGTTTCCTGACGAATGCCTCGAACTCGGCGAGGCTCATCATCGTGTTGCGCAGCATCTTTTCTTCCTTTTTCAATGCTGTATGGTTAGAGAGATGTAGTTTGCGTATGTGTTACGGCGGCGTTCGCGCGTAATCTGTCGGTCGCTTGTCCGTGGAGGGTCTCTGGGGTATAGGGTGGTCGAGGGCTGCGGGCCTGGCGACAGGGCTGGCGGAGTGCAGCTCGTAGAGCCTCGAGAGATTGTGGTCAGGTATGAAAGAGTCAGTGCGGGTGTGGTGGGGAGAGCGAGCGGGGCCAAGCACTGTTGGGTAGATATATCTTTCCTTCCTGCTCTCTGCCGATGAGGTGCCGGCGCCACGCCCGGCCGTGGTGCCGGTGGTGCCTTGTCGCAGGCCGCGGCACAATCAGCTCGTCAGGTGCTTGGAAGCAGCGCGAAGCGGTGGAGAAGGAGGAGAGTGAAAAGCACGAATAGCCGCGAAGCCGCTCAGAAGCAGTGCCAGGCCGTATGGGGGCCGTGTGAGGGCCGTGTGGAGGCATGGGCTGGTGCAGGGGTGGCGTGGGGAGGCCGTGCCGAGTACGAAACACCATGGCCTGGAGACTCTCGTTAGTGCGTATGCGGCGGTGCCTCTGTGCCTTGCGTGGTTCCTCCAGGACTCGATCGTAGGGAAGAGTCGAAGTGTCAGTCTACGGCGTCATCGCGTAATCGCGTAATCCTCCCAGGATTAACCCAGGTTTCCACGAGGTTAGTCCTGACTTCTGCGACGCTTCGCTTGTGTCTTGCTATCTTGTGGTCTTGCTGTCGTGCTAAGGGCAAAGCAGGCCTAAGTGGGCTGCGGCGTGGTGTGGCCGCATCCTGTTGGAGCGGGTCAGCGTTATGCATGTACTTCCCGTCGCATCGAGATCGGCGGTCAGTGAGGCGCCACCGGGATGGAAGTGAACAAAGTTCATCACGCAGCGGGTTGGTATCGAGCGCGGCAAAACATGCACCGCTTGACGCACTTCGATCTGGTCGCGCTCTTGGTTGTCTCTTGGTTGCGTCTTGGTCTCTTGGTCTCATGGTTGCCGCAATTGTTGATGATTTCATAGAAGCAGCAAGGTTTCTCCCACCACGCCTCCGATCAGGAACCACCCAAGCAGCCACAAACGCCATCTCGTCCGTGCGTTGTTATTCTGATCGTTGTATTGAAAAGCGGGAGTGCACAACGAAAGCAAGGAATGGCGGTGAGGAACCGCATGACCGTGGAAAGAAGCTTTTGTCGACGTCCATGCGCCCACGAGGACAAGGAAGTACAAGGTCGAGGTATCGCGTCCGATGGAGGGGGAAGAAGCGGAACGAGTCGTGAATGAAAATAGGCACGCCGCAGAACAAAGTTTAACGGTGACACCGCCTCATGAAGAGCTGGGCTGAGCTGGACTCTAGACATGATGGTTTGCCGTACAATTGAAGTACACAATTGACGACGTGAAACGGTACAGAGGGCATGGGCTTTGATGCAGGGATCAAGAGAGCGTAAAAGACTAAACCTTATTGACGATTAAGCAGTGTCGCGCCCCAACCATCCAAGTCCATCCGAGTAGGAGTCATATGGAGCACGGCGGGCATGCAGCGATGGCCGTGCACCCCCAACCCTCTCGACCCTCTATCTCACGCATTACGCCTGATTACGATGTGGACGGACAGCGCAATAGGGCCAAGAGGACGGCACTACGGAAGACTTTCAGGACATGGGGCCGCGGGATGACGTCCTTCGTCCTGGTTTTTCGCTGGTGAGGCTCGACATGTCTGGTGAGATGGGAGGCGTGCCAGATGGGCCTGGCGGGAGATCTGGCGAACATGCCGACATCGTAGCAGTCGGCTAGACGTGGCGAATCTACGGCACTACGACAATACGGCAACCACACCTGACCAGCTTCACGGCATCGGCACCACGTCTTCTTATCCTGCGTGACATCTCCGCAGTCCCGTCGGCTCTCGGAGTTCGACACGCCCCCCATCGGCCCAGCCCAGCCCCGCCCAGCTCCGACTCCACTCTCCACTGCGGAGTGAGAGGGCGGTGCACTTCCGCTCCGCCGAACGCAGGACATTGGCAGCGCCTCTTCCCCCATGGATATCTGCGACATGAAACAAAGATGCAAGGGAGGCATAAGGGTTACAATGCGCGATGCATGTTACAGATTGACTGCTCGTTTCTATTTCTATGATGCTAAGCTGTGTGCGTGGAGCTGGAGCTCGCCACGAGCTGAGAGTGGGCTGCCGCCCGCGCCATCCTGCCAGGCTGTGGCTCGGAAAATCGCCATGGGGGCCAGAGGAGAGCAAAAGGTAAAGGAAAAGAAGAATGAGCATGGGACAGTGGACATAATGCGGTGAGCTTCGCTCGCGGCGAGCAGCAATGAGAGCGCGCAATTCAGCATTGTCGGGACCGCGAAGGCGAGCGGGCAAGCGGGCAGGGGAGAGCGGCATGAAGTCAATGTTCGATTATCGAGAAGTATCGCTGGCGGGGATGCGCGATGGGGCGCGAGCTGATTCAAGCTTTGCTCAGACGCTTGTCTTTCGCTCGAATGTGTGTGCTCGCTGAGCCCCACTGCATGGACGGGAAAACACGCTCGTTCAGCTTGCAGCTCGCTGCGCTCGCTGGCGCTCGCGTGTTCGCTGCTTAGACACCAGCCAACGCCCGGCGCCACCCCTCGCCCTCGTTCATGAGCACGCGCCCGACCTCTCCAATCTCCATGCCCAATGCCAACCTCCTGTCCTCCATGCTCCTGTAGTTGTCCGGTGCGGCCGTGAGGGCATGCGTCGCGACCAAACTGCTCCTGACCAGGCCCAATTCCGCGTCAGAGAGCAAGTCGTTGCTCTCGAGCAGGGCGCGGGTGAGGGCGTCGTGGTCCTGTCGCAAGGCCTTCCACGTGATCTCCGGCACGCCCTCGCGGCGCACGCACCGGACGAGCGCGGCCAAGAGCATCTTCTGCTGCACGCTGCAGGTCTTGAGATACATGGCCACAGGCGACGAGGACATGGCATTCAGCACCTGCACCATGTCGCGGGCTGTTACTGCTTTGCGCTCGCTCGTCGGCTTGCCCTTCGTTTTGGCCTTGGCGTCCTCGGTGCCGTCGCTCGTGCCCATGGCCACTTCGACGGCGCGGCGACACGCGTCCAGGACACGGCGCGCATCACCGTTCGTGCCCGCCATTTTCGTAGCTGCGAGCGTAATGGCGTCAGGAGTGAGGACCTTGTGTTCCTCCGTGCTCCGGGGGTGCGGGATGAGGCGAGACTGGACGATCTCGACGAGGGATGCACGGTCGTAGGGCTGGAACAGCAGAGTCTGGAGACCAAGACGTGACTTGATCTTGGCCGCGAGCTGCTGCGGCAGATCCATCCTGTTCGCGATCGCGATGACGAAGAGCTGGCTGTCGCGGAGAGTGGGCCAGTTGAAGAAGTTGTACACCACATCCTGCTTCGTCGTCAGCAGCTGGTCGAGCTCGTCCATGAGGACGACGCTGGGATTAGCTAACCGAACAGGCACGAAATAGCTTACAATGTGTGGCCGCGGGGACCGCGCACACCACCAATACCACCGGCACCCGTCTTGCGCCCAAAGTGCGCCTCGAGACCGCGGAGAGCAGTCTTCGCACTGCACCCCTGCTGGCCCGAGAGCGTCTCCCACAACACAGTGTAGGCGTGTTGCGGACTCGGGATCTTGAGTCCGTTGATCTCGACGTAGGAGAAGGGAGCGAGTTCCTGCTGTCAGCTTAATCCTCTGCGAACCGCTCAGCTCTCCACACTCACGCCATCCTCGGCCTTGCGCTTCAGCTCCTTCACGACCGCATGCACCGTTGCCGTCTTGCCAGTTCCGGGAACACCGGCAATGTCTGATATCAGCTTGCGTTCCCCAGCACTGAAAGCTGGTCACTTTGATACTCACACAAGCATCCACCACCGCCGCCCTCGATTCCCTCCTCGACGCGCGAGAGCACGTCGACAAACTCCTCCTCGCGACAGGGCAGAGACTCAGGCGTCGCGCCGACGTGCAGCAGGCGGAGGGCACGCTCGTAGGGGTCAGTCGGGAGCGTATCAATCTCGACTGTTGGGGGAAGGTGGCTCGCAGATGCTTTGGCGTGCGGCGCTCGGCGACGGCGGGTGGGCTCTTTGAGCTCTTCTGGGGCCTTCCGTTTTCTCTTGGCGGGTACGGTTGTCTTCCTCGGAGTCGCCTTGGTCGTGCGCCGCTTGCGCTTCGGCTTCTCCTCGTCTTCCTCCTCTTCCACGTCCATGGCCTCGTCCTCGTCGTCCTCAGAGCCAGAGCCTGCAGAGGCGACACTCCCCTCGTCCTCGGAGGAGGACGACTCGGGCTCCTTCTCGGCCACCTCGGCGAGGGCTACGTCCCATACGCCCTCGGCGCGACCACGTCCCTTCCACTCGTCAATGTCGACCTTGAAGACCTTGCCGCCGCGCGCGCCCATGTCGTAAGCTCGGTTACACCAGTAGACGCCTTTGCGGACGTAGCTCCACCCCTTCCATTTGGTCTGCCGCTCCTCGTCGGGGAACTGTTCCTTAAACACGGCCCGGGAGTAGATTGGCACAGTCTTGGTGAGTAAACTGAGGGGAAGGTCGGTCGTGACGGGACGTGTTGGAGAGGCTGCGAGAAGCACTTCGTTCTGATTATCAGTTACAAGCAAAGTCTAGCCAACTCACATCCTCCAAGTCGAGATTCCGCATCACACTGGGCAGATCCTGGCGACGGAAGAACCAGTGGATCCTCGCCATCATGCGCGTACCTCTGTCCTCGTCCTTATCCCCTTCCTCGTCCGATTCAGCAGGGACGGGCTCCTCCCACAATCCAACGAGAACGCCTACACCCTCCTTCCCACCCTCAACAGCAACCTGAACGCCATCCCCGATCGTAAACCGGGCCTCATCTCCTTTCTTCTTCTTCGTCGCCTTTCCTTTAGCCTTGCCCCTATCTTTGGGCGTGAGGTCGACCTCGAGTTTCTTCCCTTTCCCCTTCGTCGTTGGAGTGGGGGATCCGGCTCGGTTCGCAGGCTCGGATTCGGACTCGGAGGAGGATGATGAGGAAGACTCAGACGAGGAAGGGAGAGCCGTATCCGTCGACCGCTTGATTCTAGCAAACGACGTGTGGTACACTTTTCCGTCTCCTTCCTCGGAAGCGCCGGCGGGAGGGTGTGCTCGACCAGTGGAGAGCCATTTGTAGTCGTATTTCGCCTGCGTCCGCGTTCGTACCGATGTGGGCGTGAATAGCGCGCTACGCGCTGATCGTCTCGTCCCTACCATCGCGTCCTACTCCCTTCTCTGCTGTCTTCCCTGCTCGGAGAAGCTGGGTCGCTGCTGGCCGTAAGCTTGGTATGGGTGCTCGGTCCGCTGGGTGCAATGGTCGCTGGCTGATTGAGCTCGATCAAATGGGAGAGCGCAGACAACGGAACCAAGAGAGGTGTAGTGGGGCGAAGGCGAGGAAGGTAGTTTGTGCAAGGCTGAGAGGAGCTGAGTGTGTTGTTTTTGTTGTTGCTTGCGCCCAAGGCTGGTTCAGGGCAAAACGGACAACCTCCACTCAATCACACGCGACGCGAATGTCGACGCGAACTCATCTGCTCCCACCCTTCAGTCACGCAGTCGTTGTTCTGCTTGCAGCAACGTCGCTACTCTTACTGCTCAGTTGGGCGCCGGGGGTGCCATGAATGACTACATCTGTCTGCTAGGTATAATTTCTATTCAAACTTGGCTGACTTGTCGGCTTGCGCTGCGCTTCTCCATCATCGTCCTAACTACTACTACTACTACTAAACGTGCTTGAGTCTTGATCTTGGGGAGGTCTGAGAGTCTTAATTGATAGAAAATGAGAAAAACGTCTAACGAGCGGCACGAGGGCTGCTCAACTAGGAAATCGAAACAACGGTGCTCTAAAGTGCACCGGTGGGAGCAGGCTGGCCCGCGCCGCATCGTGATGCGGACTCGCCGCCTCGCTGCACTCGGCGTCGACGGGAACGACGGGCGCAGCCTCGCTTCACTCGGCTCGCGCCGCTTAGAGGAAGTAGTCCGGCGGCCTGCGCGAGACGAGGGGCTCGCCCGCACGCGGGGCGGGGTCGAACTGGAGGAACGTGTACTTGAGGGCGTCGTCGACCTCGAGAATGGCGGCCTGGTTTCCACACCTGTAGCAGTAGTTCGGGGCCGAGAAGATGGTGACGACATTGCGCTCCTGCGACCAGCTGAAGCCCTCCATGACAAGCTGGTGGGCACGGGCGACGAGCGTGAGGCCGTTGTTGTGGTTGAACGCCTCGGAAATGTCCTGTCCGAACGTGTATCCGGCACCACGGGGGGAGATACCCCAGCCACAGCGGTCATCGGGGTCAGACCAGAGCAGGTCGCACATCGGGCCCTCGTGGGGAACCTCCTGAATACGGTCGATGGAGCGGATGTGGTCGAGCGTGTCGATCGAGGGCGAGAGACCACCGTGCAGACAGAAGATCTGGTTGTCGATCAGAGCCGTCAGGGGCAGGTAGTCGAACAGGTCGGTGAAGAACTTCCACACGTTGGCGTTGCCGTACTTGCGGAGACACTCGTCGTAGAAGCCATACACCTGCGTGATCTGGCGAGACTCGTGGTTTCCACGGAGAATCGTGACACGGTCCCGGTACCGCAGCTTGAGCGCGACGAGGAGCGTCACCGTCTCGACGGAGTAGTATCCACGGTCGACGTAGTCGCCCATGAACAGGTAGTTGGTGTCGGGCGAGTTGCCACCGATGCGGAACAGCTCAGACAGGTCGTGCTGATGTCAGTTGTCAGAGCGACTTCAAAACTCACGAATTGACCGTGGATGTCACCGCAGACAGTCACAGGACACCTGACGGGCTGGACGTTCGACTCCTCCATGAGGACCTCGCGGGCCTAATGTCAGCAAAACTCTTCTCGAGCAGATGGAAGGGTGCGATCGGGAGATGACTAAGTCGGCTTCAAGCGTCACTCGGCGCTCGAACGCGCTTGTCCGTCATCACAAACACAGACAGAGCGTCACACGCATCACTCTCGCGATCTCTCACGGGAGCGGCTGGTTGAGGCTGGTCCCGTGCTCATTGTCCCTTCGCTGGTCCGCGCGACGGAAGAGTGTCCGCGGGGCTCTGTGCTCAAAGCAACCCACCTTGTCGCAGAGCTTCTTAACCTCAGTCTCGCTGAGGGGCTTGCACTGCATGAGCTGGGCAATCCAGCCGTCAACCTCGTCGTTGGAGGACATGATGGATGCGTTTATATTGGGTGTTGAGATGCAGGTACTGTTGTGATTGATTGTTGGTGCGGGGGTGTTGGGGCTTAAGGTATGAGCGCGCGGGGGCGAAAGAGAAGCTGTGATGAAGATTTGTTTTGGGCGGGAAAGGGGGGCGGGTCTCTAACGGCGCTGCTGGCGGACAGCAGCGGATCTAAGCGCGTCGAGAAGGTGGGAAGAGGTGCAAGTGGCCGGGGGAGATGGGCCGGGTCGATGGAGAAGAAGAAGACGCTGTGTGCTCGCTCAACCGCGTCTGACACCATCGTGGCCACAGCGTCCTCCCCGGCTTGCACCCCAATTTGATCCCGCTCCTCCTCCTCGACCAAGCCTCATCCGTCAGACCAAAGACAGAGATCGACGACGGAACCAAATTTCACGACTCGACCTGACACAGAATTCGGCCATTCGCCGTGTGTGGCACAGCGCGCACAGTGAGTGTATGACGACATCTCCGCTTGGGCGGGCTTCAAGCATGTCATTGTTGTTGCATGATAACTATCTCTACATCGGTGCATGGTGCATGTCAAGTCAGGACAACCCTCGCTATGGTGACAATGGCATGGCAGTGGCAGGTGTAATTCAGATGCAATATACGATCAACGGTCAAACGGTCACAAACTCTCTTCTTCTATTTCACAAATTCAATGGGGGGTGCTTAATACCCAGCCGCCCAGTACTGCGGGTAGTAGTACCCGCTCTGCTGGAGGGGGTAGTAGGCTTGCTGAGGCGGTCTGTACGGGTAGTACGGCGTTCGTGCGGCGGGATGCGAGTACTAGTCGCTCGTCGACTGCGCGGCCGGGGCAGGCGCCTGAGGCTGGGCTGGAGCCGCAGCGGGCGCAGCAGGGGCCGGCGCCGGAGCGGCAGCAGGCTGGGACTCGCCAGTGTTAGCCGAGGAGCCCTCCTTAGGCTCGTTCGACTGCTCCGCCTGGCCGGCTGGACCAGCATGTCCTCCACGGGCGCCTCCGCGTCCGCCACGGTGACCGCCGCGGCCTCCTCTAAAGTTGCCACGGGGAGCGCCATTGTGCAGCTGGGCTCCACCTCGGGGCGCACCCTGGTGGGCGCCACGGCCACCACCCCGTCCTCCACGGAAGGGCGGTCCGCCGCGTCCGGCACCGGGCTGACCAGGCTGGGCGTGGAGACTGTTCTGGTGGCCGCCACGTCCCCGGTGTCCACCTCTTCCTCGTCCCGGAACAGGTCCACCCTGCTGCACTTGCGGCTGTTGGGGCGGAGGCTGCTGGGCGAAGAGAGGCGGCTGAGGGTGGGCCGTCGCGTGCTCCTGCGCGAAGGCGGCGTGGTTGAAGCTGCCTCCGCCTGAGAGACGACGCGCGGCGACCTTGGGTGAGACGGGCTTCACGTGCTTGATGGGAGCAGGGTGCTGGCGAGGCTGAGGGTGCGCCTTGCCGCCGTTGCCCAGCAGTGTGGCCTGGAGACGGTTCTGTTGCGACTGAGCAGCGAGAGCAGCCTCGGATGGCTTCTGGCCCTTGGCGGCAGCGCCATACTTGAGCTCGCCGACGGGAGGAGCAATGCTGTGCTTAGGATTCTTGGCGATCTTGACCGGGTTATGCGCGGCCGCAGTCGAGGGCTGATAGTTCTTAGGCGCAACAACGGGGCGCGGGCCGAGCTGAGGCTTGAACTCGGCCTGCTGGCCGACAGCCCTCGGGGCCGTGTTAGACGAGACCTGGAGCTGAGGGCGGGTCAGGTTGAGCACAGCCGTGAACGGCACGGTCGAGCCACGGTACTCGGCGCAGCGTCCGCCAAGCGTCTCGCCGCCCATGAAGGGCACGTCCCAGACGACGTCGATGTCGCGAGTGTTAATGCCGACAACGACTCCCTTCATGGCGAGGGGCACACCACCGGCGGCACGGTCCTGGGCCATCGTGACACGGTCTCCAAGACAGAACTGCTGTCCCTGGAGACGGTACTGCGAGTGCTCGGGCTTGAAGACAGCCTGGCGGGGGATGCCCTTTACGAGGGCACGCTTGATGGTCTCGCGCGACTTCTGCTGGCGGAAAAGATCCTCAACGTGCTGGATCTGCTGCACGGCCTCCTTCTCGAGCTGCTCTGAGAAGAGGCTGACAGGGTCGAGGTCAGTGAGGCCCTCGGTCTTGAGCCACTTGTGCATAGCACGAACAACCTCGATGGGGTTCTCGGCCGACGGCGCAAGCTCCTGGGCGGTGACCATATCACCGCTTCGGTTGTCGAGGTGGCGGAACGGCTCGGGGAACGCCTCCTTGTAGCGCTTGAGAATGTCAAACGTCTTCTCCGAGAACTCCCATCCGCGGTCGTTCTTGCGCGAGTAACCGAGGACCTTGAGGCCCTTGGACTCGAACTTGAGCGCAAGACCGATGTTCGTCTTCTGGTTGCCGTTGAGCGACACCATGAGCGTCGAGGTGATGCGCGAGAGCGCCAGCGATGAGATGCCGAGGCGACGGGCGAGGACATGAGAGGGGTAGTAGTGCGAGCTCGGGCGTTGGAGAACGATGCTAGTGAACTGAACGTTCTCGCGCTGCTCGTTGGGGAAGAACGCAATCTCAATGTTGAGCGCGTCCTCGGTCGTGTCGATGACCTGGGCAGCGACACCGTACGCCATGGCGCCGAGGAAGATGACCTTGGTGCCCTTGGGGAATTCCTCGGCGATGGGCGGCGCAGGCTGCTCAGTGTAGCGCTCGTCCTCAACGGCGATGCGGTCGACAGCCATCTGGCGCGCCTGCAGGATCTCCTTGTCGGCACCCTCGTAGTCCTTGACGAAGGCACCAGTGTCGAGGTGCTTCAGGCCCTTCAGGGGCCTAATGTGAAGCACGACATCGACGCTGCCGGTGATGACACCGTACCTCTTGGAGTAGTGGTGCTCAATCTTGTCCGCCTCCTTGCGCCACTTGACGGCACCGAAGCCGTCGTGGTGCTTCGAGACGATGTTCATCTTGCGACCAGACGCCTGCAGGTGGTACTTGCAGCTGTCGTCCGAGACGGCGGCAATGATACCCTCGTGCAGGTACGGCCACGAGTGGAACGTCTTCTGGCCGAGGAGCTTCTTCGCAATCTCGGCCGTCGAGTCCGTGTCGGGCTTCACGCGCATAGTGACGACCATGGACTGGTTCTTGCTGTCGGTCTGGAACACATTGACGTGGTGGTAGCCGAGGGAGCCCTGGTGCGGCAGCGTGTCCATCGACGGGAAGCCGGCAAGGAGCTCGCCTCCGAGGCGCACTCCCTCAAGCAGACCGTTGATAAGGTCAACGCCATCGCCGATCGCGGGGAGCGTGAACGGCTCAGCCTTGCACTGGCACGCGACGAGGTCGGGGAAGAAGCCCGGCAGCGACGAGGGGTAATTCGTCAGCTGGGTGTCGTCGTGCGTGAACTGGGTGGCCGGAGTGTCGACACGGTTGCGACCCTTCTCCTCGGGCGTCAGACGCTGCTCGCGCTGGGCCATAGTGCGGAGAAGACGGTCCTCATTAATGAACGGAATCTTCACGACAGCCTCCCAGTCCTGCTTCTTGCCGTTCATGTCGAGGTCGAAAATCTTCGGGTAGAAGTCAATAATCGGGGATGTGTCCTCATACATGAGGTCACGGTAGGCTTGCGGGACGTGCTCCTGAGAGTCGGCCGGCAGCACTCCCATGAGCTGCTGGAAGGGCAGGAATGGCTTGCCGATGTCGAAGTCAAACTTGAAGCTGGCAATGTCCTTCAGGTCCGAGATCATGGGCGCATAGTGGTAGTTGTAGAACCAACCCCAGGCCGGAACACCCTTGTAGTAGTAGTAGAGAATCCACTGGAGGCCCTCGATGTAGCGGTACACGATGGGGTGGAGCTCCTCCTTGTTGTCCCAGTTGATGTCAAGCTTCTCCTTGTAGTACTTCTTCTTGGTCTCCACGAGCTTCTCATTGAGCTTGTCCTCATACGAGGTCTCAAAGTCCTCGATGTCGTTGTCGACGACCTTGGCCTTGTCGTACTTGTTGAAGACGCGGGCGATGGCGGCCTGGCTCTCGAGGTCCTCCTCGGACTCCCATTCGCCCTCGCTCTCCTCGGCGTCCTCTCCGTCCTCCTGACCCTCGGTCTTCTCGGTCTTCTCCGGTCTGTCGTCGGCCGGATCAACGTTGAAGCCGAGGACGATCAGCGGCTGTCCGTACGAGTCCTCCTCATCCCAGGTGCACCGGAGATTGAGGTTGTCCGCGAGCTCCTGCACAAATTTGCGGTCGCGCTCAGGGAGCGTGTTGACAATCTCGAGGCGGTCCTTCGAGCTCGGGCGGGACTGGTACTTCGTGACAAAAGTCTGGATCTGCTTGAGAATTTTCGCCTGGTCCTTGGTGATGATGAGCTTGCCCTTCTTCTTGGCCTTCTCCAGGGCGGCGATTTCCTTTTCCCGGCTGCCCTTGAACCAGTTGGCGTCCATGTACTCCTCCTCGAAGCGCTGCTTCTCGTATTCGGACAGCTTGTCGAGCAGGAGCTGCAGGCGCGGGAGCGAGATGGTACCCTTGTCATTCAGGTAGCCACCAGCCTGGGGCAGGATCTCCTTGTAGATCTTCCAAATCGTCTCGAGCGCACCCTCGTTGATGTGCAGGCCCGGCAGATGCGGCAGGAAGTCATTTCCGACGAAGAAGCCCATGAGGATCCAATCGTCGATAATGCGCTCGAGGTCGTACTCGAACGAGATGGACTCCGCAACCGACTGGAACTCCATGTCTAGATATTCACGCAGCAGCGACAGGTGCAGCAGGAACATGTTCGAGTTGGCGAGCGAGACGTTCTTCTTCGCCTTGCGGCCGAACGTGACCTCCTCACGGAGCAGACTGAAGTGCGGGTCGTGGCTGATGAGACCGAGCATGACCAGGTCGGCATCGAGACCGTAGAGACAGTGGCGGGTGTTGGGGTTGTAACCGGGCTGAGCCTTCGTTTTACGGATGAAGTCCATAATCTTGTGCTCTCCTTCTCCCGGGACCTGGGCGTCAGCTACACCTAGGGATCGAGCAGCTCACCTCATGACCGCTGAGGATGACCTTGACGCCGCGCCACTCGGCGTCCTCAGAGATGCGCTTGCGAACGTAGTACTTGAGGTGCTCGGACAACCTGGCCATGAAAGGTGTTCCTGTCCGTTAGCTGACGCTGTGAATTTAGCAGCTGAAACTCACCAGGAGTGATACAGTTGGAGTCGAAAGCCTTCTCCTCCGGGAGCGTTTCTCCCTTGCGGAGAGCCTCCTCGCGCTTCTCGCGGGCGTCGCGGGCGGTACGGAAACGACGAGAGCGCTGTTGGTTCATCTTGGCACGAGGCGCGACACCATCGATGGCCATGAAGAACACCTTGCGAGGCTTGATCTTCGTGAACAAAAAGTCGATGTACGCGAAGATGGCGAGGATCATCTGTTCCTCGGTGATACGGAAGTGCGGGTCATCTTCAGATGACGGAGGGTGAGAGCAGTTGTGGATGATACCGTTCTGTGGTCAGTCGTTGCGGGTGCTGGTGGCGCACCATATCCAGGCTGCTGTTAGCTGTGGACCTCCAACGATGAGCTCACTAGAGGTTATCAAACACCGGGATCGAGTTAGGTGTGATCAGCTGCGAGGTAAGAGGATACCTCTCAGAGATCCATCGGAAGAACTGCGCGTCAGGTCGTGATCGAGGTGCGCATCATGCGCGGTGCTGATGGCTGATGCGAGGCAGCACATACTTTGGGGACACCTGTCTGTCAGTTACCGACCCCGATCCTAACTCACCCATCGTGGACAGAAAGCTACACTAGGAGTACAAACACGAGTCGAAAATTGATGACTGTCGCGTCTTTGCGCTGATAGTAAGGGATGAAGTGGATTGCGGGATCCAGCCGCGAATAGACGGGGGCTCTTTGCGTTCTTGCCTGCGAAGGGTATGAGTTGTGTGTGATGTGGGGTATCGAGCTCGCTTGTGAGCGTTGAGCCGAGTACAGAGGTATGCCTGCGATGCAGGCTGTAAGAAGATGTGTGTAGAGTCAAGAGGGAGTGCGGGGGATGGTGCGCTGTTACATGGAGAACGCAGGATCAAGCTCTGCCAGGCGGTAGTCTCTGGCAGGATCCGCGCGCGTCGAGTCATTGCCCTGGCTGGCGACCCGCCAATTGATAGGCGGCGGCGGCCATAGGCGTGGAGAAGACATCACGTGGCGATTATCATTTTGCTTCCGCTCTCGGCTCTGGCTCTAGGCTGGGTCCGGTGGAGGTCTCAAAGATCGGAGTAGAGCTCGGCCCGGCCGTTCTGGCTCGGAGGTGGAGGGAAGACAGGAAAGTTGGCATCGCGCTGCCTCTTGTCAACAACTTCCAATACCATGTCCGCAACCGAGGCTGGCAACTCTGCCGACGCTGGTAGCTCATCACAGTCGACCCCGAACGAGGTCCCCGCTGGCTTTGAGCGGTGGCGCCAGTCCCTCGCCCGCTTCACCGGCATGGGCCTCAGCGACGAGGAACGGGCAGAGCGCGCAAAGTACGACGAGCAGGTCAAGCTCGCCACGGACTGGGACCGGTGCGAAAAGTGGAAGTCGGAGCTCATGACGAGGAGTGAGTATGGCTCTGTGCGGCTCCGCGCCAGCAGATCCGTCAGCAGAGCGTCCTCGAACGCCCGTCCTCCGATAATCTCGATGGACGAGGTGACCGGGGAAAACAACAAAGAGTCCGGATCGCTAACAACTCTAAGGCCCCATGATCATCTTCATGCTGAAGCAACTTCGGTTGGCGGGATGCGAGTTCCCGGCGTCGGCGATGCAGTGCCACCCGTGTGACGAGACGCGTGTCGGTGGTTTCTCTCCAGAGCACGGTATCCTCATGTGCCAGAACCGGTTCATGAACAAGAAGCACATGGAGGACACACTCGCCCACGAGATGATCCACGCGTTCGACCACTGCCGCTTTAAGGTCGACTGGAGCAACCTCCGGCACCATGCTTGCTCAGAGGTGAGTCTATTTTTGCATTGTCCGTGGGGTATATTAGTCTACAGATGTGTGATCGCTACAAATCTATGGTGTTGTTACACTACTATACAGTTGTTGTTACACACCTACTCTTACCCTCCCTACTCCTTCCTTCTCTACTCCTTGCGTCTCCTCTCCCCCTCCTCTCTCTCTTTCCGCTCTCCTCCTCTCTCCTCTTCCCCGACGACCGTCGCTGACCCCAGATCCGCGCCGCCAATCTCTCAGGAGACTGCAGGTGGGGCCGTGAGATCGAGCGCGGACGCTGGTCCTTCTCGAAGCAGCACCAGGCGTGCGTGAAGCGCCGCGCCGTGCTGTCCGTGATGCAGCACCCGTTGTGCGACGGACAAGAGGCCGCCGAAAAGGCCGTCAACGAGGTCTGGGAGTCGTGTTTCCGCGACACTAGGCCGTTCGATGAGGTGAGTGCGCGCCGAGGAAGGCACGAAGGGCCGATCGAGGGTTGGCGGTTGGTCGTTGGTGGACCGGTTGAAGGGTCCCGGTAATTGGTGAACCAGCGATGTGGTTCGAGTGGCGGTTTGGTCTGCAGTGTAAGCTGACGTGCAGATCTACTAGACCTAGAAGACTTACATGTATCACTACCATTCCCACGAAGTGGAGGAGGACGTCTCGCGGAGGCGTGGGTCCCGATAGGGAGCCAAGTCGCCTCGTCCCTCCTCCAATGATTGGACGGCGGTCCATTCGTCGTATGGGTTGGGGAGGACCGCCGTCTCTTGATCGCCTCTTGGACGCCTTCTCGTTGTCGGCCCGTTGGGAAGATAGGAGCTGAAAAGGCGAGGGCGATGAGGAGGAGGACGTCTCGCGGAGGCGTGGGTCCCGTTGGGGAGCCAGGCACCTCGTCCCTCCTCCATTTGGACGGCGGTCCATCGTTGTGAAGTTTGAGAGGACCGCCGTCTCGATAGTCGACGAGGCGGAGGAGAACACTGCATGCTGTTGCATGGAGATGTGAGTCCCGTTGGGGAGTCAAAGCACCTCGGTTCCTCCTCCAAAACAATTCCGCTGCGGCTGGGTGTGCCCATGGCTGCTGTGATGAACGCTGGCGGAGTGTTGGGTCGACAGTTCGCTGTCGATTGACGATGGACGATGGAGGTTGTAATGATTGTGGCGGCAGTCCAACTCAGAGGGAGGGTCCTTCCCTCAGTCTGTGTCGGAGGTCGCGCCGCGCGAGTCACGCCGAGGTCCTTCCTCGTGTGCTCGCAGTCGGCGGGACTGGTGGTCTCCTGAGGCCGGTAATCCGGGAGCCAGGAGCCAGTGCCCTTTGCGGGAGGCCTGCTGCATCACGCCCATGTGGGTCGAGTGCAGACGAGGGCCGGGTTGTTCACCGCGTGTGTCGTACGTGGAGGTCGAGCAGAGGCGGGTCGTGCGAGTGCGCCTCGCTGGCAGGACTTCCTCGAGTAGGGCAGACGCCGTGTCTCCGAGTGCTCGAGGGGTCAAGTGCCGAGCGAGGGCCGGACAGAGCAGCACTGATGACGAGTACTGACGTGCTGATTCCAGAACGTACTGATCTCGGCGTTGCTTGTCCGGGTGATCTGGGTCGCTTCGGCGGGGTATGTCGTGTCCGAAGACGGGTATGAGCCCGTGCGTGGGCGAGCCGAAATGGCGTACGGCGTGGACCTTGGGTCCAGAGGCCGCAGCCGCGTCCGCGCCTCTCGCCGCGATCCGTGCCGGTTCTGCATCCAGGTCATGACTTCAGCGCAGGCTTGTAGCAGACACGGTCTGTCGACCGCGCTGGTTCTGCGTCCAAAGTGCAAGCCACTGGTGCAGGCTTGTAGCGGCGACGGAGCGCATTGAGGAGGGCTCGGACGGATGAAAAGTGCCGCTCGCATCGGGCCGTGCTGGTTCTGCCTACCGTGGAGGGGGCAGGCTTGTGGCAGCCACGGCCGCTTTGAGGGCGCCGGCGAACCGGTAAGAATGTCGCAAGCGCGAGTCGAGGTGACCGAGGCAGCCGAGGAGCCGAGACGAGCGAGAGAAGCCAGGGCGAGCGAGACCGAGGTGCCGAGGGAGCGAGTGACCATGACGAGCGACGAGCGGCGCACCGAACTACCTACCACCTGGAACGGGGGTAGGAGTTGATGGCCTCGACCGCGGCGATGAGGGCGCGGCGTGCGGCCTGCGCCCTGTCGTCACGGACGCGGATCCAGTCGAGCGAGCCCGGCTCGTGCCTCACGGCGACGAGCGCGAGACGGTTGAGGCGCTCGATGTGCTCGTGCGCGGCGTCGCGCCCCGCGCTGAGACGCAGGAGCACGTCGACCGCATAAGCGTGCTCGTCGCGGGCGGTGTCGAACCTGCGGCGCTCGGGGTGCCGGGCCTCGAAGTCGGCGCGGAAGCCTGCCAGGTTGATCGGGCGCCCGGCGTTGAGACGCTCGGTGACCCACTGCTCCCTCTCCTCGAACTCGATCTCCGCCACGTCGTGCATCCTGGAGCGGATCCAGAGGTCGCTCGCTGCATCGCCGCGTGCCTGTGCCTCCTCCTCCCACGACTCGACCTCGGCGTCGAACGTGCGGAGCGTCACGGTTGCCGCGGGGGCGTAACCGATCGGCTCCGACTCGAGCGTCAAGGGCTCTTCCTCTCGCGCGACGGGGTTGGCGATCCGCAGGCGCTTGGCATGCGGGCTCGCCCCGTCGTCCTCCTCATCCACGCGCTCGCGCTTGAGGCTGCCGGAAGGGGCCGGCGAAGGGGAGGGAGGCTGCCAGGACGCGCTCCTGTACGAACGGCCCGAGGCAGCGTCGCCGCTGGAACCCTCGGAGCCGCTGCCGTCCTCGTCCTCGTCGTTCTCCTCCTTGTCCTCCTCCTCCTCCTCCTCCTCCTCGGAGCTCTCCTCCTCAGAGCTCTCCCCTTCTTCTTCCTCCTCCTCCTCCCCCTCCTCCTCCTTCGGCTCCTCGACGGCGTCCGAGCCCTCGTCACAGGACCAGTACTCGGACTCGCCCGAGGCCTCTTCCTCGCTCAACTCGCGAAGCGAGTCCTCGACCTCGTCCACGGAGGCCGGGTTGTCGGCGGGCTGAGCAGCCGCACCGGCGAGCGCAGTAAGGATCTGCGCGGCGTGGGCGGTGGTGGGCGAGGGCGAGGCGAAGCGGGGGCGAGAGGCGGAGCGGTCGGGAGAGGCGGAGCGGTCGTAAGGCGACGCGGAGCGCCTCCCCGACCCGCTGGGGCCAGGGGTGGCGTTCCGCGACGCGGCGCGCTGACGAGCGCGATACGCCTCGTACCCCGGGTATCCGGGACGAGGGTGTGAGCGGCGCTCGTCGTCGTCGCGGTCGTCGTAGCGGTACTCGACCCAGTGCCAAGTACCGCGCATCGGGCCGATGGAGCCGTCGTGCTGACCCCGTACGTGGGAGACGGGGTTGGGGGAGTTGCGGGCCGAGCCATCTGAAAAAGGCGTCAGTTTGGCGTCCGTGTCAACCCAACTTACAGCTCGACTCGCCCTTGTTGGAGTCCTCCGAAGAGGACGAGGCGGGCTTGGGTGCGTCGCCGGCTGTTCTCAGCACTAATCCGAGGATGGACTTACCAGAACCGCCGGTCGACTTGCCCTTGCCCTTGTTCGAGCCCTTGCGGGTCTCGGCCTTGGACTCGGAGTCTGCCTCGCGGTCTGCGTGTCAGTTTCGAAGTGAGCCGATCAACTCACCAGACTCCTCGTCGTGGACCTCCGACGAGGCGGGGGTGGGGACCTCGGCGTCGGGCTCCGGCGAAGTGCCTGATGCGTTAGCTTGACCGAAGCAGTGGAATAAGCTTACCAGAACCCTCTGTCTCGGCGGCGGAGGGGGAAGCGGGAGACGTGGGAGGCGCAGGGGGGTTGACGGCGACGCCAGACCCGGTCCTGGCCTCATAGACGATGCTGGCGACATCGCCATGCTCGCCGTGGGTGACTGGATGTCAGCAATGCCTAGAGGTTGGGACTCACTGGTCACCTTGCCCTTCGAGCGCGTGACGCGCTCGTAAGGGTTGAAGGTGGGGGGAGGGTAGGGAGGGTTGGTGGGAGCGGGGGGCATGATGCCGGAGTTGAAGTTGTTGCTGATGTTGAGGGTTGGAGGTAGGTAGTGATGCTAGTCGTCTGGGACGAGTAGAAGAACAAGTCGATGTGAATCGATGATGGAGAAGAAGACGAGGATAGCCAACGAGGACGTTTATTTAGTCTCGGCGTTGGGGGCACGATATGCTCGCCGCGCGAGGTGCGCGACGTGCGTGCCAAGGCTCGGAGGACGTGTGCTGTGCACGAGTGTGCGACAACGGCGCGAGGAGAGCGCGAGAGGAGCGCGAAGTGCTCACCGCATTGGGGAAGTGACAGGTCCAAGGAGGTATGTAGGTGTGTAGCTGCGGAGCCGGCGGCCTGGAGGAGCATCGAGGAGGAAGGCGGGGGAGGAGAGGTTCGGCGATGACTGAGTCGAGGAGGGGCTGGTCGTGTGTGCCAACGGTCTCGCACTCTCGCCTCTCGTGCGAGAGTGCCCAACTGAGGAATCTGAGTGTATGTCGGACGACGTCCTTGGCTCGGCGGTGGAGAGCGGGCTGGCAAGATGGGCTCTTCCTTGCACCCTTAACTACTGCTGGGGGTGCAGAAGTGCGGAGACGTGCAGGCGTCATCGCCCAGCTGATGCAAGTCTACTGCCTGCGCTCGTCTACCACCTACCCCCGTCTGCAATATGCGCTCTCTCCTGCCCTGGTGGGAAGTCTCGGCGTACGAACTGGGGCGCACACAGCACACCAGATCCGCACGAGCCATGTACTCACGACGAGGCCGCGACACCGTCCTCGACTCCGGGGCGAGGGCGCAGAGATGCGGCTCTTCAACCCCGGAGCGGAGCTAGGAAATGTCGATAAATAGAGTCTTTTTGAAGGGAGGGAAGAAAGCGGCGTTGACTTGTGGGAAGAAGCACATTGACCAGGTTTATATGCGGTTCCTCGTACATGCGGACAAATGTCCCACATCGCCCATCAACAATGACCCAGCACCGCCGTCGCATTGTGATGCCCAAGCGTGGCCAGTGTATGAATTCTCACACAAAGCATCAGCATTTCAGCCTTGCGCAGTGAACGAAACAAGACTTCCTGATGGTATCCAGCCGCTGATGGACACACGACTCGTCACCATCAAAGTCAGTCGCGCCCCGCCATTCCGCCACACCGCTCTGACCACGTGACCACCATCCACTCTCAAGCACGAAAGTCAGTCACGACCTCGCACAGCACAAGTACTGGCTCAAGAAACGAGGCATGCATGTATGAAGACAAAGGCAGGCTCTAAGCGGCCCAATTACACTAGCTCTAGTACTACTTCTTATGTACGACTATTCGCTTCAAGACACCATTATTATTATTACTCTCCTCAACTACAGCCACCATTCAGTGGCGCTACATCGTTCAAAGGGGGTTTCGCCCGTCGCTCGAGTCCTGCTCGAGACAGCGACCAGCATGGGTGGTAGAAGATGACTCTGTCATAGCTTGGCCACGGGAGTCTGTCAGTTCTTCAGAGTCTTCTTAAGCTCGTCCCTGAGCTTGATGGCCTCATTGCCGAACTCGGCGTAATAGTAGTCGGCATACACGAGCCCGGTGTCCATGGACGGTTCCTCGGCGTGCTCGTTCCCATTGATGGTCGAGTGCATGAGGATGGGCTCCCACCCCCCTTCGCCCCAGTTGACCTTGCCGTCCTCGAGCTTGGCGGGAGGCGCTCTGCACTCCCGGTTCACAGAGTCGATGAGGTCAAACGCCGAGGAGAGGTAGTGGTCGGCCGCTTGGGGATCGTGATCGCGCAGCACACGGTAGAGAATCAAAAGACCAGAGGCGGTGATCGTGGCGGCGGACGTGTCGTAGACGAGCGGGTTGCGGGGGGCGTCAAAGTCCCATGCTGGCAGACCGGAGGATTCGAGACGGGACAGGAAGGCATCGGCGACCTTGCGTGTCGTCGCGAGGAAGTCCTTCCGTCCTGTGCGGTGCGACATCTGCGCGTAGCCGTAGATTGCCCAAGCCTGACCGCGGGACCAACACGAGTCGTCCGAGTATCCTGGGAGTTAGCGTTGAGTGAAGAGAGGCGCATGACAACGGTCGCCATTACACCACCAGCCACGGCGTCTGTCGACGCCGTTCCCGCACTCACCTTGATGCGTCATCCTTTCGAGAACTTGCCCATCATGCCCAAAGTTGACAACGTGCCAAGTAGTCCCGTCCGGGCGCACATGCGCCGTCTGCATCTTGTCCGCCTGCGAGATGGCCATGTCGCGGTACTTGTTGTCTCCGGTCCACTCGCTCACGTCAAAGAGGAAGTCGAGGTTCATCAGGTTGTCAACAATGACGAGGAAGTGCTCGTTCTGGTTGTCGCGCCGGTATTTGTCGGGGACGCCGACCTTCTTCATCTGGTTCCAGGAACGGATGCAGCCGATCTGGCGTCAGCCCAAGCACACGAGCGGAGCGAGTGTGCGTGGTATAACTAGCATGCGAGCGCAGCGAGTGTGTCTAGGTCTGCGTACCCCGGACGGGAGCGAGGCTAGTAGCTTGAACTGGCGCCGCGAACTGGAAGCTGCCGCATTGGCAGCAGGTTGCAGCTTCGCTTGCACCCAAGCCTACTCACCTTAGGATCATACCTGTCCCAAAGACTCTCCGCGGCCTCAATCAGAACAGTCTTGCACTCCTCGTTCCCCGTGAGCTTGAGCTCGCGCCCGTAGCTGCTGGCAAAACGGAACCCCTGGTCATGGTTGATCGCCGTGCGTGCGTGTTTCCGGAAGGACGCCTGCCACTCGCGCGCCATGGACTCGAGGTCGTCGGTCGTGTATGGCCAAGGCAGAGAGCCCTTGATGAGACGCTCACGCTCGAGCGTCAGCCAGAGCAGGCCGGGGAAGAAGCCTTGCGTCCAGGCTTTGTCGACTGGGGTGTTAGCGCGGGCGTTACGCGGGAGGTATGGGAGAGGACGGGGTTGCTGCGGGATAAGTCTGGACAGGCCTTTGTCTCGGAGCAGTTCAGACGGTACGTGGGATGGGGAGGATCGACGCCGCCGATCCATGCCGCCCGGCCGTAGACTGCCGCGACAGTCCCACCTGCATCTTTCTGACCTTCCCTCCTCACTATTTCCTCGCTGCATCATCACGCTTCGCGCTCGGCGGGCAAGCCACTCACCATTCTTCATCACATAGTTGTTCGGTCCGCCCGGCGTTGTGAACTCGGGGAGACCAGTGATGTTCTCGACCTGGGAATCAGCTATCGCACACCAGCTAGCTGCTTGTTTGCCTCTCTGCGATTCCTCTTTCTCGTGGATCGGTATCGGTGCGCTGCCGGGTCCGGCGCCTCAGCCCGGAGACCGGCCCTCGGACCCGACATGCCCACCGACATGATCTCTGCGATGCCTCCGCTTCACCTCGGTGCACCAATCACAGCCCCAGCACCGAGTTCATCTCTCGCGGAAGGCCAGCAGACCAACCCAAGCCAAGCCAAGCCAAGAGAGGCAACACTCACATTCGGCGGCCCGGGGGGAAGATACTTGTGGCTAACCTCCACGACACGGATGGGGTCGCTGGGCGTAAAGCTGTCCGCGAGCGAGGCAGGAAGCGCCGCGACGCGCGCAAAGGCCGAGGGGGAGCTCGAGCTGGGCATGACTATGGCCGTGGTCGTGCGTTGGGCGCGGGGCGTGCTGGGCGTTCTGTTCTATTCTCGTCGTGCGTCTTGTCTTGGGTCGGAGGAAGGTGGAGGACTGGGTGGAGGTGGCTTGGAGGAAGGTCCGCAGAGTTGTCCGAGTGCGGGGAACTTTTCGTCGTTGTCCTTCGAAAGTGTCGGGGCGTCGGCTCGATGGGGAAAGGGAAGACAAGAAAGCGTCGAGAGGAAGATGTTGAGGAGGTTGGAGTATGGATATATGAGGGAAGACGGCTATGATGGGAGAGAGTCTAGGGATCGGCTCAAGACGGTCCACCTACGGGCTTACGGTCCGCAGTCCAGCAATCACGCGTAAACAACCCGACGTGCGCACACCAAAGCGACCCAGGCGATCGGGCGAAACCTTACTTCTTGCTGCCTCTCCTCGGCCGGTCTCTTCGTCCACGATCGTGCGAAAGGATAGGGAGCCGTGTGTGCGTGTGAGTTGTAACAAGTAGAGCCAGGCCCCAACTTTATCACTCCGTTTATCACTTCCATCGCTCCTACAGCAAACTCATGTGGACAAGTGAGGGAAAGGACATCGGCTACTTCCGCCATACTTCCCCTCCGCTCGTCCTGGGGCCTACTTCCGTCATACACCCTTCCTTCCATCGTTCCCTTCGTCTACCGGCTCATCTTCAGAGCCCTTACTGCAGAGACAGCGGCGGATACTCGCATGTACGCCAGGTACATCCACAAATACCCAGATGCCCACAGGCCCAGATACACAGAGACAACAAATGACCAGTTCTACCGACTCGCACCGACGCCCAGCGTGCCTCCCCTCCCTCCGCGACGGCCCTCATGCTCCTCTGGACCTTGGAGACCGAATCGAACTGGCCTCGAAGCAAGGGTAGTTCCACCTGTATCCGAAGGACGTCCAGCTGACCAACACTGGCCAGTGTTCTGGAACGTCGGAATGCAGCATGGAACACCGATTTCTCGGCTTTGTCCGATGCTCGATCCTCAATCCGCGATATACTTTCCACTGCATTTGCACACATGCACCTAAGACGCGCCGGCACAGAGCAAAAGCTGCATTCTCCCAAAGACTGAGGGCTACAACTTCTGCCAGTCTACTGCTCTATCTACTACCATGCTGCTCCAAATGTCGTCGCGCCTACGGCACACCTGAGACGGTGACTAACGGCTCATAAGACCCAGGAGACCACCACCGACCGGCGGCCGGGGCACGGGCTGGTGCACGCTCGGACTGGGGGGATTGGGCGGTCCGACGGCGGGTTGCTGCACCGACTGCGCGGGCGCGGGCTGAGGCTGGGGCATCGACTGATGCTGCTGTTGCTGTTGCTGAGGAGGCTGCTGTTGAGGCTGCTGTGGCTGAGGAGGATGCTGGGGCTGAGAGGGAGGTTGCTGGGGGTAGGTGTTGTATCCGTAGCCCATCTGCGGGTTCATCTGGGGCGGAACGTTCGGTGCACCAGGGGAGGGGTACGGCGCATAGCCGGGCGGCACCTGAGGCGCACCCTGCGGTACCTGCTGAGGGTACTGCTGGTTGTAGCCGTTGAACTGCTGAGGCATCTGCTGCTGAGGCACGGGAGGCTGCTGCATGTGCGGCGGCGCCTGGCGGCCATTGAACAGGGCACCGAGGAGGGCGCGCTGGTGGTCGTTGGCCGGCTGGGGAGGTTGAGGCTGCTGATAAGACTGGGGAGGCTGCTGATACTGCTGAGGGGGAGGTTGTTGGTAAGCCTGCTGGGGCTGGGGAGGCTGCTGATAAGCCTGCGGTTGAGGCTGAGGCTGGGGCGGGGCGGGATACCTCTGCGAGTTGTGGAGGGCTGTCTGACGGAGCTGGTTCTGCGGATATCCGCCGCGCACAGGCGAGCCGGGGATGCCTCGTGGCGAACCCGGCATGGGCAGGCGCTGGTATCCCGGCGTTCCGGGCGGACCGTGCAGGGCCGATTCTTGCTGGCCGTACCATCCTCCTTCAGCGGGCGGGAGAGGCGGCATGGGCGACATCATGCTCGATGCGCTGACGGCGCGAGGCGGGGGTGTAGCAGCGGTCTGCTCGCCGACACCGCCGAACGATGCTTCAAGCAGTGCACGCTGGCGCGCCATCTGGTCCTCTGGCGGAGCCTGCTGATGCGGCTGCTGAGGACCCGACGACAGCATGTTGAGGAGGTTGCCCTGGTGAGACGCCGGGGGCGGGGTGGGGTCGTGCTGGGCCACCTTGGGCGGCGACGCGAGCATGGAGAGCAAGTTGGTCTGGTGTGTCGAGCGCGGCGGAGTCAGGGGCGCCGGCGCCTTCTGGTTCAGCACCGAGAGGAACTTGGTCTGCTTCTCAGGGAGGGAGGGTTGGAGCTGGGGCGCAGGTGGCGGGGCCGAGACATGCCCGATACCCGAGAGGAGCTTGGCCAGGGCATCGTCGTCGCTGCGCTGCTGCTGAGTCTGGGCCTGGTGACTGCCATCCGAGACCTCGAGCGAGCCGAACAGCCGGTCCAGCGTGCGTGCATTGTCACTCTCGAGCGCGACGGCCGTCTCGTCCTTCTCGATAAACTTGGCAAAGAGGTGATCGAGCGCCGTCGTCGGGTGCGCCTTCTGCGCGGGAGCGTCGTCGAACGCGAACGGCTTCAGCTCGCGCCCGACGGGCCCGGTCTTCTCCTTCCTGCGCGGCGGGTGCGGGTTGTACCCGTGCTTTGAGAGCCACTTCTTCAGCGGGCCCACAAAGGGCGTCACATTGTAGAAGCGCTTCTGGCCCTTCCCGCCGGTACGTTTCGGACCCTTCTTATGGGTCCACGTCGGCAGGTCCGAGAAGGGGACCCACTCGATCGCGCCGATCTCCTTGCGCGTCTGCGTCTCGAACACGGTGCTCTCGTCAATGCCGGGAACGATGAACATGGTGATTTCCTGCGCGTTCACCTGCGTCTTGATGAAATCGTCCTCGTTGATGAGGCCAGATAAGTCAAACCCAGTCTCCTCCTCAACCTTCGGTGTCAGCTAACCACAATTCTGGGGTAGCTCACTTCTCGAATGGCGCAGGACACATCTGATTCTTCACTGTTGATCTTGCCGCGGGGGAAGCACCAGCCGGCATTGCTCTTCCACCCGCGTACCATGAGGACCTTGTCGGCCGTGTCGTTGATGAGGATACCGCCGCAACACGGCACCATCTTCTTGTACGCGCAGTACTCCTCCCACACGGCGTCATAGTCGATGTCGGTGTCGGCGTACAGTGGCGAACTGGCAATAATCAGGTGTGTGAACTGGCGCTGTCCGAGGGAGGGCAGCAGCGGGTTCAGCGGCCGGAGGTAGTCCTCGTAGAACCAGTGCGCCTGCTCTGCCTGCCAGTACACTCTGACGAGTGACATTTCTTCCTCAGGGAGGTTGACGAGGAACCGTGCGTTGAGGTCTTCCAAAACCTCCTCGAACGTCATGTCGCGGAAGATGTTGTCCTCACCGCCGTCTTCATCTTCTAACGGCGGTTGTGACGGGGAGGCGGTGATAGGCGGCGTTGGCCCCGGTGCGTAATGTGACATTGCGTCGACGGGGGTGTGAGGGATGGGATAAGAGTGTGTTGACGAATCGGATAGATAAATGCGGCTGTCGATGGAGGATAGGCCACGCGCGCGCTAGATGGTTATGATGTGGATAGCGTGTGTCTCTGTCGTCGTAGCGGGAGTCTAGGTGGCTAGAGGGGTACGAGACAATTGCTGGATGAATGTAGTCAAGGAGGATGACACGACAAGAGCAGCGGCGACGAGTGATCGAGCGAGCCGCCGGTGGTACGGTGAGAGCGTGAGTCAGTTAGCCGTATCTCGAAGAGCGGCGTCAGGCACGGGCAATTCACGTGCGTCCCGCGTGGCGCCTGTCGCGTCGCGGATGATGCCAGAAGTCAGACGACCATAACACGGACAAGAACAAAATGAAGGTGAATGCATATGCGAATGATCGAATGGGTTAATGCTATGTGTTGTCAAGATTACAAGAGGGAGGCGAGACCAGCCGCGAGAGCGGTCAGCGTGAGGCCGACGCTGGCCTGAACACCAATGGCGCCACCAGCGTCTTTGTTGCCGGCGGCAGCGGCTTGGGAAGCGGAGGCAGAGGCGGCAGCCGACGCGCTGGTCTGGCTGGAGATGGCAGAGGCAGACGAGGCGTCAGCCTTGCTGTCGTTCTCAGCCTTCTGCTTGGCCTCCTCGGCCACCTTGTACTCGTAGTTGAGCTTCTGCCACTTGGCTTCCGAGTCGACGTTGTACTTGGTGACGGCGTTCTGGATGTAGTAGATCTCGCCCTTGTTGTTGATCTGTACAACGTCGCTGACACTGGCAGCGTACGCGGCGTCGACATCCTTGAGCTCTGGGGGCGGCAGCAGCTGAGTAGAGTTGATCAGGGCCGCGCCCATCGGCGCACCAGTCGTGTTAAGATAGTCGCCGGGGTTGGTCCAGTGCGTCACAACGTACGTCTGGCTAAAGTCGTCCGGGACGTAGAGCATCTGGAAAGGAGCGCTGTCGTCCGGCGACATGAAGTTGGTCGCCTGTCCCGCGCGGTTCGGGAAGCTGACGCCGTTGTTCTGCGTGGGGTACAGCTGCGTCTGGTTCTGGAAGTAGGCATAGTGGATGACGAAGACCTCGGCGGTCGCATCGGGCGTGTCCGGCACACCAAAGTAGTCTGAAGTCAGCTAACGAGAGGTGCGTCTCCAGCTCTGAACACTCACTGATGTGGTTAGCGGCCTGGGCAGCGGTAACCTTGTAGCCCTCCTTGAACCACTTGGGCGTGCGGACGTTCTCCCATGGAACGGAGCCGCCAGCAACGTTCTTGATCGAACTCATGTCAGCCTGCCAGAGCTGGCCCTGGGGCGTGAGGGTGAAGATGACATTCGTGTCGTGGTCGAGGATGGCGGACGAGCGTGAGTTGCCGATCGCCTCCGGCGGGCTGCTCGACTCCTGCTTGCTCCACGCATCGCCCGCAAAGTCATAGATGTAGATGGCCTGTAAAGTCAGCTGCAGTTCAGCTGGGCGCATAGCTGAAGGGAAAGTATGCCTGTTCCGCGTTCCGCCCAATGAGGCCCATGGCCTGTGCATGGAGCAGTCAGTAGACCCGGCAGTGCGCAGGCCGGTCCTAGCACATATCTTGGGTGTGCCGGACGTGCCAGAAATAGGTTGGGGCCAACGCCGTCCTCTGGTCAACGCCACTCACGCTCTGGTCGCTCTCGTCTGCTCCGAGGACATAGAGAGCGTTCGCATTCTGGGAAAGCATGCACTGCATGTTCTTTCCGGTGAACGGCGGGCGGCCGGTGGCCTGCAGCGTGCGGGGGCTTGGCGCTGTGCGGAGTCAGTGGATAGAGCTCCCGGATCCTGAAATGTCTGGCCCTAAGGGGTAAACGCTATTGAGCTTTTGAGTGGCACCGGTGTCTGGGCCTAGCTCCAGTTCCATGACAGCAAGAGCACACGAGCAACTCACAGCCCCAAGTGTCGGCGGTGCCAAGGGCGACGTCCTGCTCGCCTCCAAAGGCGTAGAGGTTCTTGTCCGAGTCGAACTGCACGCAGGTCGCGGCGGACGCAAGGGCGGGAAGGAGGGTGACGAGGGCGGAGAGGGCGAGCATCTTGGCGGAGGGAAGGGTGGAGGGGTCGGCTGGCGGGGAAAGAGGGAAGAGGGGTGTCGGCGAGAAAGTTGAACAGAGGACGAGGTCGAAGGGATAAGGAGTGTGCTCGATGTGTGTGTGAGAGGAGAGAAGTGTGTGAAGAAGTCGGTCGAGTGGAGTGAGAGATGGCAAGAGGTGATGATGATGTGCGATGCCGAGGAAGGCCAAGGCTTCACATCAAGGCAGGCTAGGAAGGATAGGCAGCTATAGGCAGCCTTGCGAAACGTCGTCGACCTGACAGGACAAAAGAAGAGCCAAGTGTCCGTGGGCACTGCATAGGGCTGCATAGGGCCAAGGAGCAAGCTAGGAGTAAAGCCAGGTCAGCCAGGTCCAACGCCAGGGACAGCAACGTCACCGCTGGGCACAGTGTTCCTGATGGCCCAGTCGATGGCCACAAGGTGGAGGTTGGATTCCAGCGGGTAGTGAGCATCGTGACGGGTCGTTGCGGCGTCTGGCCTCTCAATTGCTATCGCACCGCTGTAAAGGGAAACAACATCCCTGTCCCCCGAACGCCATCATCCATCAACACCCGCCATGTGCTGGCGATTCCCCGTCGCTTACCGCGTAGGCAGTGCAAGCAGTACAATGCAGCAGCGCAGCGACAACTGTCATGTTTAGACTTTCCACCGCCAACAACCTTCTGCCCGTTTGAGCTCAGTCCCTAGCTGCCGCCCTGGACATGACCAGCCCGTGCCTGGCTGGGCAGTTTTCGGCAGTGGTGCGGGACTCCACAACAGCCACGTGATATGCACGCGTATATCGCCGAAAGCGCCGTGCATGTGGCATGCTATGGCGTCAGCGAACCTGCTATCTTGTTGTGCACAACTGCCCTTCGAGAGCTATTTGGTTCGCAAGCACCTCAGAGACACCCACGCACGATGGCCGACATTAACGAGATCGCCAAGCAGGTGAGCTTGAATGCGGTGATAGTAGCTGACAACAGTTCACGGGTGCGTGCGATGCGCAACTAGCTTCAGTTGGCCCCGAACCGCAGAGCTAACTACCAGACTACTACTACAGCACGTTCGACCAGGACAGGTCGCAGCTTGCGCCGCTCTACGTGAGCTCTTTGCATCGTTGCTATAAGCTGACAGACAGCGCGACCACTCCATGCTCACCTGGGAGCAGCAGCAGATCCAGGGAGCCGGTCCGATCGTGCAGAAGCTCGCTGTAAGTCGAATCGAGCGGGTGGTTTTGCGTAGCCGCTCGAGCTCGCGGCTCCCTCTAGGCAATGGGTGCGGGAACATCGTGGACAGCGCAGAACGCAACGCGGGTGGCAACGCATCGAGTCGGCGGAGCGATGGTGCGAAGGCAGCGCTGCCTGCTCACACTCTCGCCGCCCAGCCATCCGGCTCCCTGCCCACTGGCCAGACCTCCACCGGAGCTATGGCCGCGGGTCTGGCCTCGGCCTCGTGCGCGTGCGCTCGCTGTGCAGAGTTACTCGGTAACGCAAAGTGAATGTGGCGAGCTTCGTCTCGCCTATGTTACTCGCGCAGCTGCTCGCCCGGTGGCTAGACCCCGGCCCAGCCCTCCTTACAGTCGATGCTGCGAGTGTCGCAGTCCACCGCAGTCGCAGAAATGAAACCGGGACGCAACCTGCGCTCTCCGCTTTCCTCCGGAGCTAATTTCATGATGCGGCGTATAGCTGACACCCAGGAACTGCCGTTCACGAAGGTCGCCCACCGCGTCGTCACCCGTGACGCGCAGCCGGCGTCGGCCACGGTCGCCTCGATCCTCGTCCTCGTCACGGGCCAGCTCATCGTCGACGACGGACAGAATGTCCTCCAGTTCTCACAAATGTTCCACGTAAGTCTAACGAGGCCACGTCCGAGCGAAGCGAGGGCGTCGGCGACGCGGAGGAGACGACGAGGGAGCGAGTGAAGTCTCATCATTATGGCCGCCAGCGGTTTGCAGTGTGGTTGCGGCCGCGTAGACCGTGATGAGAGTGGGCGGGAAAGCCGAGGACGCGGGAATACCGCATCTCGCTCGCCTTTCTACACACCGCCGCCGTCGCTGAATGTACAGCCTCGCAGCCTCGCTCCGTCCCACGGCCCTCAGCTTACATACGTTCGGGCAAAGCTAACACCCAGCTTGTCCCCGACGGAGGCTCGTACTTTGTCCAGAACGACGTCTTCCGCCTCGTGTACGGCTAGACTATCCTTACGAGTTGATGCATTATATTACGACAGCGACGCGGCGCGAGCGCAGCGAGCGGCGAGGGCCCGGGCAGGGGAGCGCGGAGCGCGGAGCTGTGCGAACGGAGGATCTGAGGCGGGGAGCACGGAGCCGAACAAATCGCAGGGAGCAGAGAGACATCGGAGGCGGATCCCCATGCGGGAGAATGGGCAGAAGGCTGCCAGGCGCCAGGCGAGCGATCGCGAGCGAGGCGCTGCGGCTGGAGAGCACGCAAGATAGTAGAGGACGAGAGGGAGGCAGGGGCGCGCAGGGCGGAGTGCTAACCCGACACTGACAGTAGAGGCAGAGGCAGACACAGAGACAGTGGAGGACGAGCGTGGGAAACGCTGAATCTGGGAGAGGGCGTCTCCGACCTCGAGTGTACAGGATGGGTTTCTGGATCCCGGTGAGGACTTCCAGTCAGCCGCGTCCGTGGGAGATCGTGGGAGAGCTTGGATCTAGCGAGGACGACCGAGTCAGTTAGGTGCGAGCAGTCGACAGTCAGTGTGCCACTTGAGTGTTCCTGTGGCATGAGGGGGCTCTCAGTTCGACCCCAATCACGATGCAACGTCACGTCTGACTTGCAGATTGTGAGAAGAAGAAAAAATGAGAAACATACTTTACAGATTCTATATGTGTATTAAGATATAAACTCGGCGCCAATGCTCGTCAGCGCCAGAGTACCATATGGCAAATGAGGCCGCCTTGGCGTCCACGTCCAACGTTTTAGTGCACGCCCTCCTCCCGATCCTTGGTCCACTGCTGAATCCACCCCTCAATCCGTCCCACATTGTCCTCGACCTCGTTGTCGCCTCCCGATCCGTCCGATTTCAGCTCGACGACAATGTTCTCGTCGTATGACTCGCGCGTCTCGGTCAGACACGTCATCATGATTTCGGCCGTGATGTTCTCCTCGATCTTGTTGTCGGCGTAGTTCCTGGATGTCAGCTGGGCTCGATCGAGGTGAAGCTGGGACGGGGAGAGCGGCGGAGCATGAGAATGTGAAAGGCGATAGGTCTGGGTGCATGGAACCGGCTCTATTGAGGCAGAGCTGTAGTCGGAAGCCACTGCCGCATTCAATGTAGACAATCTCGGTGCCCATTCGTCCGACCGCTGGAAGTGACACTCCTCAATGGCAGTGTTCACCACCCGCCCATGTCCTCGCCTGCACCCCCACTCCTCTGGTGTCCGCTCTCACCCAGCTCAAGGCACTCACCTCGCCTTCAACCGCTCATACAGGACCGAGTTGTCGCACGTCAGCACGACGGCGAGGTCAACCCAGCGCTCCGGGAACAGGGATGGGTCGTGGTGGTCCAGGATAAAGCCTGCTGTTAGCAAAGTCGAGCAACGTAGCTCAGCGTGAACCGATCAGCCTCAGCCTCCGGACACAGATCAACCAGCGGGAAGCTCTCTCAGGAGGAAGGGGAGGTCGAAGATCAGCCCCGAAGAGGGTAGCCAAACCACTTGCGTCGTTGCATCTTTTGCAGTCCGGCGGTTCGGCATCGCTGTATCCTCGCTACCGAAGACCACGCTGAGGGCCAATCTCGACCTGCGGTATCGAGTGTTCCCGTGTCACTTACCAGTCTCCGCCGCCCCGTCCTCGGGGTTCACGACCTCCTCGAGATAATCCAGCAGCCGGTCCTCATCGACAATGTAGCTCTTCCACTCCTCGTCGAACCCGTTGTGGAACCCGTGCTGCTTCACAATGTCGCCGATGTTGAGGTGCGTCATCTTCACGTCGGAGTCCGCGGCCAGGACTTGGGAATGGAGCGTCTTGCCGCACCCTGGCGTGCCCGTGATCAGGACGACGGGGAATTTGCGCGGGTGGTGCGTCGTCATGTTGTGCTTGGTTTGATTGTTGGGGGGTAAGAAGGGATAGGTGATGAAAGAGGAGGAGGTCAGGAGAGGCCGAGCTCGATCGGCGCTTGTTGACATGACGATCCTCAATTGCCTCAACTTTTATCAGTGGCAACGGGGGCAGAATTTCCGTCAGGCACGGGTCTGTGTTGACAAGTCCATCTGCTGCTCACTCCTCCATTCAAGGGAAGATGTGAACATGCATGCTTATATGAGTATGGAGCTGCTCGTATGCATGATCTCGTCCATGTGTTTGTTTCAGTCAGGCAAGCCTGCGATAATGAGTGAGGGCTGTCAGCAGGACTGCGGTTAGTGTGTACGCCTGGCCACGGATCACGGGGTACAAACAAGGTTCAACTCCATCGTCCGAGGATGTGATATAAACTAGTCTAACAACTGCTCGAGATCGGCCTACTCGACTACCCATGAAAAGACCCGAAATTCGACACGAATGGCACTCCGGCCGCTTCCTCCTGCCTCCTTCTCCGCTCCAGTTCCAGCCTTGCTCCGCCCAACGCGCCTCCTTCGCTCCGCTCAGTCGGCGCTCAGTCGGCTCAGAGCACAAAGTCGCCCGCCTCCTCATGATGCTGCGTGTCAATGCCCGCCTTGCGATCGTTCAGAATCTGCTCCGCCTCCCCCCTCCAATCGTGCAGGACCCAGTCCCTAAGCCGCTCGTCGACGACATCGTGCGCCATCCGCCTCCACCTCGTGGGCGGGATGGGCGTGGTCAACGCGCGCCGAATCGCGCCCACGAATTCCTCATAGTTGAACGCCTCGACGTTGTAAACATAAGGTTCGGGGACGGGCGCGAGCGAGTCGTGCTGCGTGAACCCGAAGCCGGGCTGGCCATCTTCCCGCTTCTGGTGCGGGTTGAAGAAGGGCACGCCCCTAGCCAGAGCACGATACGGTGATGGAGAAAGTGTGGGCGAGCCCATGCCGAGGAGGAGCTTTGCCTGGCCAAACTCGTGGTCGAACTGGGTCGCATTCAGCTTGCCGAGATTCCGAACAGAGGTGGGGACGTCAAACTTCTTCCGGTCCTCCTCGTTGCGCTCGTCCGTGAACCCGCCGACGAATTCAAAGTCGGGAAACTCCTTGCGCAACTCCTCAGTCGCGCGCTCAAAGAAGCTCAGGTCGATACACGCCTGGTGCCCGTTCTGGAAGTAGCGCGCGTACTTGGCCAACAGGTACACGCGGTTCGGGCGCTGCGACCACGGCACAACCACCGTGTCGCTGATATCGGGCTTCATCCCGTAGCCCAGGTAGGTGAAGGTCGCGTCCTCGGAGGCGTGCACGTGGAAGGGCTCCTCGCCGTCTTCGATCCACGCGATGCCGTCCTCCTCCGTAATTGTCACTTGGTGCTCGCGCGTGATCCGCGGCTCGGCAGTTACGACCCACGCGCGCCCGACGTGCGTCGATAGACCGTTGGGATAATACGAGTTCCAGAAGAACTGGCGTCAGCCACTGCAGCCACTGCGAGCGAAAACGAGCAATCTCGTCCGATCGTCCGAGCGGAGCGAGCGCGAGCGTAGCGAGCACAACATGCTCTGCGTACCGTGCCGTCTCTCTCCAGACCAACGTTTCCATGACCCTGCACATCAACACCCACGCTTGCAGTCAAAGCGCGAGTAAGAACCGTCCAGTGCGGCGTGGATGATCAGGAAGGAAGCGGGCACAGACTGCACTCCCATGTAGCAACACCAGATCAACAGCCGGGGCGACCGCCAGGCCGCACCTAGCAGTGCGTGCAGGCCAATGACTCACCTTCCACGCCGGAATGCCGTCCGGGCGCTCCTTTGTCTTCTGATACTGCTCCAGCGTCCCCTTGTGCTTCTCGTCGCCGGGCTCTCCGAGCACTATCCGGATATAGTCCCCAAACTGGCGATAGAGGTGGTAAACGTATTCTGCGAGTGTCAGCTGGGGTCGACGTGCGACGTAGCTGGTGCAATTGAGAGGTCGGAGAGGTCGAGAAGGGCGGAGTAAGGGGGATGAGCGTCGAGCAGGGGCGCTGTCTCGCCCTGGGTGACTGGTGACTGGTCGCTTGGTGACAGACTGCCACCACGAACTCGCGCTGGCGGCTCGCTGCAAGCATGCAAGCTTGCACGCTCGCCGCTGCTCTTCCCTCGCTACCCCCTGCTCGCTGCGCTCGCTCTCGCACAACTCACCATAATCATTATCCCCTCCCTGGAGCACGGTGAATCCCTGCCTCTCCAAACTCCGATAGAGGCCAAGGCACCACACGCCCTCTCCGCCATGGTAATCATCATGCAGGGCCCACTGGCAGTGCCATCCTCCCAGAACGACTATCTTGTCCGCATTTTCCGGGCAGTCGCCACGGGCAAGACAAGCAGTAAGCTGGCGGAGTTTCGCCTCCGTGACCCAGCGATAGTTGTCGTTCTCGTTCTTGTCGTACGCTGCCCATCCGCCCGGAATCGTCGTTAGGGCTTTCAGCATGTTGTCGGAGGTGCTGGGGTTCAGCTGGGGTAGCCAGGAGGGATAGTAGGCACTGCCGACGACGTTGGCTTTGAACCACGCTTTGGCTTTGGCGGGGGAGACACGCTTGTGTACTGAGGTTGTGTACCCTCCCAAACCCAGGAGGAAGGACAAGGAGAGCAGGGAGAGCAGGATATAGAGTACCTGCCGGCGGGAGAAACGGCGCAGCGGCGATGAGGTCGAGACCCCGCCTTGCGAGAGGGGGGTGTAGCGCGCCGTGCTCATGGCGATCGTCGCGTTTGTGTTGATGACGATGGGAAGGAGCGTGTGGAACGTGTGGAACGTGTGGTCGAAAGTAGCGCTGGCCGCCTCGTTCAGTGTCGACTATGGCCGAGTGGACAGCGGCGAGCGATCGGCCCAGTAGTTGGTCAAGTGATCAAAAAGTAGAGTTAAGTTGTGGTGTCAACTCTGAACAGGTCTAGACTATCGTCGCGTCTGTAACTTGCCCCGATTCTCGCGAAGCCTTGCGAAGCCTTGGAGTATGCAGGCAGGGGTGAGGGAGCCGGGGGACGGGGGTACGGGGGTGCGGGACGGTGATACGGTAGGGGCCGGCTTTCCGTGCTAGATCTGGTAGCTGTCTGTGTCGCCAAGTGCTGCGCTCGTGTTCCGGTGAAGCTGGACTTGGACTCAAGCTAGGCACCGAAGAAGGGATGGAATGGGCGGGAGGACGCTCGAGGACGCTCGAGGACGCTCGCGGCCGTGCGCTGCGACTCTGGCTGTAGGAGAAGCGGGAATTCAGGGCCGGGACAGAGGGCGGGAACAAGGTTCGAAGAGGGGGTTTGTCGGGTCTGCGTTCGTCGTACGTGCTTCAGATGTTGCCCGCTGATGTCTATGGTGGATGTTGCGGTTGAACGATGAGTGCATCTAGCAGCCATGGTTGAGGTGCATGGCATGGCTGGGTGAGAATCCTCCGCCTGGCCGGCCTGCACCTGGCCAGCGGTGAGGATGACAGCCGCGCTCATCATGGCTGCAGGGCACAGCGAATAGGCGTGAAGCAGACATGGCCAGCTATTCCTGGCTGCGGCCAGAGGGCACAGAGGGTACGGATGTTTCCTGGCCGATCAATCACTCGCCCACTGCTGAGTGGGCCAGCATGGCCAGGCAATGGGGCCAGACCCATTCACAGTGGTGGCGTCCGAGTTAGTCTCTTATCCATCTGAATACAAAGCCTAACCAACTACCGTCCTAGGTGCATTCGCAGATCACAGATCTCTTGCTGGACCGAGGGCCAAGCATACGCCAGTCATTATACTGGTCACTGGTCACTCAGAACACGAACTCACACCAAGTCTAACTCTATCATGCTTTCATGCTAATTACCATGCATAACAGTTAGTTCTGTAGACGTACGCCCCCTAGGCACCGTCCATAGTGACATGTCGGCGCCGCCGTAAAGCGCCCCCCCTCCTTTTCGCATTTCCCACGAACGCACCCTATCTCTGTGCAAGACGTGGGGGCCCGCAATCCTCGTAGAAGGTACGGGCCTCTTCTGGCGGTGATCAAGGCTACCAAGCCTGCTACATGCTCGCTGGCGCCCGCGATATTGGCAGCTGGTAGTGTAACGTGTGATGCATATGCCAAGTCATCCTATTCTTACACCGTTGACAGAAGCGTAGTAGTGTACATTGTTTTCCAACCTTTTCGTGAACACTTCGTGATTCTCTAGACTTTGGCTTGACGCAAGACATGTTTACTCTCCTTCTCTGACACTATTCTCTCCCTCTCTCTTTCTCTCTCATGTTCTCGTTCTCGCGCTCGACTCAAACACTAGGTTTCCGTGTAGTCGACGCTCGTGCAACCGTGCGGTCGTACGCTCCCGGTGGTTCGCCGGTGCCACGGAGTCTGGAGCTAGTGAAAGAAATAGCGGACTCGGCGCTCGGCCTAGTCCTCCTCCATCGCATCCGACGCCGTCGCGCCACTATCCCGCCTAACCTCCATCTCATCCCTCAGCATCTCCTGCTGATCCCCATGCTCCCCTTGCAGACTGAGCAACCCCAGGCTCCCCAGGCTGCCCGGCGCCGCGCCCTGGCTCTGCGCCGCGCTCACGGCCGCACTGGCCCCAGGGCCGGTGGGGATGAATGCGCCGCCGAGCGTGCGATTCCCATTCAGCGAGGAGGAGAGCACGCCCGACGTGCTCCCGATGCTGAGGGCGGGGGAGGCGGCGCGCGACCGGCTCGCCATAGGGCGCGTGTATGGGTGGTGGGGCGGCTTGACGCGGGATTGGCCCAGAGACAAGTATCCGGGGGAGCTCGTTGCCAGACTGCTTGCTACGAGGGGGGCATGAGAGGGCGAACTCGGGATCGGCACGGGCGCCACGCCGGTCGATTTTGAGGGAGATAACGCCTGGAACGGCGATGGCGACGAGGCGCGCGGTCGCTTGTACGGATCGAACCGGTCTTCGACGTTCGTGGCTGCTTGTCAGTTCCGGAAGTGCAAGAGTAACTCACCCTTCCGCTTGCCCGCGCGCGCGACGGGGTCGCGGTACTGCATCATACCCGGCGAGTTGACGTTGGGGCTGCCGACGCTCGCGAGCTCGCTCTTCTCCACGGTCGGACTGCCGAGGGGTGTATCCCTTCCACTGGCCCCAGACGCTCCGCTCGCAGCCCCACTGGCACCACTGCTCGCAGCCGCAAAACCGACGTTGCCGAAACTCGTGATCAGCGTGCTGGCACCAGGCGACTGGCCCAGCCGGCTCCCCTTCCAACCGGGCTCGAGGCGATTCGCTTGCGGGGTGCCCTTTTGCCCTGAGCTCGCTGCATTCGTGCTCGGCGTGCTCTTGCCGCTGTCGCTGCGCGGCCAAGACCCGTTGCTCCCGGGCCGGTCAATGTCCATGATGCTAGCAAAGGCAGAGTTGACCGCACTCCCGCTCGGAGCAGCTGGCCACTCCTCGTCCATCATCTCATCACTGTCCGTGTCGCTGTCGTCCCTCCACCTCGCACCCAGTGGTGCCGGCCCGTCGTCGTCGTCATCGTCCACTGACTCTGGAAATCGGCCTCGCGTCATCCGTGACATTCGCCTTTGCCGTGGTGTCAGTGTCAGCGGGATGGCCGAGGGATGCGAGGAGATGAACCGCTGCAGTCTGGCTTCTGAGCGCATCTCGTGCTCGAGCGGCGAGGACTCGGAAATCAGCGTAGCGAGCAGAGATCCAGGGATAGGGCGGCCATGGAACGGCGCGCGGCCGAGCCCTTGTCCGCTGCCATCGCCACTTGAACGGCGCAGCTGCCACTTCTCCTCGACCATGGGGGATGTGCCGTTCTCGCTTCGGCTTGGGATCGGCGACGTGCTAGTCGTTAAGCCCTCGATGGGTATTGGGGGAGCGGAGCCGACGCGAGCAGGCGCAGAGAAGGCGGTCAGGCCCCAGCGTGGTCCGTTCGAGGACGCGAATGTGGGAACGGGGGCAGCTAAACCCGATGCAGTTGACGACGTGGCTTGCGATGGCGCTGTCGAACCGGGTTTGAGGTGCGCTGATGGAGCCGGTGAGACACCGGAATCTGGCCCGCCCTCACTCGTGCTCGGGACAAGGGAGAGGAGAGATGGGCGTCGCAACTTGTGAGTCGTGACTGTTCCGTTGCTGGGCGGCGTCACGGCCGCAGTCGGACTGACGGCGCCGGGCTGGAGATCGCGCGGTGGCGGGGTCGCGGCTGTTGAGACGGTGAGGTTGAATGCGCCAGTCGTCGCCGCGAAGCGGACCGGAGTGCCCGGTGCGCCGGGGGCATTGCCGGAGTTGCCGAAGGCTGGGGGAAGGGCGTTGGGCGGTGGGTGTGTCTGCGTTTGCGCCTGGGGAGTGCGCGGCTCGTCGGGGTACGTCTGCATGTCGCGTGTTCAGCTTCAACATGCCATGGTGAGTGCGCTGAGAGAGTGCCGCAGAAGAAGGCCGGAGTGCGTCGACGAGGTGGAGGGAGTGAACAAACAACCAAGTAGTTGACGGCTGGCGACTGGTGCGGGGTCCAGGATAAGGGACTGAGGGGCAATGACGCTCGGGCCGTAGGTAGGGGTTGGTGGAGGGAGGGGGAAGTTGTTGAAGGCGTGCTGGAATCGATGGCGTCTGGGGCAGGCGCAGGCGTCGGCGAGGAATGGTTCGATAGGCGAGACTCCGTTGTCGACGATGCAATACTGCAAGTTGTTGTCGATAGTGTCTTGTCACCACCTGTGTCCTATCGATCCAAGAAGCCGGCTACTGCGTAGATTACACCCACCGTAGACAACCTCCACCACGGCTCCACGGAGATCAGCCTCCGTCGTGCGCCAGTCCAGCCTGCAGTGTGTGCCAGCCTCCCTCCCCCTCGCCCGCTTCCTCGTCACCACCGAACCCAACCATGCGCACCACCTTCAGACCCCACCACGCCGCACCCGCCCACGGCTACGGCACCCACGGCACCCACACCATGACAAACGGCTCGACCGCAAAGACTGCCGCAGCAGCAGCAGCTCCCGCCGCGCCCCCCGCGCGCCCCCACAGCGCCCACCGGCAGATGAGCATCCCCTCGGGCCTCTTCCGCACCTCGTCGGGGGCGTCATCGCGGCCGTCGAGCGCGCGGCGTGGATCCCGCCGCGAGCCAGAGTGGGAGGACGAGGACGCGTGGGACGCCTCGAGCGATCGCTCCGACGACGAGGCCGGGCCCAGCTTTGGGCGCATGACCTCGAGGCCGCAGAGCATGAGCGCCGCTTCCAACTCAAGCCGGCCCTCTTCTGCCCGACCGGCCAGTATCGCCGAGCGGTCGGGCGTGACGAGTCCCACGGGCTCGCGGCCGGCAAGCGGCGCCCGCTCGCCAAAGAGTAGAGCGACGCCGACGAATCGATCGCCAGAGCGAACGGCCGCTGCACCGATACCGATCAAAGGACGCCCGACTGCCGAGGACGACGCCGAGTCTGGATCCATCTCGACCTCGTGGGTCACGGCCAGCTACCGCCCGACTCCTCTCGATGGCCCGGCGGGATACCAACCGCTCCAGGTCGAGGTAGAGGCGGCCGAGGTCCGCCCGGGCAGCCTCTCGACAGGCGGAGCATGGGAGATGGTCGAGCCGCGCGAGGCCGATCCGCTGACGCCCGTTGGCGCCGAGGCTCTGCGCGCTGACGCCGAGGACGTCGTGAAAGGTGAGTTGTGCCACAACGCTGAGCTGTTGAAATCCTCAGGACGAGCTAACCCCAGACCCGCTGCAGGCTCTCGCCTCGCTATCCCTCTCGGAGCCCTCATCACCCTCTGGTCGCTCCCCGCTGCCGTCTCCGGGCGTCTCGCGCCAACGCTCCGTCCGCACCGAGCGCCGAAGAGAACGGTGCATGCGTATCCTGCGTGGCAGCAGTGCGAATGGGAACGGCGCCGGGGCCATCGACCTCGGCGCGCTCAAGAGCTTTGCGTGGGGCGGCGTGCCAGGCGAGCTGCGGCCGATCGCGTGGCAGTTGCTTCTGGTAAGTTGAGCGAGCGGCGAGCAGATCCACTTTAGATCTGCAAGGCTCAACTTGAGAGTTATCGAGAGCTGACAGCAGAACTACCTTCCTCTTCCTGAGGCTCCGCGACTCGCGACTCTGACCCGCAAGAGGAGGGAGTACGCGCAGTTCGTGCAGCAGTACTTTGGCACGGAGGGCGCCGCGCTGGACCAGCAGGTGAGTCGCCTCCCACCTCTAGCTCAGCTTCCGTTACGCATGAGCTGACCCCAGATGTGGCATCAGATCGAGATCGACGTCCCGCGCACACGACCGGGCGTGGCGCTCTGGTCGTGTCCGGCAACACAGCGCGCCCTCGAGCGCATCCTGTATGTGTGGGCGGTCCGCCACCCGGCAAGCGGGTACGTGCAAGGTATCAACGACCTGGCGACGCCGTTCTTCGAGGTCTTTTTGTCGGCGTACGTCTCAGTCGACCCGGAGCTGTTCGACGTGGCCGAGCTGCCCGCCGACGTGCTCGCCGCCGTCGAGGCCGACTCGTTCTGGTGCCTGACAAAACTCCTCGACGGAATCCAGGACCACTACATCCGCGACCAGCCCGGGATCCAGCGTCTCGTATCCCGAATGGGCAGCTTGATCAAGCGCATCGATCCCGACTTATCTGCGCATTTCGAGGAACAGGGCGTGCAGTACATGCAGTTCGCGTTCCGGTGGATGAACTGCCTGCTCATGCGCGAGCTCACCGTCAAATGCACGATAAGGATGTGGGACACGTATCTCTCCGAAGGCGCCGACTCCTTCTCGACCTTCCACCTGTACGTCTGCAGCGCGCTGCTGGTCAAATTCTCGCCCGAGTTGAAGAGGATGGATTTCCAGGAAATCATCATGTTCCTCCAATCCCTCAGCAACACGACAAAGACGTGGGGCGACAAGGAGGTCGAGCTGCTCCTCAGCGAGGCGTTCGTGCTCAAGAACACTTGGCATGGGGCTGATAACCATTTCGCGAATCAAAGGAATGGCGGGATGGACTTTGGCATGATGGGCCGATAGCCCGCGTCGAGTAGAGCGAGACGTGCCCGGGCCAGGCGATCGGGCAGGAGGCAGGACGGGGCCAGGCTGTCGTTGCTACGATCGGCCATGGGACGGCAGAGAGTTAAGCAAGAGCAGTGTAGGAGACTCAGGAGCGCATTTCGGGAAAATCCAAGGCATAGCAACAAACTTCTTTAATCACGCGCAACATCACCTCGATGTGTGCGCATCATTCCTCCAATCCTTAAAATTACCATATAGATAATCTCACCACCACCACAACCAGCCAGCAGCTAGACAGCATCATGCAAAACAGAACGTACATGTTTCCCTTCTTAGACTAGTACAGATCGGCTTGAGCTTGGAAGAAAACTAACTGCTATGTTTGTCTATCTACTGATTTCAGTGCGAGTGGGAGGGGGGCGGTTCTGGAGGCCGGGGTGAGCGGAGCGACAAACGACGACGACAACAAGAGATTATGCGAAGAGTCTAGATCGTAGAGTGTACACTGAAGTTTAGTTATCGCGGTCACGCTGCTCGTGCACCTCGCCGTCCTCGCCGCCGCCCATCTCGACCTCGCCGTCGCCCTCGTGAGCCTGCCCGAGGCCATTACTCGGCACAGCGTGCCACTGCACGTTGATCGGGGCCGAGAGGTTGGGAATGTCCTTCGTGCCGAGCGCGAGGGCCTGTTTTGTCAGCTTCAACACTGCATGCCAGCTTGACTCACCTTCTCAGCCATCTCGCGCGAGGGGTACGTGACGAGCACACCGTCGTCTGTCGGCGCGAGGCTTCCGCCCGTGCTCTCGTACCACTCCTTGATGGCCTGCTGGCCCTGCTCCGAGCCGAGCGCCTCGCCCGCAATCTTGACAGTCGAGGAGCGGTTGTCGAGACGCATCGGGCGGGCGTAGCCGCCACGCCCGCGTCCGCGTCCACGGGCACGGCCACGGGGGGAGCCCCGGCCATAGGGGCTGTACCGCGTTGCGGGAATGCCCATCGTGCTCGCCTTTTCGCGGAGTGCGCTCAGCTGAGCGTTCAGACGCAGCAGCTCGTCCTGGTCCGACGGGCCCGTCTCCATGCCGTGCTCGGCGAGCTCGGCGTCCAGCTTGTCCTTTGGCGTTGGCTCGGCGGGCGGCGGGCTCGGCTTTGCGAGCTCCTCCATCTCCTTCGCGATCTCCTTGATCCGGCCCAGAATGGCGACCTTGTCCTCCTGGCTGGCGCTAGCAGCACGGGCGAAGAGCACCTTCTGCTCCGCGATCAGAGTCTCGCGCTTTCCGCGGCGCTCCTTCGCTTCGAGCTCGACAAGAGTCTTCCGCAGCCGGCTCTCCGGTCCCTCGAGCTTGGCAACAACGTCGCCCTGCGGGTTCACGCCGCCCTGCTCGAGCTTCTTCATGTTCTCGATGAGCTTGGCGCTCTGCTCCAGCATCTTCTGGCCCGCCTCACCGTGGCCGGCCCGCGGACGGTGCCACAGCACCTTCACGTGTCGATTGCCGAACACCGCCTCGTCGCTCTTCCACGCCTGGTACGCCTCGCGGTTTGTCGCGAACGAAACGAGCGCGCGCTTGCTCTTGCCCTCGATCGCGACGTTGGTCACGTCACCAAACTGCCCGAAGTACTCCGTCAGAGCGCCCATCGTCAGGTGCTGCGGCGGAATGTCAGAAATGAGCAGCGTCGTGCCGTTACGGTCGGATGGCGGGCGGCTGGTGCCCATGAAGTCTGGAGGCGGCATCGCGGCGTGCATGTTCGGACCGCCGGGGAAGAAGGGCATGCCCATTCCTCCGCGGCCGCGTCCACGCCCTCCTCGTCCCCCACGACCGCCACGTCCACCGAACTGCCCAGGCTGCATGCCCATCATCGGCGCCATCTGGGCGAACATCATCTCGGGCGTAGGAATGATCACGTCGTCGCTGTGCTCGTACTGACACGCCGCGCCGCGCATGCAGTATCCCTTCTCTGAGCGTTAGCTACGATACGAGGAGCACCTAACGCACCATGATAGTCGCGGCACCTCGGGCGACGCTGCTGCTGCTGCTGGGGCGGTTGCGGGAGGCCGTTCGACACGTCCGTCATCTCGGTATCTCTTGACGGGCCGGGCTGAGGCTCAGCCGCCATCAGCGCCTCGGCCGGCGCAGCAGGGGCGGCTCCGGGCATGTAGGCTTTCGTCTGGATGACATCGAAGCAGGCGTTAACAAACGGCTCGGTCTGCGCGCCGAGGAACTCCTCGAGCTCCGTCTTCATGTACGTCTTCCAGCTCGCCTCATCCTGGTTGCTGTCATGCTTCAGCAGCGCGATGATGTAATCGGCGAGCACGTCGGGATCGGCGTCACAACTGGCTGTTAGCTGCGATAAAGACAGATTCTCAGCTTCGCTGTAGACGTTTAAACCGGTCAAGGGCTCTGCACTACCAGAGAATGCTTTGTCACGAGCGACGCGACAAAGGCAGCTCGCGGTCTGGAAAGCACCTTCCTCGATGGAAAGGACGTCGCGGGGACGACATGACGATTACTCACAGAGGCTCGAGGGTGACGACAAGCCACTTTTTGAAGTCTGGGGACTCGCACGCTTCGTTGAAGGACATTGCGAGCGAGGTTGGATGTAGGTCAAGTATTGGAAGGAGTCGCGAGTTCGGCCTCCATCTCGGAAAACATATTTTGGACATGGCTCCGCGGCTGAACACTGCCAGTGCCCAGTAGCGGTATGGCCAACCAGACCTCCACTGGTCTTAGGTCACGTGACTCGTGACCTCCTATTCGGTCCTCCCCTTCTGTACGGACCTCCTTCTCTGTCTCGTCTAAACGGGTTCACGGCTCGGGTGACGGGTCAAAGAATACCTCGCATGCGTACCAGGCCGGTCCAGACAGAAGTGTCTGGCCGACGCGCAAAACCCTCCAACATGCTTGCATTCGGAACACTGGTAGTCGCACGTATGCCACCCGGAGCGTTGCGCAAGAAGTGGTTCGACGAAAAGGGTCGCCTGGCACGCGTTCTCACCCAAGAACGTGATTCGCACGGCTTCATCATCCGCTACGAAGACGACTTTACCATCGACCTGTGTGCAAACCTCGTGAAAGCACCCAATTACCTCCAAGCCAGCGAGCCCGTCAAGCGTCAGCAAGACGAACCGCGTCTACCACTGGTCTGGCAGGACCACATGGTTGTCGAACACGTCCCCTTGACCAACTGGAAAGGCAAGGCAGCCACTGAGCCAACAATCAGAGTGCCACCCGTGCTCGACAACGGCCGTAGTCAACCTCAGCAACGTCACCTGCTCGACACATCCTCCGGCCCTCCCCCCTCCGGCGACACGAGCATCACTCACCAACCACCCAGTGGCGACCACAACACCACGCCAACTGCTGCGCCTCAACAGCAGGTTACAGTCCCGGTCCTCCCCTTCTGTACGGACCTCCTTCTCTGTCGCATAGGTAGTCATGTTTATGTCATTCCTTTTTTCCTCTGCTGTTAGATTAAGACGTCACAATATCGTAACTACCCGACAATCTTCCCCACACAGCCCAGAGCGACTCCGCCGCAAATCGAAAGGCGCGACGCCCGACAGAAGTCGGCGATCTCCTCGCGACAGCGAGCGTACATGTGCGACAAGGTGAATTTTGCCACCCACCACCCCCTCAACCCACAACCACAGCGTTGACCCTCCTGTCAACAACCTCTACCGATTGATACGCTACGCGCCAATCTAATCTCCCTCCTCGAGAGGCGACCGTCGACGACACCGACACTCCTTACTTTCCAACCCGCGTCCGCCCCCACCATCGACACGTCACAGCGCAGCAAGCACAGCCCCAACGCTACTGCGACTAGACTACGACTGGTGTGACGGAACCAAAACCGCAAAACAAACAAACAACCTCCAACCTCTTACGTAACTCGTCTTACGTAATACCTCACCATGACGTCAACCAGCGACCTCGCCTTCAAGATTGAGGCCCTCGAGGGCTCATCGAATCTTGGGAAGTGGGAGTCGGACCTCATGGCGGCCGTACGCAGGCACAAAGCCTGTCATCGGCTTCTCATGGGTTTCGATGTAGAACCGTTCCGTCTGAACGTGGACAAAGACGACCCTCGGTTCCGCATCGTGTTTCCCCGCGGACAGAACGCCGGTGACGACCCACCATCCAAGGAAGCCACCAACTTCACTGAGCAACGCGAACTCACTGAAGACGAACGCAAGAAGTGGGATGAATGGGCAAACCGCGAGCTGTTCGTCCGGAGCGCCATCCTCCTGTCCATCCCAGCCGACCTTCGCGAGGCCGTCACCGACTGCTGGTCATCTCGTGACGTCCTCCAATACGTCAAGAGTCTCTTTGAGATCAAGCCCGCCATGCGCAAAGAGCTCAACTTCAAGAACTTCATCGCTATGCGCCTCGCTGCCAAGGACTCCACATCGATGAACAGCTATCGCACCAAGTTCCAGTCACTCAAGAACGAAGCGTCGCGCATCGATGCCGAATACCCCGACTGGCAACTGCAAACGTTCTTCCTCGACGGACTCCCATCTGACCTGCGAGACGAGATCGAACGCGAGAAGCGGCTCAAGCCCAATTCCGACATCGACGATCTCATCGCCATGTTCCAGCGCTTCACCGAGGAAGTTACAATCGAACATCAACAGCAGGAGGCAGCCAACGCCATGTTCGAACGACACACCGAGATCTGGGTCAAGAACAAGAAGAACAATCGCCAGGACAAGGACGATCGAAACGCGAAGCGTGGCGGCCGAGGACGAACCAATGCGAGATCACGCAAGGATGACACGGATTCAGATGATGGTGAGAAGCACATGAAGCGTGACAACAGAGGACGCATGCACCCCTTCTGTCGCAAGTGTCAATGCTTCGGTCACACTACACCCAAGTGCGACCATGAAGATGACTATGACACGGAGCACAACAAGGAGAACAAGAGCAAGGGCTCTAAGGGCAAGGATACCAAGAAGAAGGACAAGAACAGTCGCTTCAAGTCCAAAAGCACTCCTTTCGCCCCCAGCAAGGCGGCTAACCGCACTCAGAATACTCCGACCGCTGCCGCGATGTACGCCGACGACGAGTACGATGAGGAGAGCGCGACCAACATCGAGTCCGATGATGGTTACGATTGTGGTTACGAGGACTACCACACTGCCGCTGCACTGGTTCCCTTCGACGGCGCCAGCATCCACATCTGCAAGAACATCCACATCATGTCCAATGTCAAGCCCTGCCCGCCTCTGCCTCTGGCACAGGCCGGTCCCGACCTCATCTACTCCAGAGCCAAGGGGTCCATCATTCTCGCCAACGGCGATGTCATCGCCGACGTCTACCATCTCCCTGAAGCTCGAAACAACCTTCTCTCAGCGGGCACTCTCATGTCCCCAGGCGTAGGCTGGGACGTCGACTTCAAGAAAGACGAGATCATCTCGCCCACGGCTGTTTACTCCATGGAACGATTCAATCGACTCTGGCGTGTCGTCCTCCCTACTTCTGTCACGCTCAACAACGTCGGAACCATCACCTCCGGTGACGACATCATGCTTGCCTGGCATAAGCGCACTGGACACACCTCCTACGACACACTCGTTACCCTTGCTCGGCACAACGCGATCGACATCCCCTACGACTACGCGCGCAACTCCAACTTTCGCGTCGAAGACTGCATCTCATGTCTGAAGTCACGTGCCAACATGTTGCCTCAGTCAGGTGAAGGAGCACCCCGAGGCTCGCTCAACAAGGGTCTGCACTTTCATGTCGACCTCACGGGCCTCATCATGACCTCGGCTGACAAATGCCGCTTCGGGATGATCGGCTACATTGATGTCATCGGCTACCGATTCTTCTACCCCCTGAAGAACAAAGAGCCACGGACAATCAAGCCCCTGCTTGAAGCCGAGATTCAACGCGCCGAAGCCGCCACCAAGATGAAAGTCGTCGCCATCACCACCGACGGTGGTTCTGACTTCAAGAAGGAAGTGGCCGACATGTTTCGTCTTCGAGGCATGATCCACTACAAGACACTGTCGGAATCGCCTCACCTCAACGGCGTCTCTGAATCCAATGTCGGCGCTATCAAAACTCGAGCCATCGCCAATCTGACCGACTCTGGACTGGGAGCAAGTTACTGGACCTTTGTGATGTCGTACGCCTGCATGTCGTACAACAAGACTACTATCTCTCAAATCAAACACGACGACGGCACCAGTCAAACGCCATGGGAGATTATGTCTGGCCGACGCGCAAAACCCTCCAACATGCTTGCATTCGGAACACTGGTAGTCGCACGTATGCCACCCGGAGCGTTGCGCAAGAAGTGGTTCGACGAAAAGGGTCGCCTGGCACGCGTTCTCACCCAAGAACGTGATTCGCACGGCTTCATCATCCGCTACGAAGACGACTTTACCATCGACCTGTGTGCAAACCTCGTGAAAGCACCCAATTACCTCCAAGCCAGCGAGCCCGTCAAGCGTCAGCAAGACGAACCGCGTCTACCACTGGTCTGGCAGGACCACATGGTTGTCGAACACGTCCCCTTGACCAACTGGAAAGGCAAGGCAGCCACTGAGCCAACAATCAGAGTGCCACCCGTGCTCGACAACGGCCGTAGTCAACCTCAGCAACGTCACCTGCTCGACACATCCTCCGGCCCTCCCCCCTCCGGCGACACGAGCATCACTCACCAACCACCCAGTGGCGACCACAACACCACGCCAACTGCTGCGCCTCAACAGCAGGTTACAGTCCAGGACGCACCGGACGAAGACATGCGCAACCCCATTCGCACCACTGCCAACCAACCTCTGCCCCGAGGCACCGATGCACCCATTCTTCGCGACAATCGCGATGCCACCGAGCCACCCGCGCCCAGCTCCACAGCCACCGCGCCGCAGCCGGCCCAGCCGCCGACGGAGCCGCAGCCCGCTCAACCGCCCGCTCCAACTGCCAAGCCCAAGCGCAAGACAACCGCGCCTGCTCAACCCACTCGCGCCTCAGCCCGCATTGCGCAGAATCGTGCTGCAGCCAGCGAAGCCTCAGCCCGCGCCGACCGCAGTGGCACTGCTGCGCCACACTCCAGGCAAGCCAACCACGCCTCAGTGGAAGGTCAACCCGACGGTGTCTCTCCTGATTACCTCGCAGCCCATGCTGCTTGCGCCTACGCCACCAACCCCGTCGAAGACGAGCCTCGCACCTATCGCGAAGCCATGAAGTCGCACGACGCCGCCAACTGGCAAGGTGCCATCGACGCCGAACTCGACGCCCTCCGCACTCTCAAGACGTGGCGCCCAGCCAAACTTCCTCGTGGCGCCAAGCTCATTGGCACGCGCTGGCTCTTTCGTCGCAAGAAAGACAACCAAGGGTTCACCATCAAGTACAAGGGCCGCGTCATTGCTCAACGCTGGTCACAACGACCGGGGTACGACTTCGAAAACTCATTCGCACCGACAGCGCAACTCGCCTCGGTCCGCCTCGTCCTCGCCATTGCCGCAGCACTCGGCATGAACGTCGAGCAAGGAGATGTGAGCAATGCCTTCCTCAACAGCCCCATCGATCGCCCCGTCTACGTTAAGGCGCCCGAAGGCTACACCCT